CTTAGCAACCCTATAATTAGCCCTCGTTGAGTGTGGGTGCCACTTAGACTCAAACACACAGCCAGATACACTCGTCATCGTCATCGATAGTCGACATTCGGCATCACAATTCTGTGTTTTTTTTTTGCCTTTTTTGTTCTCTTTTTGATTGCATAATCTTAAAGGCTTAGTCGGCTATGGCAGGCGACAAAACCTACATATACCTATAGCTATAGCGACATATATATATATATATATACATACATATATACATGCAGAGGTATCTGTATCAATTGAACTAATGCTGCCAAAATCGTGTGGCGCACTCAAAGTTGAATTTTGTGGTTCCATTTTGTTGACGCCATTTGATTCTAATCGCTTCATTATTCGAAAATTTATTAATTTCATTGTTTGGGTCTTCGAAAATTACTGATAGTTTTTAGATCGCAATAGAATTTGTAAAAAATTCCCGCACTTAATTTATTTTTATTTTTTTCTAACAATATTTGTCATATTTAAATGAAATCAAATTTCACATATACATATATTTGAAACTATTTATATGGACCTTCCTGATAACACTTTAATGAAAAAATACTGAGTAAATGTTAATCACTTTTTGAGAGAGAGCCTATTCAGCATAAAGCAAATACAAATTCTTTTTAAGCATATGCTTTTTGTAGACATATTGTAAAATTGCTTCGTTTGCATTTTCGTTCTTTTATTCTGATATTTGGACAGATGGAAAAAAAGTGTTTTGTTTATGATTTTTGCTTTTTTGTGTAGTAATTGTTTACATGACAAACTGTGTGTACGAACATAAAATAAATTAAACAAATAGAGCTAAAATATATTCACGGTAGTATTCTTTTGAAAGTACTACAACAAAATCAATCCGTGCCTGATGCCTAATGTAATAAAATAAATTGAATGAAAAGCTTATATTGCTATGGAAATATTTATCTAGTGTATTAAACTTGTTTTCCATATCATTTAAAAAATGGAATACTTTTGATAGCACGATTGCTGTAGTGCACAGTTGGCATGTAAACTAATTTGATTTAGCATTTATCATTGGGTTTTATTGCTCTCAAGTCAGTCCAAATATGTATACGATTTCAGGTGATAAGTAATTAATTTCACTTAGTGAATGTGCATAAAAGGGTATCTAAGCATTGACAAGCTGCTTAAGTTATTCTGCTATTGATGTTCGTGATGGTTCCCAAAAAGAAATTGAGTTCACGAAACCCCTCAAGTCCAGAATCCTTTTGCTTTCCCTCCGTTCAGCAGCATTTCGGAAGTTGTGCGGTGTGTTTTCTATTTTCTTGACTTAAGTGCTTAACTGCGTGGCCAGAGGCTGTATGAGTAACTATGTTGTTTCTTAACACAATCACAGTCCCGATCTCAAACCCAAACTCATTCGCTCTTTCCCTCCTACACTTCGTTGATTCAACTACAATTTTGATGGATTATTTCCACCGGCATATTGGCGACAAACAAATATGTAGGGGATAGTGGATAGGGGGGTTGGGGGTTGGGGGCTGGCAGGTACGTCAACTCATTCATTATACAGAATGTTTGCAATTTATGCGATTCGTCTCAGCTCGTTTGTCTTTGCCAGCTGACTGGCTGACTGGCAATTATGTCGCTCTGCGGTCGTACTATAAATACTTCATACAATGCGAATGCGGAAAGGTGTTTATGGGCTTTGATTTACTTGTGAATGGAAAATATTGATCGATATCTGAGCAGGTATTCACGCCTCCCACCTAATTGGCTTAAATGACCAAACATCAGAAATTGGCACAGTTCCTGTTTGATGGCATGCAGCTTAAAGGCAAGTTTAAAAGCTTACAGCCTTGACAGCATTTCCATTTCAACGCTTTGCCAAACACACACACAATCTGGTATTTCTGTGTGTGTATTTTTTTTTAGTGTGAATTGTTTGTCGAACTGCCTTTGTATGTGTGCTTTATTTTTTTTGTGCAACTGCCACCCACTTTTTACCTTTTTCACGCCACTTGCTGGGATTTTCTCTATCTCGTCGATTTCAAACAATCTACATCTCTCACTCTCTTTCACACACCCTTTCTCCGTTTCTGTCTCTGTCTTTTGGCATACACACGTTGCTCATTTCGATGGCTAAAAATGCATTTCCTATCAACTGTGAAAAGGAAATGATGTGATGCTCTCGAGCTTTAGCGTGCAATCAATCATTGCTGCCATCCTCGTATCTCTGCTATTTTTACAGTCTGACACATTGCACATACTACCCCACACCCATTCCCACACCCCCAACCATTCCCACATCAACCAGCACTCCCTTTTCCTGTAGTCATTGCTTGCGCTTTTTTCAATTTCCATTGCACGGCTCCCCAGTTGGGACGGGTAGTCAAAGTCAACGAAAACGAGCTTATTAACCCAGGCAAATAGTATTTAGTATTTGTCAAATGTCAAAGTGTCTGCCTTGCTACTCCTGTGGAGTAGATTGCCAGTGCTCTCTTCACATTACTCGATGATTCGTTGTATTTCCGTTACCGCAATTTCCGCTTCCATCTGCACTGCCATTCAATGCAAATGCCTGGCAGAAGTCATTAAAGGAAACTTCCATTTCACTAAAGTAAATAAAAATGTAAGAAATCATTTTATTTGCTTGAACTGCCTGTAACTGAAATTAAGAAAAATGTAATATGGATAATTCAACTGAGATAGAATCATAAAATATACTATATTTAACTCCAACTAAAAAATATATGCATAAGTAGATTAAAAAACATCAATGAGATACATTTAACTTTTTGACAGGGCTAATTTGATTACTTTAAAATATATCAAAAGTGAATACGATATTATTAATATTATTTTTGAGGGATTGCTATATTATAGTTTAGATTAAATTTATACTAGCCTTAAACAACGAATAGATAAATTTAAATTTAAATAATTGATTTTACTAGTTCTATTGATTATATCTCGACGGAGCTGTCAACAAAGAAGGAAAGCCTGGTGGTTTTTAATATTAGCATTTTGTAGTCTTCAATAAGTTGGCAATCATTTATAAAATGATCGATCGTGCAAGTATGCGAACAGGATTTGAATTTAAAATTTCAAAATTCACTGGTAAAATCTTTGAGACCATTTTTCTTAAACAATTCATGTCTTTTCATCACACGTAAGTTGGGTTCAAGTTCAAGCCTTCAACAGCACCACAGGCACACATGTATATGATTGTATGCCATCCATCTTATACCATTTACTCTCACATATTTTTGCAGGCAGTGCTGAATCCGCCTGCCTACGCATCTTTATGGCCATTGGGAGCTACGTGTCTGGGCGCCGTAATTGGCGTTTAATGCTCGTGCAAAATAGAATGCGTTAACCTCCGGTGTTGAACATGAAATTCACTTATAAACGCTTTACGCACTTTTAATTTTTAAGTTGAATGGAAAAGCACAGCTCGATAGAATAATAGGCTCGAAAATTCCTTGAATTTGTTTGCCCTATAAGTACATTAATTTAACCCAAGAAATGAGTTGACATTTTTTTTTTAAATATATTTTTTTTTTTGTGTGTGCCCTTTTTGAATTTACTCGTGGCTAAAGAAACCTTTTTGTGGTCAGCCTTCAATCTTTTGTGCTGAGTAAATTCGAGTTTTAATGAACATTGCACTCAATTAGGTTCGAATACTGTTCGATAATTGTTAAGCCCAAACGAAGGCAACATCCGCTGTCCATTGATGCCAGTCTTCAGTTCTAAATATCAAAAGATAAACTCTTTACGTGTTTAAGTTCCTTAAAAAAGTGGACTTTACAATCGGAAGAATACAATAGTTTAGTCCCATAATGATAGATATATCGAAATATCTTTTAATATAACCCCACCATTATATAACACATAACTGATTAGATACAATCACAATCAATTAATACTATTAAAATTAATTAAAATAATATTGTACAACACCACACCAAATACTTGAACTCTTACAAATCCGCAGAGCATTGGTATTGAAATATATTTTATTCATAATATAAATAAGTTATTGTGTAGTTATTCGTAGAATGGCTTAAGCCTGTGCAATTACAAGTTTGGATTAAACTTGAACTGACTTAAAGATATTTATGGTATCGATTGCACCACGTTTGGCATATTCAAAGTGACGACACAGACAATGCAACAATTAACAATTAAGTCAACAAATTGCTGGCATGTGGAGCATGGACACAAAACCAAAATGGAACAAATACATTCCCTAAAAAAATAAACTAAAACTGAAAACGAAACCGAAACTGAAACTGAAACTCATGCAGCAAATGAAGCAAATGTCGCTGACATACAAACGGAGGCGAAAAAAAAGAGCTGAAGGTGTTGACAGAGGGAGCACATGGTGACAAATCACCTAACGGCAAGAGCAAGTCGAGGCAAAACGAGGCAAGTCGAGGCAAGTCGAGGGGCAAGGCAGCTGTCAGCTGTTAGGTGGAGGAGGGCGGGGTTGATGGCTGTTGGGCTACGCAGTTCCTCAACGGTAGACAATGGTCTGACAGCCAAAAATGCCGTAAATTTGGAATTTCAAGTGCAAAAAAAAGAAAAGAAATACTGATGAAAATATGATGTAAGCCAAACGGGCTGAATGAAGGATGATTGAATGGTAAATTAGCACGGGTAGACGGTTAGACGGGGTGGGAGGCTCTGTAAACCGCAGTTAGCATTGTTGAACATTATCGGCTTAATTAAATAATGCTAGTCAAAAGGCCTACAAGGAAGCGCCGAAAGCGTTGAACTTGAAAATATAACTAAATCAAAGCAAACTCTCTGGCAAAACCGAAACCGGTTTGGTTTGCAATTGTCAAATTGTCAAATTGTCAACTGGCATCTGTGAGATACGTTTGTATCTTTTGTGTTCCGCTGTACCTATTACCGGTTTTGGGTTATTGTCGGCGTGTGTGGGTGCAACTGGACAACGGCGTCTGTCGTCGATGGGCCGACTGTCAATTCTAGACACAAGTCTGCTCCATATAAAGTGACATGCGCGCCGTTCAAACCACATCATTAAGCCAGCGTCGCTCACAGCGCCAACTGCCGAAGTCGACGGACGAAGGATAAATACCGAAATACAACGCGACGGGCTTAAAAACCATTCCCTCCGAGTGTGTGTGTGTATCTGAATCTGTGTTTGTGTCGTTTCGTGAAAAGCAAAACAGTCAAGTTAACTACAAAATGGCCAGTAAAGTAAGTAAAAAGCAACTCAGTGCCACAGCTGCGGGCAGAGACTGCAGCGAAAAGGATATAAAAAAAAACCTATTCTCATTAGACAAAACATATAAAATAACTGACATGTGTATATGTCAATAAATGATTAAACTGTTTTTTATTATATTTAAATCCATCCAGTCTGATTTGATACCTAACTTTTCGATATTGAGTTGCTGGTTAGATGAGTATCTGTATATGATCCTTCAATTTGGCATGTAGTTCTTATAGATCTAAGTATATGATCCTTTATTTCAATGATCATTTAATTAGATATGTAGTTCTTTATGATTTTTAAGTTTATCAGGCATTGTATTGTTAGTTGGTATTCAAAATGGCATCTTCATCTTATTCTTCTCAGTTTCATATTAAATTATCAAAAACCATTATATTTCTACAGAAAAATGGGAGTTACAGAATTAAGAATTTTTCGAAAATTAAAAATATTAAATAGAAAAAAATAGAATTATCATGTTTATTTTACTAGTTAATATCAGAAATGTTTCTAGATTCTATATTTCTTATTGTTTGATCTCTTATTAAGAATAGATTTTTATATTTAGCAGTTATTTTTCTGGATATTCTCAGCATATTAACAACTTACTATTTTTTGTTCCCAGTTTTTGACTGCTCTCTCGCTAATGGCGCTCATTGGTTGCTGTTTGGGCGGGTTCGCTGCCACCTACTCCGGCTTCCAGCCCGGCTATGCCACTTACCATGCAGCTCCAACTGTTTACCATGCGGCGCCGGCTGCAGTGTATCACCAGGCGGCGGTTGCTGCTCCAGTTTACACCAAGACCTATGCTCAGCCCCTCGTTCAGCATGTGGCTCCAGTTGCTCCCATTGCTCCCGTTGTGCGAACCTATGCAGCGCCCGCAGCTGTGGCTGTTGCACCCGTTGTGAAAACCATCGCCGCAGCGCCTGTGACTCCAGTTGTCAAGCAGTTGGAACTGGAATCTGCTCCCCGTTATGAGTTCTCCTATGGTGTGCATGATTCCATCACTGGTGATGTTAAGAGCCAGATTGAGAGTCGTGATGGCGGCAATGTGGTTGGCTCCTACAGCGTTCTCGATGCTGATGGCTATAAGCGCACCGTTACCTACACCGCCGATGACATTAACGGTTTCAATGCGGTCGTGCATCGCGAACCGGTTCTGGCAGCCCGTGCTGCCGTTGCTGCAGTTGCTCCCGTTGCTCAAGTTGCTCCCGTTGCTGCTGTTGCTCCCGTTGCTCAAGTTGCTCCAATTGCCAGTCTGCCCGCACCCATCTACTATCCACAACAGCAACTGTTCCAGCCACAGCAGCAACTGTTCCAGCCACAGCAGCAACTGTTCCAGCCACAACAGCAATTGTTCCAGCCACAGGAGCAGCAGCCAATTAATGGTAACGAGGAGAGCGAAGTTGTGGAGGCGCCACAGCAGCCCGACCAGGACCCAGCGTCCATTGATTACTCTGAGCAGCAGCAGCAACAACAGCAGCAGCAACAACAGGTTTACCCACAGGATCAGCAGTTCCCGCCCTATCCAGCGGCTTCACCTGGACCTGTCGACGACTCGGACTCCGATGTGGTTGAGGCACGCTCCGTCCAGGAGTCGAGCAGCACCACAGCAGCACCTCCAGCTGCCGTTAACGAGGAGAACATGGAGCAGGACAAGAAGTCTGCCTAAATTGTGATCCATTGCAAACTCTTGATTATTGCCCACATATTGTTGAGATTAAAAACCTTTTATGCTTAAATTTCATTAATGAAATGTGTTTTATTTAAAGCCAATATACACGCTGAGCTCAGTTTCAGAAATCTTTTTTTAAAGAAGAGAAATATTGATTGGTAGGGTTTATTTGTTTTATTCCGATTGAGTATGAATTTTGCAAATATCATATGCAAGCAAATATAATAGCAGAATGGCTATTTTTGTAAATAATATTTGTCATTTTTTCAATGCAAACAGTAAGCCATGCGAAAGTTGTTCAATAACAAATGAATATAAGATATTCATGAAATAAAATGTGTTTTAGACTGAATAAATTATTGTTTGCAAATGCTTTTAAGATAAGCTATTTCTTCATACTTTGCTCCGTTTTATAATATTGTCGAGAATTAGCAGCAATAACGATAGTTATTTAAAGCGCGATAGTTATTTAAAGCGAAGTACAATTAAATTAAGCATTTCGAATTGATTAGCTTTGCAGATTCCGCTCATGTGGATGGTAAGTGTCTGCGCTGCAAACGTGTGGATTATATTTCAAACCGGCCGCTCAAACTCAAACTTAAATTGACTAATTTATATAACGGATCTATGTTCTAGGTATATATAATGTACATACAAATGTTTTAAAATATTAACTTGAATTGTAGATATAATAAGATCGTACAAAAATGTTAAATATTAGAAAGCGCCATCTACCGCATGATCACACAGTGCAGCCAGCTGATATATTCGAAATAAACATGGCCTGGTTTGGTAAAATAATTATTATATTTATTAATAAAGTAGTTATTATTATATTGCTAGAAAGATACTGATTCTAATTGCGAAAAATGCAACAATTTGAAGTCATATCGTGATTGTATCTGCACTTTAATCGGTAAATATCGTACACGGTTGGTTGTCCGATAGTATCGATACAATTGAAGCATCTGAAGACAAGTCAAGCATCTTGTTCAAATTAAACGGAACTTTTTTTGTAGCGCAAAGTAGGCATAGGGATCAAATTCACAGCTATATTTTGTATTAAACTTTTAAAAACTCACAGTCTTGATCCGATTTTAACAGTGTTAACACGCCCGGAAATTTCGTGTTCCAAATTTTTTGATTTCAAATAAAGTATAAAAATTGTTGTTAAAAATTATTAAAGGAAATCATAAATTAGCACACCATAATTCAGTAAAACATATTCAAATACAAATACATATAAAGGAGGTAAGTGCTGCTAACAAAAAAAGTGTGGTGTGCAGAAGTGAAGCAAATGGCGGAACGCAGTTAAACGCAGCCGCAGCTGTTGCTTTGTTGTTGTTGCTGCTGCGTTGGCCTTGTAAAGCCGGCTTTGCGCACGAAAAAAAGAGAATTTCCAGGCACAAATGAAATGCAATAAGTGCTCGCACACAAACGCACTTTTGCATGTGTGTGTGTGTGAGGCAATCAAACCAGTCCAACATTTATTTCTCTTAATTTACTACAGCTGTTGAGTGAAGAATACATCGAAAAACGTTCCAGGATGAGCAAGTCGGAGGCAAGCGCACGCCAGGGCCACTACAAGGCCAACACACTGAATACGCAGGCAAGTCACGGCTTCTCTTTTTCTCTCTTTCGCACTTAACCTCAAAATTTTTATATATTTTTTTGGCGGCTAGGATTCGCGCATGCGTCGCCATGAGGTGACCATAGAGCTGCGCAAATCGAAGAAGGAGGATCAGATGTTCAAGCGTCGCAACATCAACGATGACGATCTAACATCACCGCTCAAGGAACTAAATGGGCAGTCACCGGTGCAGCTGTCCGTCGATGAGATTGTGGCCGCCATGAACAGCGAGGATGCGGAGCGTCAGTTTGTCGGCATGCAGCAGGCACGCAAAATGCTTAGTCGCGAACGTAATCCACCCATTGATCTGATGATTGGCCATGGCATTGTGCCCATATGCATACGCTTCCTTCAAAATACCAGCAAGTAAGTTGGTGCTAATCCCCAATCCTAGTTCCCTCTTAACAGTTTGTGTCTGTATTAGCGATATGCTGCAGTTCGAGGCCGCGTGGGCTTTGACCAACATTGCCTCGGGCACATCAGAACAGACGCGCTGCGTCATCGATGAAAATGCAGTGCCACATTTTATAGCCCTTCTGCAGTCCAAGCACATCAATTTGGCCGAACAGGCCGTTTGGGCGTTGGGCAACATTGCCGGCGATGGGGCCGCGGCACGAGACATTGTTATCCAGAACAATGTCATTGATGGCATTTTGCGTCTGATTAACAATGATACGCCTTTGTCGTTTCTGCGCAACATTGTGTGGCTAATGTCGAACTTGTGCCGCAACAAGAATCCATCGCCACCATTTGAGCAGGTGAAGCGTCTGCTGCCTGTGCTATCCCAGTTACTGCTCACCCAGGACATACAGGTGCTGGCGGATGCGTGCTGGGCGTTGTCCTACGTGACGGACGATGACAATCACAAAATCCAGGCTGTTGTAGAGACGGACGCAGTGCCACGCCTCGTAAACCTACTGCAAACCGATGAGCCGAGCATTATTGTGCCGGCATTGCGCAGTGTTGGCAATATTGTTACTGGCACGGATCAACAGGTTTGATGGTGTTTAATAATTTAAGTATTGCCTGCTAAGCTAACCTATTCTCGTTTGCAGACCGATGTGGTTATTGCCGCTGGTGGCTTGCCAAAGCTTGGCATTTTGCTGCATCACCCCAAGGGCAACATTGTGAAGGAGGCTGCATGGACTGTGAGCAACATTACGGCTGGCAATCAGACACAGATTCAGGCCGTCATAGATGCTGGTCTATTTCAGCCGATACGCCATGTGCTTGAGAAGGGCGATTTCAAGGCACAAAAGGAGGCTGCATGGGCGGTGACCAATGCAACCACCTCGGGCAGTTCCGAGCAGATTGTCGATCTTATTGAAAAGCATAAGATATTAAAGCCGTTCATCGATTTGCTGGATGCGAAGGATCCGCGCACCATCAAAGTGGTGCAAACGGGTCTATGCAATCTATTCACACTTGCCGAGAAGCTCGGTGGCACTGAGAACTTATGTCTGATGGTCGAGGAGCTGGGTGGCCTCGATAAGCTGGAGGCGCTACAACAGCATGAAAACGAGGAGGTCTACAAGAAGGCATTTACCATAATAGATACCTACTTCAGCACTGCCGACGACGAGGCTGAGCAGCAGCTAGCGCCGCAGGAGGTTAATGGCGCACTCGAGTTTAATGCCGCACAGCCCAAGGCTCCCGAAGGCGGTTTTAACTTCTAGAAGAAAAAACTCGACCAAAACAACCCATACACATACACACACACAGAAGTCCCACGCACATACAAACACACACACATACGCACACTTATATATTGTTTTCTGTTACTTATGCGACCGCGCCTACACGATCCAACACACCAAGTTTTTAACTCACTTTCACCTAATTAGTGTGTTGCCAATGCCATCCCCTATGAGTGTATTTAACATTTGTTACGCCGCACATTTCCACATTGTCCCGCAGCAATATGGCCATGAAAACGCATCCTAGGTTCGTTCCCCATACTGCAAACTCCCACATTTAAGAAAAAAAAAAAAAACGCCAGCAGCACTTGTCCAGCTGTGCTGGTTTAAAACACTGAAATTCAAGTTCAAAGGACGCAGCCTGTTTGCGTTCGCATGGCCATTTGTACTGAGTGTGCTAATTGCGAGTAGAGTACACCCCTCCCCCTATATTTTTCGGATAATTTTTATTTAGGCTGCTATAGTATGTTTTCAATGTATATGTATTTAATATTTTTTTAGCAAATCGCTTGCCACCCTAAATCGCACACAAAACCTATAATCACATTAAATCACGGCACTCAACACTGTGTCCTCGTCCTTTTACACATACATTGTAATAAAGTACATCAATAATAATCCATTTGAAGCTTTTAACATAAAATTCGGAGTCTAACTTTAAATCTAAGAAAATAAAAAATTGTATATGCTTCAACTGAATTGGCAATTTCGAGAAGTTGTATTGTAATCTACTACTCGGGGTTAGTGAGTCGAGTAAAAATTTGCAGTTTGTGCATGTATAATAATAATGATAATAAACTTAAATGTCATATCTACTGCTGAGCAGAACTCTCTTGAGTTAAAGCGCCATATTATAAGTATAACGACCCAAATGCGCCAGATTAGATAAGCTGATTAAACAATAGAACTATGAAAACAAAGCGCTCGCGGGATGACTCAATTCAATCAAGCATCTCAGCAGCAGAGCAACAGCAGCAGCAACATCCCAATCAGCGACAATTCTAGTGGTTCAGCGCCAAAACAACGCACTAATGGCCCCAGAAGCGTCGGACAGCACCCAGAAGAGAGGCGAGCGCAGTCAGCCCCAGTTTGTGCAGTTCTGCGTCTCTCGCGTCGCATCGGCATCGAAATTATAAAAATAGATTAAAATTTTAGCGTTGAAGAAAAAAAAAACAACAAATTAGTTGCAGAAAATTCGAACTTAGCCAGAGCTTTCCGTTTCCGACTCGCTTGTCCAAATGTCGTCATCAATGAACAGAGCATCAGGCCAACTTAATTAGATTCTTTCATCGTCTAAGAGCGAACGAGGTTTTAGTTCTATTTTGTGCGAAGCTGCGTGCGGGCGTGAATTCGCTTCTGCTTTCCCTTTTTTTAATTGTTTAATTGTTTTGCCATACGCTTTATACCTTTTTTTTTGTTCATTTATTTCGTATTTAATTTGATTATACTTTGTGTACATTGCGAAGTGAGCAGCAAATTTAATAGGTAAATGGTTGAAGAGAGTGATAAGAAAATTCAAATTTTATAAACTATTAAAGTGTTCATAGCAAACAAATATTGTAATACAAGTTAAACAATCTAATAATTAAATATATAAATAACTTAAATAATTCATTTGTTAATCATTGTAAAACATACCCAAGAATTTAAATAAAACACCGAAAATTCGAAATTAAATTCAAAATTTGCTGCATTACCCAATATATAGCAATATAGCTAAATACTAAAAAACAAAAATAAATAAAAAAAAAAACAAATAAAATAACTAAAATTATTATACTGAGCAAAAATATACAAGCATATACAAAATTTGCTCAGATATCGGCGTGTGTGCGTGTGTGCAGTGAAAATCTCCAACACATGTTGCTCTTAATACACAATCGAGATGATTACCATTGATGATGATAATGATCACTACGAAAATGATTCTGTGACCTCATGCTTAGCCATTGAAAATCTAGTGAGCATTTACCATCTGCCACTTGGTTAAGCGTCAATAGTAAACATGCTCCAAATTTTGCCAAATTCAAATAACAAAATATATATGTACATGCTGGGAAAACACTAAAACACTTTTGACAAATTCATGATGTAATTAATTTCCGAAAAGAAAACACCAAAATTGGCACACCCAAAATAAACAGTAAACATTTAAGAGCTGAGTACGCCGAGTAGCGCTACTTATAAAGTCAAACGAATCTGCAGCTGACACGAAATAAAGGAAATCTCTTCTAATACCCTATACACAGATATATTTAAATATATATATACATCCATACATACATATATACAAGAAATAGTACTTTTATAAAACGAATTAATGTATTTAAATTGTAAACTCTTTTGTATTTTCATCATCAATCATTTCGATTCCACTTTTGTAGAGTGTTTCTTAGTCGAACTCTGTGTGCTTTAAAGATTGTTTTCAGTGTTTTAATGTGTGGAGGCGGCGAAGTACGCGAACTATATACGCTAGAAATACTAGATACGCGACCGATTAAAAGATGCCGAAATATATATATATATAAATATATATATATGTATTTATATATATATATGTTTATGTGTGTGTATAATATGTATGTTTGTTTGTTTAGCGTCGCAATGTCAAAAAGTTTTTCCGTTTTGGGCTGTTGTGTATTTGGTTGGCTAACCGAGAATAGTGTCAAGTTTTTGTGTTTGCTGGCAATTGTCTTGGTCTATTGTTTTTCGCTTTGTTATTTTTTGGTGAATCTCTTGCCATAATGCTAGAATGCACCCTGTGTGCTTACTATTAAATTAAACCGGGTAAAATAAAATATGAACAGAATAAGCAAACTCCGATTATATAATAAGCATATAAAGAGAATAGAAATTGTCAATATCAGTAAAACACTCTTAGTTAACCAAATGCATTTTTAATTGCATGCAAAGGTTTTTATGAATGAATTCGAGTGTTATATTACAGGGTATTTGTAAGTTGTGTGCTCCAGACCGGAGCAATTTTCATTTAATGTTGGTGGCTTTCCAGTGAAGTGGAATAAATTAAAATTCATTGTTTTCTAGGAAGTGCCGTTTTGAGGCCATGGCCAAACTTTTCGGCAATTGAAAAGAAAATTTAATAGAATTTAAGACATCTAATGTGTATGGAACCTCTGCGCACATTAAAATATATACAATATGAGCAAAGATATAAAAGTAGTGGATAAACAACATACGATTGCAGCTTAATAATATTTTGGTTGCGTACATTTAGCTAATTTTACATCTATGTGTCTTATATCTAAAGAGCACACGGTCATGTCAAGATCTCAGAGTTTGAGCTGAATGCTATCAAGTAAATCCGGATCTTTTAAAGATGTTTGTTTAGACACATGTGTTTTGCATTAAACTTGAAGGGCATTTTGATATATACTACTAATCGCATGATACAATGTACATCTGATCACTACTTATAACGTAAATAGCATTAAATATCATTATTACATTTCATTAAAATTATGCAATAAACACAAAATACATATGTACTTTCAAAATTGATAAAATTAATGTTTAAAGATATCTGTGTAATTGAAATAAGTCTTTTTATCTGCATGTTTTTATCACATTTCTTGATCAGTTTCGAGATTATCTACGAGACAAAAATAGTTTTTGTTTACAAAGTACGCTTTATGTATCTAGGGGATACGAATTTTTGTTTGTTATATATATTTTTATTATAAACAAGTGGGTTCATCTTTAACCTAAGAATCATTTAAAATGCACACAAAATTGTACAATTTATCATATCCTTAAATGATTAATAGCCCTCCAGCAGTCTGATAGCAAAATGTTAAAATATTTTCTTTTTTTTTTCAGCTCCCCATAGTCAACCCCTGTTGCTAAAACAGTATGAGTGCTGCACCCATTCCCACAGCACCTGGAGTGCCGCAAGAAATCAATCTTGGAGCCGAGATTTTTCACAATATTGCAATAGCAGCCGCTGATGAAAATGTAATTATATCGCCAATCCTGTTGGAGGCGAGTCTGGCGCTGCTCTACCTGGGCTCCGATGGCACCACAGCCGCGGAACTGGAAAAGCTGTTGAAGCTGAAGCAACGCTTCGCCAGCAATGCTAAAATGGCCAATTTTTATGCCGCTGAGCTAACCGCAGCAACGGGCGATCAAAATACACGCATTCAGCTGCAGAATCGCCTGCTGCTGCAGGCCAACGTTGGCACAAACATTGCAGACGACTTTCAAAAGATTGCCCAAACGTATTTCCATGCGACGGCCGAGTGCCTCGACTTGCAGCAGTCCGAGAAGCTGAACCGTTACATAACCGATAATATCTTGGCCAGCACTGGCGGTGGCAACTGGGGTCAGTCTCTCCAATCTATTGGCAGCCAAGCGTCGCAGCTGCTTCTTCTGCTCGCTGCTCGGCTACAAAGCAAATGGTTTTTGCCATTTAGTGCGTATCGCACTGGCTTCTACGAGTTCCACAGCCACGCCTCGGACACACCAAAGCAAGTGCTCATGCTCTTCGACGAGGACATGTTTGTGAAATACGCTGAGCTGCGGGAGCTGAACGCCCGTGTCATTGAGTTACCTTATGAGCACGCCGATGAGCTGGCCATGCTCCTAATCCTGCCCAACAAGCACGATGTATCGGCTTTGGCAGAGCTGGAAACTCAACTGCGCACCGTGGATCTCGGTGCACTGCAGCAGCGCATGCAAATGGAGAGCGTTCAGGTGCTGGTGCCCAAGTTTAGCATAGACTTTGAGTGCAGTTTACGGCAGGCGCTGAAACAGGTGAGTCAAAATACTGACACGAAAGCTGAAAATAATGTTGAATAAATGTGAATGCTTAAGGCGTCTGATTTAGTTACAAATTCTAATTGCTTCCAAAGTCATTCAAATTATGTTGTTTTGTTGCAAACAGTCATGGCTCCCACTAAGCCAAAATGTCATAACTTTCAACTGACTCCATTTAGCAAACTTATTTTCATTTAAACTTATTGTCTAGCAAAAAGTTAGATCTGTTCTATCAATCGGATTAAATTGTTAAAAAAAAAATTAATAAATTGTATTCAGTGCTGCTGTCAAAATATATTAGGAGTTTTCAAACTTTTGTATAGATTTTATTTATTTCAATGAAGTTCGCCTGCACCTGCCGTATTTTTTTTATGCATGCAATGAAAGTAAAATCTTGCCAGGTGAACCAGAAGCAAAAAGTATTTTTGTACAGCTAAACAATTTCACTGCATACTTTTGCGGTCACCATGAAGTCTGGCATTTGTGAGCAGCACAAAAGTCAGCAACAGTAATTTCCGGTGCCTAAAAGTATGTCGCATATTTTATTATTTCTTGCGTTTGAAAGTATGCAATGTATATTTTTCTGTAAACTGCTCCGAGTTAAATGCATTCAGTCAAGTTAAATTGTGAATACTGATTATTGAAATCGAAGAATTGGTTGACGTAATTAACTTTTCTGTAAATTATAAATATTTGTTGAGCAACTTTTGCATTTTTAGCTGGGCTTTACGGAGATTTTCGGCTCCTCAGCTAACTTCAAGCATTTGCATTCAGCCGCCAACCTGCCCATTGTCGATGTTCTCCAAAAGCTGCGAATTGACTTGAACGAATCCGGATCAGGTTCCGAGTCGCCTCAGCCGGCAGCAGGTGAGTTATTTAGAAAACAAAATGCCACCCCCGACAATTTATATAAAATATTCATTTCAGGTTATAAGCCGATTGTAATTAGCAATTCCTCACGCCAAAAGTTCTTTCGTGCGGATCATCCATTTTTCTTTGCCATACGTGGGGAGAACGTGACCCACTTTATGGGACACTTGGTTAGCTTTTAGCGGATATGAGTCAGCAATATTTATAATGTGTATGCCATACTGATAATAATCTATTAATAATTTGTCACAAACTCACAATTCATCAGCGATGCAATAAAAACAACAAGAAATAATGCCTTTTTTTCGAGAGATTTTTTATAACAAGAGTCTTGAGTTTATTCAAAGATATATGTATGTGTATGTATAATTTGTTTGTTGCAGAAATAGTTCTGTTATATTCTTTAGTTTTACAATTATTGTATTTTGTAGAGATTTTATCGTTTTACATTGTAATTATGCATTAATTTTTATTTTAGGTCTAGAAAGAAATGGAATCAAAAACTTAAGCACACTCTTCTTTTGGGTGTGCTCAGACTGAATTAATCTATATATATATATATAGTTACTTTACTCTTTTGTTTGATCTTATTTGTATATCTAGCTAAAAAATTGTGTTTAGTTTAAATTCTTTCATTTGATTTAGATGACTTGAAGTTTGATCTGGAATGTACTGAAATAGCTATGCGGTTTGAATGATGTCTAAAAACCATCTCACAGAGTTGCTATATTTCTTTTGATGGAATCTTCACATGTGGCCTATTGATATTTACAGAACACAAAGATGTAATAAAACATTTACCAAAACATTGTGAAACTTTCAACATAAAACTTTTCACAATAAATCCTTCTAAATTGCAATAGTAAATCAGTTAAATATTACATATTAGTTTTTAGCAAGTAATTATTTACAAGATGGGAGTTACATATATTTATTTGGAGATATAAATATGTACACTATTCTGTTTTTTATGCACCATCAAATGCCCAAGCATCAGACAGTGAGTACCCTTACTGAATGTCACTGCTTATCAATAGGAATCCAAAGTATTGTATACTCCGTTATCTAGTTTACTCAGGGTCCTTACAGCTTGCTGCTCAGCTGGGAATCTTCACATTTCTTGCTTACCACAGCAGGTGGTGGTGGTTGTGCTGGTGACGCCGCCGTTGCATCCACATCGATACTACCCCGATTGAGCAAATAGTCAAGATCGTGGGTGATGCGATCCAGGGTTGCATTATTGCTGCTGCTGTCAACTCCCTCACTCTGCGTCGACGGCGTCCCAGAGATCGTTGTGGTGGCCGTGGTTGTGGTGGAGACGACAGCAGCCACCATAGTAGGCAGCAGTGGATCGAAGGTGGTGCGTGACGTTGGCTCCATTATGGTCACACGCTTCTGCGTCTTGGGCGTTGGCAACGTGGCACTCGATAAGACACCACCAGTCAGCGCACCACTTAGATTGCCGCTAATGGTGGGTGGTGGTGGCAGCTGGGGTCCCTGTGGCAGGCTCAGCACCAGCGGACTGGGCACAAAATCCACATACGGATTATGCTGCAGCGGCACATAATGGGGCGTGGCAGCATGGCTGGTGGTGCGTATGCCAATGATGCTGTCTACAAGTTGTCTGTGGTTAGCCAGTGGCCCATTAGCAATGCAACAGCAGCACTCGAGATTTCTCTCAACCAAGTGCCGCTCAGTCACTTACCTGCCGCCAGACCCTGCAGTATGTCCAGTGTCTCCACGCCGACAAATTCATCATAATGTGTGGCTGCCTGTGGGTGGTGCAGCATACGCCTGCCCAGACTGCCCGTCAACCCACCCATCGTGTACGCATCGTAGGCATAACCCAGTGCACTGGCTGCCTCCGCATTGCCGCCGCTGAGCAGTGCACAGCAGCGTGTGGCTGGCGAGGCTGCCACAGTCAGCGGCATCTGCTGATGTTGATGTGGATGCGGATGTCCACTTAGTAGCGTTTCTGCTGTACTGACAACGGCAGCTTGGCATCGTGGCGCCGTCGAGATGATTGTCAACGGCAGCTGCACTCCCCCACCGATTCCTGTTCCTGCTCCTGTTCCAGTTGCCGCTGACAGTTCGAGTCCTTGCTTCTGTTGCAGCGGTGCAGACCCCGTAGAGATTACCCCAGTTACCCCTGCGCCTGCTCCAGTTGCTGCTACTGCTGATGTTGCCATGCATTCGCTCTCCTTCTCCTTGTCATGATTGGTATAGACTGCAAGTGATGGTTAGTAGAGTGAGTTGCAGTTAGAAGTGGCCTCGACTTTGGCCTCATCTGTGTATCTAAATACTTACAGCTCAGTGGACTATTGATGCTGGCCGTTGTCGTCGTGCAGTAGTTCTCATCCAGGCTAGTTTTGCTCGTATTGAATTTGGTTTGCTTCAGCGAGCTGCTCTGACTGCTGCCATTGCTACTCAGGAAGGGTGGTCCACGCAGCTGGCTCTCGGCCTTAATCACAAAACAAAACAGTATGCCAAAGCCCTGAAATTCAAGTTACAAATATATATATGCGTTAAGGTGACCACTTGATGACTTTTATATATTTTTCAGCATCATTCCGAACTCAAAATAACTCTGGAAGATATGTGCCTGATGTTTGATATTATATTTTATGCTTCTCATAGCAAAAGTTAAAATTAAGTTAAAATAATAAATTAGTTTGAGTAAGATAATACAAAAACTACAAAGTCTCTACAAGTATTTATCAACTGAGTAAAGGCATTTTAGGAAAACGTATTTCCTTTTTCGAATTATCTTAAGAAAGAGTAATCATACATCCAATAAGTCCTGGTAAATATTTAAAAAAGCTTCTAAAATTATTAACATTTAGTGTAGTCTATATTTCTGTGTAGTCCATACTTTCAGGCGCTTTTCCTATATTTTATTTACACCGAATACGTTGGCAGCAGAGTTCTCTGGTGGGAAAGACTCAGCGAGCAATTAAAAGTCCATTACAAGTTACCTAATGCTAAATATGTATTTAGTTTGGCTTGGACTGAAGTTAAGCGAACTCAGCCATTTCAAATAAATTGTATTTTGATTTCAGTTGTCAATTGACAGAGGTCTTCACCACACACGAGTTCAAGTAGCCATCTGAAATGTCATCTCAACTGACCAATTCATGAAAACAAAGTAATAAAATTCTTTAATCTTAAAATCTAGAAGAACAACGAGTGTTGAGTAGAGAACGTATAAATAGAGAGAAATACCAAATAAATATAAAAAAATATAGGGAATATCGACGATATTTCCTATCCCTAAATATCACTGTTGTTCTAACACATTTTAAAATGCCGCAAGAGTATGTCACCTTTAATGATTTTATGAGCCTACCTGTGCTTTACTATCGCAGCATTGGAGTGGATCCATTCGAATCGATTAGCACCAAGGCAACTTCGCATCGCTGGCTCTACGCCAACTTTCTGTTTCAAGTGTTAAATCTAATATTTGTAATTGTCCTAGAAGCAATTTTTGTGTACATATCGTTTATGAAGAGCGAGAACTTTGTGGAATCCTGCATGGTAATGGGCTACATAGGTTATGGTCTCGTGGGCGAGCTAAAGATGATAACCGTCTGGTTGCAGAAGCCCAAGTTGACCGCATTAGTGCGTGAAATGGAGTCAATATTTCCATCATCCGCACCTGAGGATCAACGCAAATATCACGTTGAACACTATCTGCAACGTTGTCGTATGTTCACCAAGGGTTTCACTGGATTCTACCTAGTGCTCGTCGCTCTTTACAATCTCTTCATTGTCGTCCAGTTCATCGTACAACGATTCATTACGCAGCTGCCAGGTGCACAGATGTCCATGCCCTATTCCCAAATATCGCCATGGAGTGTGGACAACAGCCTGGGCTTCTGTGTGATGTACGCTCTGCAGGCATTGGCTGGTTACACGAGCACAGCCGGACACATTTCCAGTGATATTCTCATCTATGCGGTGGTCATTCAGGACGTTATGCACTATGACTTTTTGTCAAAGGAACTGGTTAAGTTGGATATCCACACAGATCGTGTGGCTGATGGCTATGCCAAGGATCTCAAATTGCTGCAGAACTTAATATCCTATCACAATAAGCTACTGGGGTAAGTTGGAATAAGCTATGTCATCTATGAACAGATGATATCCCACTGTTCCCATAGACTAAGCGATGTCATCAATAAGGTCTTTGGCTTTCCGCTGCTCTTAAACGTTTTGGCTTCTTCGCTGATAGTCTGCTTTGTGGGCTTTCAGATGACACTTGGTCTGAGTACAGAGCAAGTGTGCAAGCTGGCAGTCATGTTGGTGGCCCAAATTTTGGAAATCTATCTTATATGCTATTTTAGTGATATGCTTATCATTGCAGTACGTATGTGGTATATGAATAATATAAAGAAAGTCTTATGATTTATTTAATAGAGTGGCAGTTTGGCAGCATCCGTCTATCAAATGAATTGGATTGAGGCAGATACGCGCTATAAAAAAATGCTTATTCTTATAGCATTACGGGCTCAGAGACCGGTGTGCTTGAAGGCAACTGTATTCTTGGATGTTTCAATGCAGACTATGACAATGGTGAATTATTTGTTTGCTAAATTGTAATGAATCACACGAATGTATTTCACTTCTTAATCTTTCAGTTCTTGGAAATGACCTACAGATTCTTTTGTATCATTCGTACCATGTATCAGTAAAGTACCAATTGCTAACTGAAACTGAAGTTGGCTAATTAAAAGTTACTCAAATGCTCACTAGCACTCCTTGCACATTAATTACCTTTTCTATGATGTTGTAGATAGATAATATCATAGAGCGGCACACTAAATTGTTGTTCACCAATGGAATTAAATATGTTATAAAAGCAAATCTTTCATTATGTTTCAAGCGATGCAGTTCTGGAGAATTTGAGTATTTAAATTGAGCTATCAGTGAATGGTCATTTAGCTATCATTAAGTTTCAGTACCGAAGAAATGACTTTTTTTAAGGGCATGCGTTCTGCCAAATATCTCTGCTATAAGCTTAGTAGAAGGAGGACTTAATATGTAAAAATTTAATTGATTTCCATCGAATAACCGACAGCCATCACCTTACCTTACTTACATCATTTTTAAAAATTGCCTTCGACAGGTGCAATTTTTCAGATATCCTTCACATTGGTCACATTCATAATGCAAAAGGCAAGTAATTTGAGTAATTTTCTAAAATGACTTCATTTGCAAAGCTTTCACAACATTGCTAACCCACAACGACAACAATATTTAGCTGCATAAATCATTCAGGAACTTAAACCACAACCCAGTTCTAAGTACGTTGCAATAAAGCTAAAAAACTACCATGAAAACCACATTGTTTGATTTGCCCCCTAGGCAAACTTTGCGGTTTTTAGGAAATATTCGATTGGAATTGGACACATACTGGCTGGGTATTATAATTTGTTCACTAAGTTTATATCACACTCAAGGAAACATATTTTGACAGTATCACAAGCAATAGCATATAATACATTGCTTTTATAAAGAAATAATCACGAAATCTACTTAGAATACATGATTATCTTCACCCCTTTTCTGTTGTAATATGAATATTATTGTTAGAGGGTATTATAATTTTGTTACTAATTTTGTAACACATTGAATTAAGAGTCCTGACCTCATAAAGTACATATCTTGATCAGTATCAGACTTGAAACGTGAAACTGGAAAACCATAACCAAAAAACAAAATAATATCTCGTATTGAAGGAAACGATTTAGTTAAGATATCGTCAGGTGATCGCCTGTCTTTAAGGATACATATTGTTCGGTGTGCTTCAGATAGCAGTTCCTTCACTCATATTTTCATACTCTAACAGTCACGAGAGAAGTGCTGATACATATTTTAGCTTGCGGTTTTGTAAGACTGGCAAATAATATTCCCCAGATACGTATGCCGCATTTGAACTGAGTTAGTATCAGTTGAGAACTTGAATTGAGTAGCATTGGTTAGCAATTTGCCAATTTAGAGATGCAAAAAGCATTTGTCACTTTCAAAGACTTTATGAGTCTGCCTCGAATTTTCTATCACTTAGTCGGCATGGATTACTACGAGCCGCCTGGCTCCAAGGCAAATTCCAATCGTCTGCTAAATGTCATCTTGCTGCTAAATGTTCTCAATACAGGCTTTAATATGTGCATGGAATTCGTGCTTATAGTGCAGTATTATAGGAATGGACAGGACATTGAGGTTATATGTATGATGGTGACCTATTTATGCTATATCTCTGTCGGCCAACTAAAGATAATCAACGCTTGGACACAGAAGTCCAAACTGAATGGATTGGTGAATGAAATGGAGGCAATCTTTCCAGCTGGAATCCGCGAGCAGCAGGACAAATATCAAGTTGACTACTATTTCAAACGTGTCCGATATTTTATGCGGTTATTCAGTGACCTCCTTTTGATGCTGTTTGTCGTGTATAGCGTCTACAATTTTGTTTATTATCAAGTACAGCGCTTTGTGCTCCACACTCCCAATACCGAGAAGCCACTGCCGTATTACTCAACATGCCCGTGGGATTGCCTCGACCACTGGAGCTACTATCTGATCTACACATCGCAGATATGGTGTGGCATCGTAACCGCAGCTGGGCACATCGCGACTGACCTCTCCATCTATGGGTTTACCATGCAGCTCGTCATGCACTTTGATTATATCTCAAAGACGCTGATAGAGTATCAGGTGCAATCCGGTCGGGTGGAGAATGGCCATGCAAAGGATATACAACAGTTGAAGGGTTTGATTATTTATCACCATAACTTGTTTGGGTAAGTTGGACTTCAATCGTGATTACTTTTTAGTTCACTTTTCCTTTTGCAGACTTTCGGATGTTATGAACTCTATGTTTGAACTCCCGGTACTTTTAAATTTTGCCACCTCCACTGTCTGGGTGTGCATTGTGGCCTTTCAGATGACCCTAGGATTGAGTGCGGGTCAGACTTTAAAATTGATTGTAGCCATGACGTCGGCCTTAACGGAGATCTATATAATTTGCTACTTCAGTGACTTGCTAATTGTATCGGTGTGTGTTGGTACTCGTTTGATATATCGTTTGAGGGTTTATATTTCCATTGATTCCTTGCTTGCAGAGCGAAGGTGTGTGCTCAGCGGCTTACGAGATTGATTGGTCATATGCCGATGTGCGATTTAGTAAAATGCTCATCATAATTGCTCAACGCGCCCAGAAACCAGTTTGCATAAAGGCCACTAAATACTTAAATATCTCAATGGAGACAATGGCAATGGTGAGTTAAACTAGGCTTATATATCCATTGGTAATTACTAATTTATTTCCTATGTAGTTCTTGAAAATATCTTATAGATTATTCTGCATAATACGCACCATGTATCAATAGAGTATTAATACTTTTCGGTTGGATTACAGCTTTTAAAGCAATCTCATAACAAAAAAACTTAATCAAATTCAAACTACATTAATGGCCATATATAACCTATGCACCATAAATTAGTAAATTTGTAGAAAACTAGCACATAGTGTCAATAACTAAAAAAAAAACTTTAGCAAGAATTTAAAATATATATATTAACCACAAACTATATACTGCACCTTTAAAACAAATAAATAAAATTTGTATTTTGCTTATTAAATAAACGCAACTGCTGAGAAAATTGATGATTGGATGGGAAAAAATCACTATAAGTCAAAATACAATGAAAAAAGAATATAAATGAATTGCATTTGAAATCAAATCATAGGAGTGCAAACTAATTGTATATAAGTAGTAATTCGACTGTTTAATGTTTAATTTATATATGTATAAAGTTAAGATGTTCATGAATTGATGCCAAGGCATCTGTCTTGACAAACGTATAGTGTTTGTTCAGTTTGGATTCACAGGGAAATTAATTACACAATTAGCACAGTCTCCACTTTACCCAGTGCTATCACCATTAAGGAGTTCCACGGTGTGCGTGTCTCAGCCCTTTAAATGCTCATATAAATAATTAAACTTGACCACAGCCTAATCTAAGCACATGCAACGTAAATTCTATATGCCAATCGATGGCCATATTAATTGCCTCAGCCGGCAAACACAGTCGAGACATTGAGCGTGATGTTTTGTGCATGCTCAGAATTGGTTAAATTTACTCGGTTTGTGTAATGCGAGCGAGTCTTTGACTGAGTTAGAAAAACAATAAATGTAATGCCATTATGGGCCTACTTATTTAATCGGACAGACCGATATAAGCAAAGCAAAATAAACAGTAGCTTTATCTTAATTATCAATTAATATCTAAGTGGCCATAAGTTGGTGTTACACGCAATGATTGGCTTTAAGAGTTGTGAAACTGCTCAAATTTATCTAAAAAAAAGGGGATCCTATGAGTCGTAGCAAATTTAAATCAAACCACAAATTCAATCAATGCCACATGGAAATCAAGTCTCATCAACACCGGCGTATAAAAATAATCTTAATAGCAGAATTAACGAAAAGAAACATATTATATAATTTAAATATGCTGGTTGGCATTGAAGGTGCTTTCAAGTGAGTACTGTGAAAAAGTACAAGTCCTTGTTATTAGTTTACAAAATAAATCAGTTGAAAAATAAATAAAGGGAGAAATGACAAGAGCAAAACCAAAACAAACGACGCAGAAAGAAGCACCAACATAATAAGCTTGGCAAGGGAGTGAATGAGTGAGTCAGTGAGTGAGGCAGTGAGTCAATGAATGGGGACCGATGTCAAATGCAAAGTATACACAACCAACAAAAAAAAGGCTTCTTTAGCCACTTTGATAAGAGACGGGGGCGACCTCAGAGCAGGCAGGTAAAACTTAATGCAGCGAGTGAAAGTGGTTACGGAGGAAGGCATAAAACGTGGGGCGTGGCTGGCGGCTGGCGGCTTCTGGCTGATGGTTGATGTTGCTGTTGCTCTAAAAGTCTCAGTTGATTTTGCATGCATAATTTGTGTGCCAGGCGTAAAAATATGCAGGCTTTGCACTTTGATGAAATATGCACGCGAAATAAGACGAAAAACTAAGTAAACCAGTATAAAACCCAAACAGAAAATAAAACAAAAAAAAAACAAAAAAAAAATACAGAAAAATGTACTTTGCATAAGATGCCGAGCCATGGGGGAGCAGTTCCTTAATAGTTTTGTTGACAAGTTGCCAGAGACGCCAACTCTGATCTCGAACAACTCAATCAACATAAAATCAGCAAGTGGCATCAAATTTGTACATCAAATCGAGCATACGTCTCGTTGTACCCACTTATGCTCTAATGCACGCAGCAACTTAATTAAATCTCAATTGGCTGACGACTTTGTATAGCATATGAAATATGGTAATTGGACTCTGGACTTACCAATATTATGCACGATATGCCAAACGGATATGCCCACAAAGTATCCGGCGTGGAATTAACGAAGATTATGAAGCATCCATCGCTGCAGAGTTTTATGAGCAGCAAACCGCCTGTCCGATAAAGTAATCCAAGTCTGTGGAACAGAGAGGGTGAGAGAGTGTGTGTGAGAGAATGAGAGAGAGAGAGAGAGAGAGAGAGAGTGAGCGAGAGCGACAGAGGAAATTAAAAGCACTTTCATTGGAACGCGAACTGATTTTATGGTGGACGTTCGTCTGGCCGCAGTAATTTTCTATTTTCAGCTTAGACAGCAAAAGGGAAATTACATTTTCAGAGTGGACTATTCTAAGCTGTGTGAGACATACATACATATATAGAATACATCAATGCATTAACTAATACTTGCGAACGGAATTTCGATTTGTTGCCCTTGTATATCTCAATATTTGTACTTAATGCAATGCAATTTCTATTTATCTATGTGCAACTTACCGTCTGCGCAGCGCCATATTGAATTTGTCCAGCGGATGTGCGTGCACATTTCGATTCTTGTGCCACAGCCACAAAAGTTTTTTCATTAAAATGACAAACAGCACAAAGAAGAGCAGAATGAAAAGCAGATCAATGCAAACGAACAGGATGAAACTCAGCGAGGGCGTCGCTGTTGACGTCGCCGTCGACGTCCCGCCCAAGCCGGATGTGAATGCCTCTGCCCGAGCATGTCCAGAGGCAGATGCGCGACGATTCCAAGCGCCAGCCAGCTGCTGCTCCTGCTGCTGTTGTTGCGGCCAAGTTAAGGCCGCAGCTGTCACAGCAGCCGAAGAGTTCGAAGAGGAGCTACTATTGCTGCTGCTGTCTGTGATTGATGTTGCTGATGTGGCCACATTATTGCTGGTGCTGCTCATTGATGAGGTTTGAGTTAGCGCCGGCCGCCGCCTGGCCGTTGCATTGCCCAGCAGCGCCTCCGATTCGAGCAGTAAATTATCGCCATTGAGTAGCGTGTGCGTTGCATAGTAAATACCAGCATCGTACTCTGTGGACTCCATTTCATCCGTATCGCTGCCGCTGCTGGCGCTGCTCGAATCGCTGGCGGCATCCAACGGAAGTCGGGTGGTGAGTAATTCCAGCCACCAGTGACGCGGCCACTTGCCAATGATGCTGCAGATGAGAGGCGCAGCAATCGCAAACAGCAGCGGCAGCAGCCAACTAATGCCAATGGCTCCGCGTATACCCGCTGAGCCGCTCTGAAGGGCTAAGGAGCGTGAGCTGCTGCAGTTGTTGGAGTGGTTGGCCGGCGTTGGATTCCGGTTGCCCCTTCCGCCGCTCCTCACGGCTGTCGTCTCGGGGGACTGGGATGTGATTTGCGTAATGTTACTTAGACTTTCGCGGCGTTTATTCGGCTTGGTTGGCGTGGCGGGCTTGGCAGCGATTTGCAGATACTTCTTCGGCACCAGTTCCGTGTGTATCACCAACGCAACGGCAATCAGCGTGGAGATGCACAGCAGAAGGAGCGATGCCAGTGTGCTGCTGATTATGGCATGCCAGTTCTGCAAAGACAGGAAATTATGGGGCACATTAATAAGACGCCACTAAGTGGGACATTGACGGCCACTTCGCTGCATCATCATTATTTTTAATTAATTACAAAAAAGTTGTAGTCACATTACAGCAACACCAACAGTATCCAGCATACCATTTACGACCAAGCACATATATTTTATGTTTTTTTTATTTTTTTTATGTATTTCACAGCTATTCACTTGGATTTCCCATGTTCTGTCGGTGCGCCATAAAGAAGACATCAAAATGTTGACGCATGCCTCAAGCATAAATTATTTCATTGCACTGCTTGTCAGGAACTGGACATTACTTATTAAAAAGTTATAAAACTGTCCTGTGAGTTGGGAGGGAGGACATTCAAATTTATTCAGTGGTTTGTTTTTGTCTTTTTTTTTTGTATCATTTATTGACTGCGTAAATGTAATCTATATATTAGAGGTTCTCTGAAATAAATAATAACAGTCAAATAAATCATTTATGAATTTCTAAAGATTTGTTAATTGAATTTACTAAGAGAACATTTTAGCAAATATACATCAAATATATTGAAAGTTGACATATTGTAGCAGGCCATGTGTAATGTAGGTAACAAGAGTAATAAGTAAAATAATATTTGTACTTGTACAAACTTGAGGAAGAGGATGAAATCAATGATTATGAATTAAATGAAGAAAGCATTTAGTTTTGACTGCTGCAATATTTGAAATGAAAATGAAAGTTTAAATAATTGCCCTGCTTGAGCAGTTTGCTTAATGGAAACTATCTGTTGTTTGGGGCACAATTAGCGATGATTGAAAACTTGACTTTTTTTAATTCATTCATGACTGACAACCAACCAGAAGGAGATTACATTAAATTTGATTTTACTTGTGGTATGACACCATCACCATTAACCAAATTACAAGTTAATACACTTCAAATACGACCTGATTAAATATGCGAATCCTTATGCACATTGTTTTTAAGAGCTCAAGTCAAGGGAAGTGGTTTCTGTACGGCAAGACGTTGTGGCTTTAATATTCCTGCCACACTTCATTACATTATCAGCATTTTACTTTGTACCAGTTCTTAATGCACAAACAGACGTATGTATATGTATATATTTATATATATATAGTGTACAGGTAAGGAAAGAACTCGGCACTGCTTCTGTTCTGTTCAGTTGCTCTTGGCTTCTTGGCGGTCATCGGTGCGTTGCATTGAAGGAGACGGTGAAAAACAAATTTGTAAACTTTTTAATTTTCAATTCTCAACGCGAATATTTCGCGGCGTCGCTTTGTTTTTCGTGATATTATGAGTTAAGTGCGCTTAAAAGCTTTTGCCTTTCATATGACTTTCTCTATCCTTCTCTCTTTCTCTCTCTCCCTCTCTCTCTCTCACATACTGCCTGCCCATCTGTGCCGTTTGGCCCCCGGGTAAACTGTGGCATATACGATATATATTTTTTCTTATGTAATTTATTATGTATTTTATATTTATTTATAACCAAAATTACATATGGAATAAGTAAAATGAATTTTTTAATATAATTTACTGTGGTTTATTGTGTGGGCGGTGGGCGTGCCAGCCTGAGGCTTGTGGCTTCCTCTTAGCTGTGACTGTGACTGCGACACGTGTTTTCAACAATACAATTTCCATATGTCTTTGCGGTGTGTCAAGCTCATTTTGCCGTGTAGTTATACCCTGTACCCTAAGCCAGAAGAGTCTTATGAAGATATGTGAATGCATATCAGAGGCGGTTTGAAGCATCTGCGACACATTAAGTCTAAATATTCTTGATGAGCATCAAAAGACTAGTTAAGATTGGAGTTCCATAAACTCCAATCTGTCCATAAACAGATCTGGTTTATTTATTGTAATCGAAACGTCCCTGCTTCCTAAATAGTAATGGAAATCGATTAACGATAACGAAATAAAAACTTGAAGAAATGCGAGGAATATTCCTTGGGATCATATTGATCAACTGCAGAAATTGTATCGATCTGTTCCAGAAATCGTATAATCATATTAGCCAAATCACATACAGTCAGTGCGAGTATATTTGTTAATATATTAAACTCATATCTGAGTGTACACTGTACAGGGTATCCTCTGGACGTGCTCTCTCTATCTCTCTGGGCATGCTTGCTTGTTTCCCTTAAATGTGTTTCATATTTTAATGTAGTCACTTACGCATTTGCATGCAATTAATGTATAAAATATTCGCATGTCTGTTGCATTATTATAAATATATATGTATATATATATATATATCATCAAGCATTTAATAAAAAAGCCTTGTACATATTTGGCCACAGGCGCCTTTAAGTAAGGTGCACATTAAAAACATGGCTTAGATGCCAAATTGCGGCCTATCCACACATGTTTCAGAGCGTCAACAAATTGTGGCAACATTTTGACGCTTATGGGCATCGTTGGACAATTTCGGCTAGAATAACACTTTGTGCAGCCATTAAGTAGAGCTGGCACACTTGACTAGACCAACAACTAATTCCTAACCACAACTCAGCCCCCGCCACCTCCGCCAGTGACCCAACACAATTGAAACTTTGTCTTCTTGAGCCGAAAGAAAGATGAACAAATATGTTAATGTCATTTCAACAATTTATCCTTGGCGTAGTTTTGATGATTCTCCACAACTTTGAGTTTGACTTTGAGCTTGTATCTGTTTTCTTTGTTTCCTCTCCCCTTGCTCTATCCACGAGCCTTTTGCCTTTGTCAACTTTTGCGAAATTCCCGCGACTCGGGTTGTTTTTACATTTTCAATTGCGTAAACCTTTTATTTTTGTTGTTTGGGTTATTTTTTTTTTTATTTTTGTCGCGTTTTATTTGTTTTTCATTCATTTATCGCGCTTCAGTTTCCACAGTGGCCCAGTTTATTACTAATTCAAAAATGTTACATCTTGCTAGAGGCTTACTGGAGTTATTTTTTTACGAAACTGCTGCTGGCTTTGCAGCTTCTCAAGACCCAGGAGATTAGGATGCTCAAATTTTTATATTTTGTTTATACGCGAATTTTACGTTTCATAATTTACAGATTGTCAGAATCTTTTGGGATTTTAAGGTTTGGAGTTTGGGTTGCATGGTGCTTGGACCGATCTCCCGCTTTTTATATATGCTATCATCTTATGATATTCTTAGCCAGCCTTATCCTTTGGTCTGGGTGAATTGAAAATTTGGGCATTTATTAATATTAATTTGGACTTTAGCGATTTTACTCTCGGGAGAACTTGGCTCCGTGCTGTTGACTTTTAATTTCCTCTCCTCGCAATAACTGGCCGACTGCTTCGGCAACAGGTGGGTGTGCAAATGGGATTTGTATTTCATACATTTTCTGCAACCCATGCCATTTTGTGGCCCTGTTGCCATAACAAACTGTAAATTATAATATTCGCAAATCCTGGCCATGTTTATTTGCCAAGTTATTAGACGCCAAGTTAATTTGTTTTGATGATGATGCTGTTGATTATTATTTGAATTGTGACTGCTACAGGTTATTTTCTATATGTATTGCGGCAATAAAAGTTGGCTAATATTCATGCTTGAATGCTTACGAAAATTGGTAATTATTGCTGCGTTCCCCAGGCGAACAGATGATCGTAATAAAGGGTCTAGACAGGTAGGTGTTTGTGTGTAAGGAAAGGGGCTGAATTGATTTTAATCAGACTTACCAGTCGCTGTTTTGTTAAACAGTGTATGTATTTAAAAGAAAATTGAAATTAACTGCAAAAAATATCTCGCTTTTTTGATTTGTTGTATTTTTTTGCCAATTCTTTGGTTTTTTTCGTTGGTTTCTTTTGTTTTTTGTTTGTTGCCCCAATTTATTTGTATATTTGCCTTAATGTAATTAAATGTTACGCTTTGATTCAGTTTATTGTGGCGGCGTGCGAATGTGCAAGTAGGTTTCTGTGCCTGTGGGTGTGTGAGAGAAAGAGAACCGCACTTGAAAATGCATTTTTTTATTTTAAAGAGCACCGCAGGAAAGTATGCAACTCAATTTAACGCAAGCTATTTCAATCTACAAGTCAGTTTGGAGCAGACTCATTGTTAAAGAACTCAAATCATACTCAGCCCTTATTTATAACTTAAATTTATATTATTATTGTTTCTTATGTCCTCCATCAATTGAATGTAAATAAATAAATAATAATAAAATATGTAAAAGCTGCACAAACGTTGATCTTAAATGTATCATTTAGTTTTCATTTATATTTATATTAGATTTACCTATTTTTAACTAGTCGTTAATTATTTGATTTATTAGTTTAAGAATATAGTTTATATATGCTTTTGTATAGTTTTAATTGTAATATTTTATATACTCACCGTTGGCAGCATTTTCATGAAACCCAGCAAGTAGATGAGCATCACACTCGACGTGGAAATGCAGAACTGCATCTTGAGGAAGGTCACGGCACACTTGCGGTTGCACCAGATGGGCAGTAGGATGAGGAAAGCGGAGCAGCATTGGAGGAGGCAGCACGCGCAGCTGACGATCACAAAAATTGGCCGCTGTGAGGCATGCGACTGCGTGGACTGCAAAGAGGCGAGGGGCCAAAGAATGGGGAAATCACAATAAATATTTGTCGTAAATTGGCTTAATATTAAAACACTGCTACGGGCCAAGAACAGGAAATGAAAAAGTGTGCGTTGAGCTGACGGCGAGCAAGGCAAGCGGAAATGGGTTTCTGAATAAATAACAATTCAAATAATGAATTTGGCCAGCAGGTATTTTGGCCCTTATGTTTAGAATTAAGTGCCTTGAGCTAAAGTGAATTTTCGTAAAATGTTTAAAATATTTTTCATTTCATCCTCCACTACTCACATGCAGCTGCCTCTTGGTCAGCATGACCACATAGGTGCCGGAAAGTGGACAAATGCATCGAGTTATGTTTTCCATGAGATGCTTTGTGATGCACAGATCCGAGCGCCATGTCGAGTCAAAGGAAGCTTTGTAGTCATGACTGTAAATGCATCTTAAAATCAACATTGACTGTTAATTGACGCTGCCATTGAACTTACCCACAGACGGCTACCCAGTCACCAGATTTTGGTACACTTTCATGCTGGAAGATGATCTCCACATGGCCGGCCTCAAAGGACAGATCAAGAGGCTCTCGAAAGTTGTCATTCGAGCGGTTCGATTGAAACAACCAGGTTTGTATAATGCGTGAGGCAAGCACATAGTCCGAGTCCTTGGGATCACTGTGTAAAAGGAATTTAAATCTTTATCATCGATTCCATTTTGTATATGCCTAAGCCATTTGGTAATCAAAAATGTACTTTATGTGCAAGCTGCTTTAGTCATATGTTTTCTGTTCTTAATAATATAATATGTATTAACAGCTGGCACTATACATTATGCAATTGCAAACGTGGCTCGACATCAATTTAATCTCATCAGCGCACCCAAGGACGAATTGTTCTTCATGTTTATTAAAGCTCTCGCACAAATAAGGATATAAAAATACACACACATAGACACATACGTGGAGCATTACAAAATTGACGACAATTTTAGTGGCATTTTTGGCTTCAACCATGCAAATTTATTGTGTGTCTGTTGCCATGCCGTGCTGCATGCTGAATCTTGCGTATTTGCATTTTATTTACAATATTCGGGCACACCATTGTTGATGGCAATTTCGCAACAGCTTTAATGCGCTTATGATGGAAGGAATTTGCTGACAATGAGAAAATGGCAGGCGGCATTGGCAACAGTTGGCATTACACACACACTTTTCAAGGACTTTGCTTGAGATTTAGATATGCATGGAAATTAAACATGTGCTCTGCTTCTAGGAGCTTTGTGAGCAAGTGCCGGAAATAGGAAATATGTTTTCTCAACTTTTTCATAATTTACAACTAAACTACTAAAAGATGTTTCTCCTATTTTAAATTTGTTGTCTAAGTTACATTTTTCGACTTTTAAATTAAACTTATTTAAAAAAGCATCCTTGAATTATTTTGCCAAATCATGGCTATAATAAATGTCACTCACCTGCCACGCGTGTAGTAAGTTTTTGGCAGAAAACTTTTCAGATTCTTATAGGAGATCACAGAAGCGAATATTGTCGAATTGGCCATGATATGCAGCAGACGAGTGGACAGTCCAATGTCCATATAAAGTTGATCCGAAAATAAGTCGTCGCTAAGAAAGAAATGTGAGCACAAATGAATAAATCACGGCAAGCATAGTTCACAAACTTAATTAGCCTAATAAGATGCTTGAGGAAGTCAACTACGTTTGCCAAGTTTAATTTTACACCTCAACGCTGGCCAGAACTGGTATAAAGTCCTTCAAGTTGAATTTTTATGAGTAATCTTATAGTAATCGGGCGCGTGCGCTTGCTTTATGCATTTCTTTTTAATTATAATTATTTTCTTTTTTTTTTTACGTTTGCCCATAAAGTAAATTCTTCCATTAAAAGCAAATGCAAAAATTGTTGACCCTGACAGGGTATATTAATCAAGCTGACATAAAGTGAAGTTCGCGTTGTGCTTGGGCAGGGAAATTTGCATTTTACCTTTATTTCTAATTATGATATTATGCAAAGTACTTGACATATTTAAAGTAGAACTCTAGAATATCAAACTTAAGTTCTTTTAACCCATTTAGTTAACCAATTCAAGATGATTATAATCAACTTAATGTAAGCAGAGTATGATATAAGCGCTTATAGTGTTTTAATAAAATAAATTGTCCATTTGTTTAGTAAAATCAAAGAAAACCACTAAAAACAAGTTAAGTAATTAAAATTGCAGTAGAAATTACTGAGAAGTTGGGATGTCTTAATTGCTTTTTTAATGAGTTCAAATCTCGAATGCAGCAAAATAAAACCGATTTAGAAAAAATTAAGGAATATAATTATTTAAAAGTTGGATATGATGAATGCAAAATGAACAAATTGAATAGCAACTTGATCCGACTCGGTTATCAACTCACCCATAAATGCGTAAATTGAAGGGCAAAGTTTTCACTGAGGTCATATAAATGCGCAGTGAATTGAGGCGATCCAGCGACAATGTGTCCTCATCGACTGTCAAAATACTTGCGGCACCAGCACCACCCGTCCCTGCACCACCGCCAGCGTCTCCAATGGTCATGCCACTGACTCGATTGGCCTGCAATTTACCTGCAGCGCCGCCGATAGCGATGCCTGCCTCGCTATTTTCATTTCCATTTCCATTACCTCTGCCACTGCTGCCGCCGTTACTGCCTCTGCTGCTGCTGCTGCTTCTGTCCTGTGTGGTCAAAGTTGTCGAACTGTCAGCAGCCGCTGCCGAGGATGTCGCTTGGCTGCCACTGCTGCTGCCTGTCGATGTGGCCAATTGCGAAGCCGCAATTGTCTCGCGGTTCAGCGCCGCAGATTGCGTTAAAAGCTGCAACTTTTTAATTTGCTGTAAAAATCAAAAATTTTGTCACATTAAATTTTAAGCATTCAAATGTAAATTAAATGTCAGCTTTGAAGTTGTAGAGGCGGAAGGTCAGGCCATGACCGTCAACAAGTCAGTTGCCCAGGCAACACTTTCCAGGGCCATTGTTGTTTGCTTTTGTCGCAATTGTGATTCATTGTTACCTTTTGAGCATATTAAGACATATTAAGTTTCAACAAATTTGGCTTCTTCGCACAGTTAACAATTTATTAGCATTGAGATGACATGACATTTATATAATGTACTTGACTAAAAGCTGCCAATGTCAACTGTATACTTTTGAAGGCTGAGTCTTTTGAAGGGCAGCTTCTTTGTTATGATTTCACTTTGAATGGGTCTGAATCCCAAAAGGTATTTATAAATTGTGTACAGCATATAAAAATGTTGAAAACTTAAAGCATCCGGTCACTATGAATTACTTCTGTCTATGAGACTGCGACCTTTCTATAATAGATTTAAAAAAGCATCTGTGTTTTTGGGATAGAGGTAACTAAAAATTGTGTATACAAAATTAAAGAATTATTCATTAGTTGAATTTTTTCCTTTCACGAGTCATGGTGCCAACAATTGCGTATAAGTCAGCATATTGCGCACAAATCGATGCAAAAATAAATAAGAAGAGTTGGCCAAACTCATTCGGCCATGTGTTCGTTTTGGCAACAATAACAACATAAACAAGAACAATATGGAACAAGTCAATGAACCTACATAAAACTGTTGTCGACTGCGGTTCAATGGGGCAGTAAGGAAAGGGGAATCAGGAGAGGGAGGGGGGGGGGTGCATTGTGAGTGGGGTCATAAGCTGACCCAATAAGCTTAAGCAGCAGCCAACCGGGCAACGAACCATTCAATTCGAGCAAACTTGTAATGTAAACTCCATTACAATGCATTTTTTTTTTGATTTGTGTTTGCGTTTATATACTGATATATATATATATATATATATAAATTTATATATTTTATTTTTTTGATAATATTTTGTGCTGTCATGACGCCATTTCCTGTGCAAATCAAAAATTACAATGTGCCGACAAGCAGAATTGCGGCAGGACATAAGCATAAATAAGTATCCTTGTACATTTGCAATCGAGAGCAAAAACAATTTCAATTGGAAAAGTTTTCTGTTTCAACTTTGTAGGCATAAAAAATGAAAATGCAAAAAAAAAGCAAAAAAAAATACAGAAAGCAGCAACATCAGTCAAGCATGATGTGATACGTACATATGTCATGCCCCTGCGTCTATGCAAATTGTGGCATTTCTGTGATTTCGATTAAAGACAAAGCTCTCGGAAAAGTATGCTAAAAAAAAAATTGCACAAAAAAGTTTCAAATTCCGACCTGGCCACGTTTAACAGTTTACCGGCAAATCACTGGGGCGTACAACAGTGTGGGCGTGGCCGCTTGGCCTTAAATGCTGCACATGTGTCAGAGTGTGCGTGTGTGTGTGTGTGTGTGTGTGAAACTTTTTTGCTGACTTGAAAGTTTGTCTGTGACTTTAGAGCACGTTCATTTCACTGACTTCACTTTGCTAAGTGATTTGTCGTGAACTTTACAAATTTGATTTTTGAATAGCCCATATCTGCAGTCTTGGCATCCCAGCCAAAGTTTCTTGGTCAAGTTTCGCAATGTGTGGAATTAAACAGGAGCGGATTAGTAGCAAAAAACAAACCATATATAAAATGGACACATATGGCACATGGAAATCCAAAACAAATGTGTTAAAGAGTGAAAGCTTTAGCTTTTGCTAATCGGATAATGCCTTGTTTGTAGTTGTTAAGTCCGGTCCTGGAAATTCGAGTAAATAAGTATTAGAAACTAGGTCACTTAACTTTATTTGCCATTTGTATTGCCCGGTCCATAATGAGGCAATGGGCATTGAAAGTTGCCTGCTGCTTAATAAACTTTTGCGTTCTAATATTGAAATGCAGTTGATAACAGAGCAGTTCTTATGCCAAAACTTTTTCAATTGCAATATCCACAAGAGCGGCAAATGAATGCAAGGCAAAATCAATGTTAATCAACAACAATAAATGAAAATTGGTTTAAGCAAATGAATTGCAATCATATTCCTGCATACTGCCATTGATATTGTGTGTTGTCGACAAGCCATTGAAAGGTCAAATGCAAGATAATTTAATTTGAACATGATGCAGATGATATATAAATTTTCATTTATTTCACAGACTGCGAATGACTTGCACAGATTATGTAAGCATTTTTATATTGTACATGTCTGTTTTATTATTGATTGCATGTTGGTGAAATTCAATTAAAAAGGAAAATTATTTGTTCTGTGTCTTATTATAAAATTTGCATTAAACACTATTAATGAGCAACTATTTACCGATTTAAAACTCAAAGATTAAACATTCATCGAATACAATACAACAATAAAATTAAAGAAAAATCAAGAGTTAAGATAATATTCTGATTTGTCATATAACGAAGTTGACTAATTAAAAAAAAATGGTCTTGGAAAATGTATGAAATAAAAATGAAGTGATTATCGAATTAAGATTCCCACCACTTGCCAGCGATATTCTGATCGATTCTCTCTTCTCTTTTGCTAATTAAAAGTTCGTGCATTAAAACCTTACTTTATACCTCAAAGTTTCTGCTCAGTAAATAAAAACGATGCGAACTATTTGGAAAGTTGAGCGAAGTTGGAATGCTGCGTTTAATCGACCCAATTATGATGGAAAGTTTTTCTTTCTTTTTTAAATCGCTTCGTCAGCTAATAAAAATTTAACATAAAAGTGTTCGGCGAACTCTCTCTGACTCATATGACGCATTATATTGAAATGCCATAACTCAACCAAACTCCTGGGAAAACAAAATTAATATCAGCATATTATAAACTTTCACAACTCGTCGTCTCATCGCCTGATCGGCTCAACGTCTCTTAAGACAACTATGTATGTGTTACGCAAACTGCTCAATAAAAATTTGCTTTATTTCCGCGCTTGCCTCGTTAACAAGCGATGAATATTAAAATGGGTAATACTGGAAAAGAGCCGATATCTGATATAAATGTGCAGTAAGGCCAACTCCTGGCACGCTTGAGGTCCATGATATTGAGACTGTTGTTACTATTACAGCAGGATTTGCTTTTATGATGAAGCCATACAGCAACAGCTGCAATCAACACTCACATAAATTTGCATACCAATATTTAAGTGTGATGCATGTGGCATACAACTCGTTGCAGCCGCTTTCGGCTGCTCCTGCTGTTGCTTTAATGCCTCACTTCGCGAAAGCAAAGTGTGCTCAAGGAATAAAACATGAGCCTCTGGCAACCATAGTCCCTCATTCCTCACTCTGCAACCCACTTAAAATCTTAAATAAGTTGGGTGTGAGACGAAGGACTACAGACCGAGGGAGAGATGGAAAGGGTCAGGCCAAACGAACCAGAATAAAAGCATAGACTTTTAACCTACAGCACAAGCTCATAGGTAACTTTCGTCATTGTCTGTGGCTGGCCATAAGCACTTCCTATTTTATGGTGGTTGTTTTGCGGTCCACTCAGGTGTCAGGTGGCCCACCGAGCAAATTCATTAGCCTGCTCATAAGTGCGCAACTTGATGGCCGATAATTAGCAGCAACTTGGGGGCCAAATTAAGCAGACTGTTATGTGGCTCATTGTTTTGTTAGTGAAGTAAATAATATATAGAGCGAACTCAACGTTCTGAGTGAAGAATGTTGGCTCACCATTAAAGCCGTCTCATCTGTAAATATGTGAGATGTTTTTTTTAAAGTGTTTTTCATTTACGTTATTATTATATTTATATATGATAAAGTTCAATATATTATTGATTTTGCGCTTAGCCACAAACTCTTTTCGTGATCGAATATGTGTAACTAATATATGCACATATCCAGCTAACTAACTCAATGCCAAATATGCTCTATTTACCAATGAGGAACAGGCCAATGAACAAATTGGCCTTTCAGCCCATGCCCATTGGAAAGAAACCTCAAATACATAGATTTTGCAGAAGGTATTCATTACCAGCAAACATGAACATCAATTCTGCGGCTGGTTTAGTCGTCTGCACACTCACTGTGAAGCTGTGTGGTTGCAGACAAATGTAAACTCCGGCCCAATGACAACCCAACTACAAGCTAAATAAAAGTAGAACCATCAACACGGAAAAAAAAACCACACTTCGTATGCAGTCCAACTTAGAGACTGGCATGTGTGTGTGAAGAGTGTGTGTAATAAATCTGGAAACAGCCACAAAACCAGGCTGGCAAATATTGAATATGGCTGTAGGTTATAAATTATGGCACCCGAACGCACGACTGCCTCTTTTCGAATAATTTATGCGCGAATGCAGCCAAAGTGGCAGCTCACAAATTTGAGGGCATACTCCTGCATGTACATACATATATATATATACATATATATATATATATATATTTATATAGAGGAGTACATAATAGAAAAAAACATAGGCATGCTATCCTTTGTGCTGTTCGACTGTTCTGCTTACCTGTTGACTGTTCAAAGATTGCGCATTCTGCATGACTTTATCTAGAATGCGCAGTATTATCTCGGCAGCCATTTCACGCTCCAATTGTGTGCCTTTCAGTTGCAAATAGGTGTCGAGCTGCAAAATAGGCAAAGGAATACTCCAGCATTAGACAAGTGCCTCCAAATCGTTGCAAACCAAACGATAAAAAACAACCAAAAAACAAAAAAAAAAATAAATAGAAAATAAAATAGTGCGAAAGTAAGAGAAAAATACGGCCACCAGAAAAGTCTTCACAGCCATTCGTTAGCCGAGAAAATTTGTGGGCGCATTAAAATGAAAAATTGTTGCCATGCGGCCCAGGAAAGTTTCCTTTGACTATAGTTGGCTCCGAAAATTGTGTGAAAAATTGCAAGGCGTTCACTTGTTCAGTCGCTCATTTGCTCAGTTTGCCAGTTGCTCAGTTTTTCACTCGCCACTTTTTGCATTCGCTTGCGAGTAAAAATAGTTTGGAAAGCTTGTTTGCAGACTCTTTGGACCTGTTACTCAAGTGGAGTCGACGATGGATCTTCAGGACCAGGTAGTTTGTAACGGCGTTGGGCCGTTTGCGCTCGTCTGCGTCGAGGCTTAAATGGGTTCAAGAGCTTTGCGGTGTGCCCCAAGATGCGAAACTAACGGTTTAAATTGAATCTGGGCATAAGGAAGCTGTAAAAAACTTTTGTTTCCTTACAATATTTTGAATTTGGTCTATATTGACGATAAATCAAATAAGTGCTGTAGAAATATTTCTTACAAAAGCTTTGCGAATCTGAAGTGGAAAATAATTTAAGCCTGCCGTTTTTTTATGGATACCACAACTGAGCGACAATTATTTATTATTTGCTTATGTGATTATTTAAATAATATTTCCTTAGTTCATTCATTTATTTTGCTAAACTTGACTAAAACTTTTTGGAATTTTGGAAATACATTTTTAAGAAAATACAAAATAGGGAAAATAGGAAATCAGTGTATAGTTAAAATAAATTTTCAGATTATTATTAATAATCATTCTTAATATTATAATAATTATGGTTAAGAACAACTCACCTCGTGCAGCATGTCTATGAGGAAGCTCGCTTCGCCCGGCAGAAAGCTATGGCGTCGCTGGAGCGTGTACTCAAAGCAAGCTTTTAGTATATTCGACGAGTTGGTCTGCTGAAACCCTGCACTGAGTGCCCGGAATCTGTTGTAGATGAGCAACAGTTCATCGCGCACACAGCTCGAGAAGTCGGGCAGCAGCCAGCTGGAGTTGCCTGCATCCCGCTGCTCGCAGATGCGTCGCGAGTGACCCTCAAAGCCACGGGGGCAGTCAGTGATGATTGGTGAGCCGGGTGCACTGGTGGGCCAGTGGACGCCATAGCTGGACTCGGATGTGCAAACGTGGATGGCGTTGCGTTCGATGACATTGATGTAGACACTCTTGGAGACGGGACGCACACTGTTGGACACGAGGCAGGCATACTCTGCAGACTTTTGAATGTTGTTGATCTTTAGAATGCTGCCATCTGGATAGAGATCCTCCCACATGGCTGTCGCTGCATCCGACTGAAAGAGCACCCCATTCCGCGTCCAACTATAGCCCAGCTGGGCATATCGCTTGATATCATCGTTGCCCGGCGAGAGACACCGCACTCGCAGAGAATCCCCGCGTTGCAGCGTCACGCTCGCCGGATCCACGCGTAAACGTGGTGGCGATTTGATGTGGATGTGCAGGGAGCGACACTGCTCCACGCCCCAATCGGTGACCTGCAAACAGAGAGCAGAGGATTGCCTTGTCAGGTGGTATTTGTTTGGCTTTACTGAGTTAGGCCAGGCCATGCCAACTGACATGACAGCGCAGGTCATGACTAACAGCAACAACAACAATAACAACAACCGCAGACTGCTTTCAGCTCAGACGTACCTCGATAACCCACTACGACTGATAATCGCCAGCAACAAGAAGTACGAGTGCTCGACCCGAAGATACTCACTTTTATTTTGCCTTAACATATATACACTATTTATAATACAAATAAGCTAGTATATATTTAGGAATTGTGGTTCCCAAAAATTCTCTGCGGATATTAAGAAATTCATATTGAAGCACTATTTTTCTGTTATAAAATTGACATCTTTTTATTTTTTCTGAATATCATTAATAATTCTTAAAGTGGTCGACCAAAAATAATATTTCCTAACTAATTATTAATATATGTTCTATGTTAGATTCAAAACTCAAAGGCATTTTACACATCATTAAAAAACTGAAATATATTCAGTTTGAGCTAGGGGAAAGCAACAATTTCATTATACCCTGATTACTATTATTTAGTGAGTAGTGGATATAACAACAGAACTGTTTGTACATACAGTCAAAAACATACTGACAGACAGACAACCAGATAGAGAGATAGGCAGACATAAAGTCAGTTGGTTGGTTGACAGTGAGAAGCCCATGTGTCAACAATTGTTGCCAGCAGCTGCTTGAAGCATTTACTCGAATGTAATAGACGTTTCTCTCTCTCTCTCTCTCTCTCTCTCTCTCTCTATCTATCTCTCACTCTGTCTTTCGCTATTTCTGTCCTCTTCTGTGCTAGGCTGTTCCAACTACTGATTGGATATGACTCTGGCAGAGGGCGCTGGACGTGTTTGTGTGCAAAGTGGAATCAAAGCCTTTAAGGCGCTTTGAACTGGGGATTACACGTTGCTGTGGCTACTTAAAGCTGCAGCTTCATGTGGCACGAATATGTTGTGCAACTAGTCATGTAGTGCACAGCGAAACTTTGTTGTTTGCAAATACTCGCTCCATGGGAATGCCTTGCGAGCGCATTGAGAATAAAGCAGAGAAATTCAACCCTGAGGACAACGACGGGAATTAAGATAATGTTCATAATAATGATTATTATAATGATGATGATGTTGTTGTGCAATGGCAGTCAGTCAGTCGGGCGGTGAACTTCCGTTTAAAATTTATAAAAAGCAGACAAACTAACGAGCAGCGACGCCATGATCACACCTCGGGGTCTTCAATCGCAGCATGAGGCATGTGGCAAGCATTGAAGCTGCCATCCTTGTGTGGATGTGTGTGTTTGGCATGTCTGCTGCTGAGTAGAACTTTGTTGCAATTGAGCCGGAAACATTTGATAGACGGAAACTTTTGGCATAATCAAAATCAAAGATTTTGCAATTTTTATAGCATTTGCAGTTTTCAGGCTTTGAGTTGGGTTTTAAATTTGTGGCGATAGGCGATGACAAATGCGTTGTCTTTGTTTTATGACTGTGCCACGTCAACAAATCCTTGCCAGCCACAAAATCCAATTGGCAATTAATTCATTTACCGAACATCTCATTCTAGTCACACAGCAAAGCATTTTTATTGCCAAATGTGATTTTACGGTCCCACGACCCAAGCTCAAAGTTGCGACTCATTAACAGGCGAAGTCGTTAAACAGCACATTGTACGAGTATGGTTAATGTCATTTGGTCTCTTATAGAACACCCCCTCCCATTCCTCTAGCCAAAATCATTCTAGTCATTCTAGTCTCCGACTCAATTTCTATCTTGTCAATAAAAGTTGTGCTGCTGCTCTACAAAATGGTTGAAGAGCAACACTCATGCCACAAAAATTTGCAATGTTAATGACGCTGACTGTTGAAAATAGCTGTGTTTTATAGTCGGCTAGATAAAAGTCTCTTTACGAACTGAAAAGTGCATGGTCGAAATTAAATGTTTCTTTTCACAATTTTTCGGTTTACCAACATCTCCACTGCAGCCTGTTTCACATCTGCAACTGCAACTTTCGAGCAGATAAAAGTACATTTTCTTTATATGGCCACTTTTCACATTCTAATTTAGTTACTTATTCTTAGTATTTTGTGTATATATCCTTTTTAAATTTTGTTCAAATCAGTGATTTTTACAAATCAGTGTTCAAAACAGTTTATACACAAGTAATCTGAGCAAAACATATTTTTATATTGTGCTTTAAGTTTCGGACAAATGCAGGCAGTCTCAACAAGCCAACTCCCTGGAGCTAATGAACTAATTGCGACTTAGTATCAATAAATAAGTAATCATTTCGCTTATAGCCCCATGGGCATTTTGGCATGTGTGTGTGTGTGTACGTGAGTCAATGACATGAATATGAAGTCCCCAATGCCAAATCGACAGGCCTTGCCACAAATTATTGACGTGGCGTACAACACGCCAACCTTGAGGCGACTGTTAGTGTAAAGGATTTATTCTTTTCAGTTTTAAGTCAACATCAGCCACAAGACGCCAACAATCAACTATTGGGGATTGTGCATTACACAAATCCACAGAGGAAACAAAAAAAAAGCGAAAACAGTACGTTTCTAGGGGGAAAATTCTTCAAGCTGCTAAAAAACCGTTGAAAGAAGGGCGTTTTACACCCAGCCCCAAACCAAACTGCGAGTCCAACACAGCACCAATGCCAGCACTTAGCTTTGATCTGACGGCATCATTATGTGGACCACACAGCGACAGTAATAAGTGAGAGTCACAAGGCGTTCCAAAGGCACAAAGCAGCAGTCAAGCTAAAAAGTGTTGGGGTGGAGCCAGGCAGCCCCATAGAATACCCTGAGCGAATCCCCTTGGGGTGCTCGGACAAGGCATTAAATACAATTGGCACCGGGCTTTAAGGAAATGTTCGCTCGTTAGCTCGGCGTGCGACTCGACGAAGAGCAACAGCTGCTGCTCTTTGCGGTCTTAAGCTAAGAAAATGTATGGCAACGAGCTGAAATTGCAGCTTAAGCTATTTGCAACCTGGGATAAATATTGCAGCTTAAAGGCCACGACATGAACAGACCTGATATTGTCACAGACCAAACCAATAAAAGCATTTCTTAATTGTCTTATTTGACATCAATTGTATTATTTCCATCTTATTTATATTATAGAAATGAAGTCTCGTATTGAACTAACAAACTATGACTTTTAATATTCTTCGAACGAACTAAAGAATATTAATTTAACATACTCATTAGGATACGACTATTGCATATTGTTTAATTAATGCAATGATATTTAATCTACTATTCGCCAAAGCTGTGAGTTCACTTTTGTTTCTTTATGTTTTTAATATCTGCTTATTCGGTTTGTTTTGTTTTTGTGCATTTGAATTAGCAAAATGTCTTTTCATCGTCTGAGACTTTTGATATTTTGAGCATATATAAACAATTGGTAGACTAAGTCTGATAACAGAGACTACTTCAGTTAAGTGTGTGCCATGACAGGAATGGCATTCGTAAGTCCAATTAAAATACCGACTTAATTGCCTTGGTAAAATGTTGGTTAATCTTTTCCATTTCGTATTGTTGTTAATTCACATTTTATTGCCTGCCAGCTTGTGGTATTGAATTGAGACTTTTGGCTGACTAATAAATTTAATTGCTATGCGTTAAGCTGCCATATCAACAAAAACTCGGTCTCTCAGGCATCTGGGGAGGTGGAACACAAACCATTAAAATAAATCCTTTCTAAAATGGCACGGAATTAATTCTAAACTTTCTTTTCTTTTTGTTCGTTGCCCAGTTCTTCCTTTGAGTTGAAACGTCGCTTTTAATTAGCGGAATTGAAAAATGCATAATGTGAGAGCACAAAAAGAATACAATAACACAGAAATAAGGAAGAAATCATTTTGAATGTGGTTTATTTTGACTTATGCGTGCTTTTGAGGATTCCGGCAATTTAAAATGCATTCAATTAAATTGTAATCTATGCGTTAGAAACAATTGTTGAACTGTTGAGTATTTTTCGGATATGCGGCACAAATGCAGCTTAGTAAATATCCGGGTATTTTCGGGTTTAGCAGCACTTACTAAGTCTTTAAACTGTTCCAGCCCATTAAACGTAAAATGCTGCGGCAAGCCGCAAATAATAAATTACGCAAATGGCTTGTAAAGAATATTGGCATGTAATACAACAGCAACAACACAGCAGCAGGAAGCCGTAGAACCTTCATAGTACAAAGTATGAACAACATGTTTATTACTTTGACGTGGGATATGGTTTGCTATTGACATTCAGCTGAAGTTTCTTCTTGGGTCTCGGAGTAAGTTATAAATAATTGGGTAATTCGATTAGCAGGGTTAGCTACAGCTTCACATACATATAAATCAAATCACACAAACACAGGTATGGATACTGTGCATATATAACTCAATATTATATAATGTACTTGTCGTTTATTTTCATTTACCTTACAACTGTAGACACCCTCATCAATGCGACTCGCTTTGGTTACGCCCAAAATGGCCGTGTAGACATCTTTTGTTTCCGGTGGCAGCACAGTCGTCCAGATTTCTCTGCAAAGAGCACAGAAAGGTGCGTTTCAGTATTTTGCATATTTTTATCGCAATCGAACGATCAGCCAGTTTGTTATCCGGCAACTTTCGGTTTTGCACTTGGTTCAGTCATTGCATTCATTTTCACACCCAATACAGCCACATCCATCAGCAAATGAATTGGAGCGTATGCAGCTCCCCCGCTAATTGACCTACTAACAGCAGCTCACTTATCACTCCGGGGCTGAAAATGAACCCAGTCGGCGTGTAGTTGTCTGTGTGATTGTGTATGTGTGAAAAATCATTGCAAATGTGAAAACAATCGCGGATACTGCGGTTCGAAGTCAATTAGCAGGCAGCATGCCTCACTCTCAAATATTATTCAAAATGTTGTTGAAATATCTAGAAGAGGATTTGGCTTTATGAATAACTGGGTCAAAACACTCGTTGGCTGCTCACTCTGTTTAGCTGCTTTCAGACCAGACATAATTAAAATATTTACATGTTCTTTTTTAGCATTGAGTAGTGCTCTCAATTTCAAATGGCGCTTAATTAGATAAGATAGCACTAATTAGTAGTTATCGAGACACACAATTGAGATATTGATTATTGATTGAATTACAACAGAAATTAAATTTAAGTAAATCGACATACCAATGGATGGCAACTTGTATGGAATCTGTTAGTAATAAAAATGATGACATTTCATTCCTAATTTACCTAAAGTTCTAGTTGATTTTTGTACTTGATATCAAAGGTATTTATTAAGCACTAAAGTTAATCATAAAAGGGAAAATTAAGTAAAATAAACAATTCACTTAGAGAATTTGATTTTTAATTAAATTGTAATAGATTTAAGTGTGTAATGGATTGGAGCTGCGGGATGTTAATAAAAAAATTGCTGCTTAAAAAGTATCATGAAATATCAGAAATCTGACCACGAATTTGATGTTACCAAAGCTTATATAACATTACATTATTTAATAGTCTTTGAATCAACAAAATGTCACCTCTTAATGCATTCAGTAGTTTGACAATTAAATGTACTATTTTGATATTATTTCCGATTTTAATGTATTTATGTCAATTTGTGCTTGTCAGTCACAACTGTCGCCTGATTTACTGCATCATTGGTTTTTATGACACATTTTGTAGCTCGTGTGCAATAAATAACACTGTTGTGAAGACTATTTCATCATAACTAATGAATTGAAATTTTTTTAATCATGTAATCCAATAATCTTTTTCAGCCATAATTTAAATTGTAGTTTGGAGTTGATTATATATATATGTATATATTTGTGTAGGTTCGGATATTTGATACAATTTTGATTGCAGAAATGAATTTGGAAAGTATAAAAGCGAATAGCAAATGTTTGCTTGTACAAAATATATGTTTTCAATTCATAGCCTCATTCATCAATTTATGCATCCCGAAATTGCAAGCAATTAAAAAAAAAACTAGTTTGCCTGGTAGTAATTAAGTAATAGAGGCTCCCATTGGCATTTGATAAGTTTAAAAATAGGGCATATAAGGCAAATATTCACAGCCTATTAAGCGAGCCTGTACACTGTCTGAACATTTTGGTGGTTACTTGAACGCAGTTTGGTCGAACCGGTTACTTAGCCAGCCTGCTGTCAGATGGTAGGGATAAAGTGAACACCAAGCCTATCTGAAAGCCAAATGTGAAACTGGTAGCAAAACCAAACACTTGCAGTTCGTAAGAACTTAAGTGCTGTTTTGGGGCTTTTGCTGGCAAGCAAATAGTTTTGGGGAATGGGTGCAGAGTTCTCCCCAGGATGAGGACCTGGCGCATCCTGTCAGCTCGAACGCTAGCTTAGTGAGTGCATTTCACTAATAACTTTTGCGCATGGATAACCGTAAACCACAGCCGGGCCTCAACTGAGTGCGTCAAGCAATTCGCCCAGCTGCAGTGGCCAAAACTGCGCTTGCAATAGCTAAAAGGGGGGTGACGTGCAGGTGGGCAGGTGTGCTGTTGCCAAGCATATAGAGCACTTAGTCCACAATTTGCTAATGGCCAAACGGCGCAAGATTTCACCAGCATACAGCCACTGTTCCAGCTACGCACCTTCAAAATCAATTAAATGGCAACGGAAGTAATAACATTCTGGGCAGGAAGTGCGTAACGCTTAAATGCAGTACTGGCAGCACTGGCAGCAACCACAAAAACAGCAAAACTCATTGCTCGTTTACGCCAAATGAGCAATAGCAGCAACACCAGCATCCAAAACAACAACCATCCAAGCAACAAACATCCAAACAACAAGAACACAACAATGGCTATGATGCACAGGAAGCTGCCTCAGTGCTGGTTACTCCTCGTCTAATACAATTACATACTAAACTGCTAAGCAAATACACACACACACACACACACACACACACAAACCACACATACGCATATGGGGCAGCAGCACAAAGATAAAGTGAACAACCACAGCAGCAAAAACAGTTAACAGAATCCATCCACACCATTAGAGATGAGCGCGTGAAACGGAGCACGTCAGCAGTTGGAAATCGATTAAATATGTATGCTTTGTGACTACAATAGGAGGATTACATTTAAAACACAGTTCTAATAATGTGATGGTAATGATCTGTTATATATTGATAAGAAGAAAAACTGAGTAATATCAATGCTTTGTTTTTTCATTTAGTTTGCCGTATCAACAGTCGATAAATGCTAATATTTATTTTGGCTTTCACTAATTGAATAAATCGTTTGCTCGCATCAGACTTGTGTTGCAAAAATTGAAAGACACAGACCCTTCTCTAGTAATATCACCATTTGCAGGGTTCTTACTGTGGTGCTCGACTGTGTTTGTAATCTTGTAGCTCGTATGGAAGAGGCAGATGCAACGATAACTGCAGTGGCATGTGTGCACAAAAGGGTGCATAAGGTTGCAAGTGTGTGGCGCAATGTGTGCACGTCCAGTTTCAGCCACATGTGTCGTTGTTGGCAGGCTGCTTTGATTCTTATATAAGTAGCATTGCCTTCATTGAAAGCTGCTGTGATTCTTGGACTCTGAACGAAACGATCCATAAAATGGCTTTAACCATAAAGTTGACTGAATCATCACAAATTCCAAAAAGTGAATGCCAATCGAGTTGTCGTAAACGAAAATGAGTCAGACATCATTGTGCATTGCTGCAAATCTTCCTATCTATCGCTTTTTTTTTCTTGCTGTGTTTTTTTTTTTTGAGCGCAAAATATAATTAACAGAAGAACAAAAGTATAATTTACAATACTGTTGTGTTACTCTTGAGAGTCATAAATTTAAACACAGAGCTGTCATTCGGTGTTGCCAGACAGTAAAAATTTAACGCTTACTCGTATATTTAGTTGTTGTGTTGATTTTATTGGTTTTCATATGATTTCCAGCATTGCTCAACGTTTTCGTTCGACTTTGATTGAAAAATGTGAGATATAATAAAACAAGCCGCACAAACACAAACACAAACACAAACATACAACATACAACACATTTCCCGAAAAGAACAACATACTTGAAATATCAGCTTCTTGGCCATGTACACGAGTAAATATGCATAAATAGCAAACATATGTTCAAGCAGTCCCATAAAAATCAAACAGAGCAACAGCCGACAATAGCTCAGAGCTATCTTCGGACTCGTTTCTCCTGTTGTCACATAGATCAACGGAAGCAAAGAGCAAGGAGCAAGGAGCAGAGAGCAACGTCAGGGATTAGATTTTTATATGACCAACACCGCAAAAGCCTTTGGGCTTCCACATACAAATCCAACGCAAAGCTTTTATGAGTTCATAAAATTGGCCTATAGGTGTTTACTCTGCCCGTATGTTTCTTTCTTTCTATTTTTCGCCGAATACTCAAAGTATCCGTATGTTTCTTTCTTTCTATTTTTCGCCGAATACTCAAAGTATCGTGGGAAATTGAAATTGTGAACTTACTTTCGAGCTGAACATTTTATGCAACGCTCGTAAATATGAATAAATACATATATAAATACATATATATATATGGGGGCACTGCTGTCGTAGCAATGCATTTAAGCTGCAGGAGCCCATAATCGTAACTTGATTAGAAATACGATACGATGTCCCCTCGACAATTTAAGAGCGAATCAAATATACAAAGCATAGGCCTGTTTGTCCTCTGTGTCCAAGCCATATAAAAACTTTATTAAACCCAACTACACATAAAAATAAAACGATGACAAAGTACGCGACGCGTTTTCAGCTTCGGTTCCAGTTGGTTGCCATGCTGCGTGACTGCGAAGCCGACGCTGCCATTTTTTCTTCTTCTTTTTTTCTACTCTCCTAGACTTAGATTTGGGCAGAGTACAATTCACTTCAAGTTGTAACGAATTTCATTACAATCGTAACGAGAAAACGTGTCTCAACAACTAAATTGCAAAAGCCAAAGCAAAGACAAACTGAGCGGAATCCATGGCCAAAGGCTTGATTGGCTTTTTACAGAGGCGCAGCAGCTTTAACATGCTGCTGTCCAACTACATTGACTTAACAGCTGTATGTTAAACCTATGCAGCTCTGTAAAATGACAGACGGTGTCGAGTCTTCCCAAACAAAAGAACGCCCCACAAATTTTTGCCAGACCGTCCCTCACTTGGCCTCCCATTTATGAACAAATTCTCATATTATGTGCCCCGTGGCATATTGCTGTCATACTGCGTGTATATACATACATATATATATATATATATACGTTTATATATATACGTTTATACGTATATGTTTATGTATCTATTTATATATACACATATATGTACATATATACATGTATATATTTTGTTATTGTTATCTTGTCGGAATTTCCCTTTTTTGTTTAGGTCAAACCTGCGGCAGCATTTCCTTTTTTGTGCTGACAAACAGCTGCCTTTCCGACTCTGCCAGTTTATTGAAATGCGTATTGGAGGGACAGGCGGGGTAAAGGCACTTTTTGTCTGCGGAAGGATCTAGGTGTTAGTGAATTTTATTCAAATTTGACACTAATGAAATGGCACGTGACAGGCTTGTCCAATGACATCGAGAATATCGCAATAAATACATATGTATTTATGTAGTTTTAGTTCACATAGGAAAAAGTTCGCTCTAAAATGGAAAATGTCTGTTGGAAAGGGAATAAAAGCCTAAAGCTGAAAGCGAAATATTAAATAGAGTAAATTAAAATCAATAAATCATAAATAAATAAACATTTTGTAAAAATATATATATTGGACCTTTATATAAGCTTTAAGAGACAAAGAAGTAGTGACAGTGTTGCAAACTATATTTTGGCATATGGATTTAAAATTGGATTGGATTAGACACATGTCCAAATAGTGTTTTGTGGGCAAACCAACTCCATCTATATCGAATATTCGACATATGGGTTCTCTTTACTATTCTGTCCGATAAGTAAGTATTACTTGAGCACAGTTTGGTGTGCTTATGATAAAGTCCTTTATTGGTATTAAATAAATTCCAAGAGCAAAGACACAAAATACCTTAAAGTTAATGCTGTTATAGTTAAAGATTCTAGTAGCCATATTTGATAACGCTTATAACAATTTCACTAGGTGTTAACAATAAAGTAATGAACAATTTGACTAATTACTGGGATAGAGTTGCGACTCCATCATTGAAGGTGCACGATTTGGTGAGTGAGGCATTGGCTTTGCCACGAATGCTGTCTGCGTCTGCTACATAAGAGTATTGTAGAGTACTCTTCCAACTTGTTTTCATTTTAGCTTCTTTCAAGCTGAACGACCGACTCTGACGGGCTACACGCTGTGCAGGAGGCGCTTCTTCCACTTGCAGAGTGGACGCCAGGCACGCGCAACCGCCAGACGTCGCCAGCTTCATTTGTCCGTCGCTGTGCCAGCAGACTGTGCCTCGCCACCATCTGGGGATGATGCGTTGGCCGCTGCCGCTTCTTCAATGGCTTTGGCCGCACTGGGATCCGCAATGCTGCCAAAATAGTTGCCCGTGGACTCAATCTCCACCACACGCTCAACGTCATCCAGTTTGGGTGGTGCTGGCACCGTCACCATCAGTATGCCATCCGCCGAGAATGTGGCACGCGCCTGTGTTGCATCATAGTGACGTGGCAGCTTATAGCAGCGCGTAAACTCGCGCGTGATGCACAACTGTCCCTGGTTGGCCCGCTCGTCTGACTGCTTGCCCTCGACGCAGATGGTGTCGCTGTTCTTGGCCTTGACCGTCAGCTCGGCCAGCAGGAAGTGATGCACGTCCAGCACCACCTTAAAAGTGCCCCGTCCCAGCGAATCGGGCTCTGAGCCCGTCTCGATGACGACTCGGCCCACCAGACAGGAGCCATGGCACCAGGCGCTGTCGTCCACCCGCAGATGGAACTCTCGGGCGCATACGTCCATCTCGTGGGAGAGATAGTAACGACGCTGTCGGCATTTGGGCTCACCCGCCGACCAGTGCCTGCCAGGCGGAAAGTGATAATGTGCACCACCGTGGCCGTGCTCGTGCTCGTGCTCCCAGTCCCAGTCCCAGTGAATGGGCATGGTTGTGGTTTCAATTCGTTGTTGTGTCCTGCTGTATGGTGATGATGTGCGATGTGATTCGTTGCACACGGAGCAAACGCGTTGCTTTTTGGCTAGGTGCGCCAAAAAAACCGTTGTCCTCGGCTGTCTTCCACCCTGCTCGACTCTTACTAACTAACTAACTAGCCCTGGCTAACTTAACTCACTGCACAGACCCACACGTCGAGTGAATGTATGCAAAGTTATTCAAGACGAATTCGATTCGATTCTGGCATGCGCCAGGCAGCAACTGCGCCAAGTCGTTTGTGAAATCATTCCAGTGCCTCGCATAAATATTGCAAGACTCCTCCAGAGGTCTCTCCCCACTTCCCTCTTCCAGCGAGGGACGCATAAATACCGCCCGACAATGGAGTAAAAGTAGAGCGACCCTTTAGTCGAATTGTTTGATCAATATATTTTTTTTTTGTACTGTCAAGCGCAACCCTTGCAGCTATTTATACCAACAAAAAAGGCGCCAATGAGCTGGAAACAAGTTACCCGACATGCCAAACAGTTATGCGATAATGCTCCAATAACATTATGAAGCAGCAACAGCAAAAGCAACAGCAACGGCAACATCAACGACAACGACTTTATGCAACTAATTGTGGCATTGTCGCCGGACTTCAATGCGAGCGAAATCAAGAGCTCTGTATACGCAGAGCTCTGGCAAATGGAACTAATGAAAATCGTGACCCCCTTTCAGCACGTCTCTCATATAAGAATGAATTTGACACATACATCGCATGGATGTTCATGTGGAACAAATACAGGGTGCACTTTAAAGCAAAATATGAATTTGTCAAGCCAAACTTTTCTTAATATTGAAATTGAGGCAATTTTATCAGTGGTGATCAAAAAGTTTTTAAATGTAAATATAAATTTATTAAGATGAATATTAATTTTTCATGTGAAAACAAAATATTTAAACTGTGCAAATTTTATTAGTGGTGATCAAAAACTGTATAAATAATCTTGCTTGACTTTATTTTATTTATGGTTAACGAGACAGGAATGAGAGTCATTATCTTAAGGAACATTACAGCTGACCAGAGCAAGAGTTTTTCCAGAGTTATTCCATTAGGACCTTTAATTATTCTAAATTTCTCATTACTCGGACACCCTGTATGTGACATACACAAGAAAGTATAACAGATTCGGGTACAACAAACAACGACACATTGAATAGCATTGTCCTAGACAACGCTGGTGTTGTCAAGACATTTGCCATTGCATTGTTGTTGATATTGTTTCTGGTCCCGGGTTGAGTCAATTTGTAAAATAACGAAATACATATTTATATATATATACTTTATGCTACTTATGTCATGCTGGGGGTCAGACAGTCTTGCAGCTTGGCGGGTGAAATTGAATTTCTGCTGTTAGCTATACAGTTTGACAAATTTTTAGCAAACGAGCCAAAAGTGACTACAGCTTGACACAACAAAATGACAGAGTGTTGTGTTCTTAAATGAAACTGGAGAAATTTTAAATAGATTGGCTGCAAAGTGACAAGAAGGAAGTCCGAAGTTGGAAATGGCGCTGACAGGTTTCTTACAAAGTATTTTCTGAAACAAAAGATCTTTCAGCAAGCGCTTCAATAATAATGAAATTTATTTAAAGTTAATTAAAAGTGTTTCCTACGCAAAAAAAAAAAAAAAAACAAACTCTGCTTAGTGAGTGAAAAGCAACGAGTCAAAAGAAATACTGAAGTAGATTTTTTACGAAGTGTCAGACCATTACATTAACCTCTTTAATTTAATATTTTTTCTATGTAAGCAATGGTTCACACTTTAATAAAATCATGCAGCATTCACAGCTGTCTTCCAGTTTCAATTATGTAGATATATTTGATCGAATTGCTTTCTTGGGTCTTGAAATGAATAAGAAGGGAGCAAAGTAGAAGAACATCAAAGCAAATCATCTCGAATATGTTAATTTTCAAGCCTAAATGCAAATGACGATGTGTTTTGGTAAATTTCCTTTCCTTTTTCATTTTTGCCGCACGTGTTTGAGAAATTAACATGTGTTTGTGATAAGATTACCAGTCAAGTGGTTTTGCAAATCGCATTCAGTTTGGTGCGGTTTACAAAGCGATTCACAATTGAAAACAAATTCTCGGATTCAGTTAATATTCAGTGCAAAACAACAAGGAGGAAAATTGTATTATGGGGCCATTCAATTGAACACCAAGCAAAGTCGAAGTTTGTGCAATAACAAGTGAAAGCAATCCGATTACGGCTTAAATAAGTGAGTGTTAAACGCATTTAATTACCAATTACTTTGCTCTTACAATTTTTAATCTCATTTCACTAATACAATTATTCAACTGCTGCTGAGCAGTTTATTCTTAAGATATACATTTGATTGCGAATTATTTATAAAATGTCACAAAATATCTAAGTTAAAACTAATAACGGCTATAATAACAATGGGGTGCCACCTAAAAGGAAGCTTTCTTCCCACCTTCCTCTCTCCCAAATTGCCTTGCAGAGAGACGCACAAGTTAAGGGCCAAGACGATTAGAGGCAAAATTAATGACCCCATACGGTGTCTACCTCAGATAATTCAACATACATATGTGACCAGACTCAGTGTGTGTGTGTGTGAAGGGAGAGAGAAGGGGCGATAGGATGGGGAGGGGTGTAATGCATGTTAATTAAAGTGTCGGCCTTGGCTAAGTTGTGATAGCTCAGGGATGCGTTAGCGACGTGATTGGAAAGTAATTGCATTAATTACCCCACACACAAGCTGAAACTGAAGCTGTATTGTCGATTGAACCGTTGTTAACTGGGTCAAAATTTGGCAGTTAACGGCTTATCCTACAGCCATTTTAGCTATTCACAGCTAGGATTAAAGCATGTGCTACATATTTGGAGTATCATTGATCAGGTGTATGCAAAGTAGCTGCTTGTGAGAAACTGAGATAATAAATCACCCATTTTATAATGCTGTGGCGAGAGGGGCTGTAAGGCTTAAAGCTGTGAGCTGTGAACTGCACCATCACACGAGTGAAATCAAGTATTAAAAATTCAATTACTTCCGGTTATTTTAGTACGCAAAAGTAAAGGCCAACCACTAACGAGGAGAACAGGAACCTGCATGTGGATGTGGACGTGAAGTGACCCAATGCTTAGTCGCTTGTGTAATGCGAAGTTAGTAAATGTCCAAATGAATGACTTCACTTGACTTTAGTTAAAATATTTACACATATTTTGCACCCAGCCGGCGAATGTGTGTTTTTGTGGCTTTCTGCACAGCAGCAATTATTTACACATCAATGCGTTTCACTCGTCGAATGGTGAGAAACCTAAAAAAAAAACACATGTAATCCCCTGCATACCATGTACTACTACGATATTCAAAAGTTTGGGGTACTCGCATCAATCTATTAAAAATCTGCCAATCAAAAAATGCCAAAAGGGTTTTTTTTTTTTAAATTCTATTCAGATAAAATTGCGAAAAGTCAATTTCTGAAGTGCAAGGCGCTGAATCAGTTTCATTCTTTCCTAATTAGAAATTATAATTTGGCTGTATAGCTATGTGTATGTAATAATCGTCATAGTCATAGTTGTATGTCCTTCTATTTTTTTTTTCCACTCAACTAAAACTCTAAGACATTTTTAGGCAAAAATAAAACAGAAATGTGGGAACTTATTTTCTTTAAACATGAAAATATGCACTTTTACTGTTGTTGCCAATACCACAACTCGCACCTTGCATTAATCCATTTGTGCTTCCACCTGACGCGCCAGCTCTCTACCCCTCGAACCCCCAATTAATGTTAGCTTGAGCATTTCTTGTGCAACAAAGATGAGCATCGAGCTTTGAGTGGCCCATGTTGCCCCAGCAAATTGTCAGAGCTCTTTGGCCCGTTAGATGCGGCTGAACATAAGCCTGCGGAAGCTCGTTGCTGTCCCAATAGTCGAGCAGTCGTCCAAGTAACAACCCCTCGTTAGTTACGGTCATATGCTTTTTATATAACAAATACAGTGAGAAAGAGAAGGATATATGTAGGTGGGGGAAGCAGCGTTTGGGTTTGTGTATAGAAGTCGTATACCAACTGTGTGTATGCCACACAGATGTGTTCTGCCCTCTCATTCGGGGGGTTTATGATCAATCATTCGCCTTGGCTGACTGCGGTTAGGATGGTCCAGAACCTGGCTAGCTGCTGCGACGCTTCTCCTCGCTGACAAATCTTTATCTGTGCCCTGACTTATTTATCCTTTTTTTTGGCCGTTTCATTTTTATTTTGCCAGGGCTTTTTATGCCATGTTTATTGATGTGTAAAAGTCATAAAGTCAAATTGAACACTTGTGCTGGCGAAAACCCCCAAGCATCCCCCACCATATCAAAAATATATTCGAACCACCCTCTCCGCAGACTGTTATTACAGTTTCAATTTTACTTTATTTTTTTTCACCCAGCATTTTCTATTTTATTTCTAAGCTAAATATGAGTTGGAATATGCTGCACACGCGAAGAAAACATAATTTTTTGAAGTTTCACGTAATGCAGCTACAGGGTATATTTCAGTTGGGCATTCGAATTAAAATTCCACTCTATTGAGGAGCAGTATTTGTTTTATTCTTGTAGTTTTCTATTTGAATGGTCAACTGTGATAGGCAGCTGTGACTGAGCCACAGTTGCTTCCGGCTAGGGCAGGGTTTTAACTCAAGATTGAACTTACCTCGTTGCCTTGGTGGCGTTTACAGCGGCGCCATCTTTGAACCACTGGAACTGCATGCGTGATGAGCCCTGGGCGGTGCAGGATATGATGAATTCGCTGTCCTCGCGTACCGCTGCATGCGGTTGATTGACGCTCAGGTCCTGCAACGAAAGCGAACCACACACAGTTTCAGTCAGACCACAATACATTCACTAATTAGACGGACGCATTGAAGGCGGAGGGTTATTTTACTGTTCCGGTCCCACGGCGCCTGTCAAGCGACACAAATGCAGTGCTGTGTCGTTTGGCAGCGCCCTTGAGGTTTCCGGGTTGTCGGTTATGTTAATGCAACCTAATTGCAGGCAGTGGCGGTCAGGCGCCCTGATGGCCGCCTGATGGGGCCAATTGTTCATTCGCTTGCCACAATTAATAAATAATTATTTTCACTGTTTGCCGGCCAAGTGGCTAGTGGCAAGTGGCAAGTGGAAAATTACGCATTGTTGACATGTTTATGTAAATATTTATTTTTTGCATTGGACATTCCACTTGCACATTCATTTGTTGTAGTTGTGGTTGTTCCTCTTGTTATTGCATATAATTATTTTTATTGTTCTTATTGCCACACTTGAGCGGCAACAATAAATATAACCATGTTTAATTTATAATGGAAATAAAAACGCGGAGACACCTTCATTTATGAAATGTTCGCAGTTCTAGACAGATATATTTTTATTTTCAATAAATACAATGAGGAGCAAAAATCAATAATGGGATGATTCAATTGATTGATTGAGCATGGACTGCATAATTCATTTATACATTTCAAAGGTGTCAAAGTGTTAATTTAATGGCATTTCGTGAAGTGGATACAAAAACAATTGCATATGCAGACTCTGAGTTGGAAATGGAGCCAGTTTTGCCCTGAATGAGGATATATAATGTAATAGTTTGTATTAAGCACAAGGCAGCTCGTAAAATTGCTTATATTAAATGGATAATAAAGAAAGAGCTCCTTAGTTTGTATTTGGTTATTTTGATTACATTAAGCTTTCTTAAAGGAATCTTTAAAATGTATTTGATAGTTTGAACAATATGCTTTCAGGCTTTTATATATTATTATATTATATAGTTTTTTATAATTTTATGGCATTAAATTCCCACTCTTCAAATACTAGTACTCACCAACATATTTAGCGGTGGGTTCTCGTCAAAATGATGAAAATTTGAGACAAGTGTAAAGTTTCCAATACGTCCACGTTCCACCATTCGAGTGATGGCCTCCCGAATGCGCTGCGAATCGCCTTTGATGCCAAAGAAATGAAATGTTATATCCAAGCGATCGGTGGTATTGGAAATTAATTCCAGATCGCTTATTTTTGTTATATTGAAGTTGCGTAAGACGCGTGTCAACTGCAAATGAATGATTGAATATAAATTATACTTAATTAAAGTTATAATAAATTCTGTTGATTTATTGATATGTTTCGAAAAACACAAAACACACTCAGCAGGCCATTATGGCCAATTGACAGCATTTCGATTTCTGAGCCAATGGCATTGATTTTTATTGCCCAACTAGCTGTGCTTCTTACCCAAACATGAAGCCCAATGTTTTAGGGTTATGGTTTGGTTTATTTTTGCAGCCAGCTCACAAGTTTATTTTTATCTTTCGAAATTAATGATAATATATTCAAGTAAATGGCACTATTGAGTATTGCGCACACTCATAAAAAACATAGTGATAAACGGCAAAAGGTAAAAAGTTGCTGCCGTACAATATGTGAGCTAAGAAAAAACTTGAAACGAAGATTCTTCGACTTCGAGTTTGAGTTTTTGAGGCAGATGCTCAATTTAAAGTTTATAAGAGCCGAAAAGTCCTTCAATGCTACCTTTTTCTATAGCTTTAAAACCTTAAACATAAGTTTGAAAGGTAAATATTCAGAAATGTGTTGCAATATCACAATTAATTTCAATTGAAACTTGAATAATCATTCATCATTTTACTGGCTGGTAGAGTATAATATATTTAAAAACCCCAAAGGTGGTCTTCTACACTTGGAAGCACATGAAGTGCATTTCACGTACTTATTCATTGGCTCTTTGCTTATCTAGACAACATAAAGTGGAAAGTTTTTCTTTTGCCCGTTGAAATTGGCTATGAAATGCAATTTTACTTTTGCTTAACGAAAGTTTTCTTCATTTTTTTCATCGATGCAACACCGTGTGTAAGATTGTGGGGCCAGTGTGGGTCCATTGTGCTGCGGCAGTGTCTGCCCTATACCTATTCAAATGATTATGCATTATGTTAAAGTCTTTTGCTCCGACTGGTCGTTGGTTCCGTTCCGAGGGTCATTGCTCTGGCCAAAAGTTTTTACAAACTTGTGAAGTGTGTGGCAGGGCAACAGGACCACAGGACCGCAACTGTCTACTTAAATATTAATATTATTGAGCTATCTGCTGTTCATGGTGCAGGCCTTTGGAGTCAACGAAACCTATTTTTTTCGAGGCAACCGCGACGTACGTATAAAAATTTTCCAAATATTTGCAGGCACAAGTATGGGATAAGAGTTGTGGTTGCACACGTTCGTTGTAAGCTGGTAACTGTCACTAGAATTACTATTAACTGGGCAAGTTAAGGCCAATATGGCAACGCTTCATTTGCCACCAGAGCAGCATAAAGCGGACGACCAAAAAGCCAAAGCCAGCACAAATGCAATTTGAGACCTTTTCACTGGGTAAAATGTGAAAATGTTGCATGAAAAACCTACCTAAAAATGAAGAAAAATGTGATGGGAAAAGAAAATGCAAAAGAAACAACCAAAAATACTTTCGTCTACAAGGTAAAACTCGACTGACGTTTTAGCTATTTTTACATTAAGCTTTAAATTATGATAATGTTCATCGTAATCCATTTGGTGGTCCTCAAATAACAAATTTAATGCGCCAGAACTAAATGCTAATTTAGAAAAGAGTTACTTTGAAAGCCGTTTAAAAAATATGCATAGGCATTAGTAGCCGACTATAAATATATTTTTAATATTACTTAATAAAATATAATTTTAAGGCTTGCTTCATCTTATTTTATGTGAGGAGGTTGAAGTATAAATCTGAGTCTAGTGAATCTTCCAGTAGAGCAATATCCATTTCTCTTGTCTTATATAAATATATGTGTACTTGAAAATGTTATGAACAGACAGCAGACAACTGGCAACTGGCAACAATGCAACTGCTTCAAGTATTATGACACAATGTATGAGCTGCATGTGCTCTAAACTGTTGTAGCTCTAAGGCGCAACCACACATACAAAAGCACACATGCTACACTGCGAAAGTTAGCAATTAGCACTTTTAATTAACACAACATTAAGGCATTTCAAAATGTGGCAGCAGAAAGAGAAATATCTTTAAGACACTGCAGCAGGAGGCAAGCCATGAAATCAAAGCTGACAACATGAGTAAAATTGCCTTTCGGAACGTTTTAAGAAGTTGACTTCGAAACTGCTGCACAGTCAGCCGATAGGGGCAGAGACGGTGATGGGGAGGGGAGGAAGTGGAAATGGAGAAACTTAAACTATGAAGGACGTGGCGGCAATTAGCCGTTTATTGGTAGTTATTACAATATTTAAGTTCACGCCTTCAAAACGTGCCCAGCATGCCCCTGCTTCACTTGAATTGTACTTTACGCTAGCTTTTAATTATTTATTATTATTATTATTATTATTATTGCTTTTTTGTTGTTGTGCACTTTGTAATTATATCGCACAAGTGCAAAACTAATGCAATTTTGTTGCTCTAATTAGTGCTCAACTTTCGCTCAGCCTTAGCGGGCTACATGATCAAATTAGCTACACACTATGCCCCATTGTTCGACAGTGCACAAATATCAACAATACTGTTAACAAACAAAAAAAAAAAAAAAGAAGGAATGGCAACACTCAAGTGTTAAGTAAAGCCCGAAACGTTTCTGAGTATTTCCTTCAGCTGCGGCCATCAACGTTGTCGACGCAGTGGAACTTCACTTTACGTAAATATATAGTTACGGAATTAATCAAAAAGTGCGAAAAAAAAGAAATAAGATGGCTCCAGTCGATAGAGCTCGACGAGGGGATACCCTCAGCATAAGCTTGGATACTTAAACCAAAACACTGCTTGTATTTTTATTTGGAAAATAAGAATATCCGTATTTCTTAACTGATCTTGATATCTCAAAGTATTTTCATATTCGATTAGAACGATATTTCTTAAAAATCTAGGGCTTTATTGCAATCGGTTATCGATTTCAGCTGTGTCTCTGAAACTGATTATGTTATCGATATAAATAAATAAATCTGCATTTGAGCACTTATATTACAAATTTGAAGTCTCTAGTTCTCATAATCGCTGAGATCCGTTTGTTCATACAGACAGACCGGCGAGCATGACTATATCGACTTGACAGTCGATCCTGGAGATGCTTACTTCTGCCCGTTGCATACGGTTGCACAACTTCATTATAATCCTTATAACCATTTTGAACAGTTTCAGTGTATAGAAAGAAAAGCCGAAATGAAAACACCAAAACAATGGGTAAGAAAATAAATATTTTCGGTTAATATAAAAGAATTTCCCGTTTGCGCTGTCCGCTTTCCACGTTATTTTTTTTTTATAAATATTGTTTTATAATAAATAAGCGAAAATTGCAAGGGCTGGGAAAAAAATGTGCAACAGTCAATGTGCTGAAAAGTGGCGCTGAAAGTTCGCAAGAGCCTGCTGTGCAACGGGTTTGGTAGGGGAATCGAGGGAGCAGACTGATCCTGTTGGGCTCCTCTGCTGTCATACGGGCAGAATGTTTGTTTGCGCCTGTTGGGAAAAATGTTTCAAGTAAAAGCACGGAAACCAACATAAGCACATTGTTCGCTCAAATCTTTCAACAGCGGCTGGCAAAGTTACCGGATGCTGTTATTTAGCTGGTGCTTTCAATTTAAAATGACAATCAGCTTTAAATAGGTCTTGCTTTGAGTTATTTTTGATATTGCGTACTATGATTTATTTAATAACTCAACATAAAATGGAGTATTTTATTAAAATTAAGATTTAAGCAGCAAAAACCGTAAAAAAAAAAAATTTTTTTTATTTGTATTTTAAATATGATTTTTAAACTTGACAAATAACATATACATATATTTATATATGTATTGACGATCTTTATCGGTTTATTAGTTTATCGGTAACATTTGTATGATATAAAATCATTTAAATCTAATTTAATTATTACAATATGATAATAGAGCTTAAGATATTTAAAATTCAAATTTTCTTTAAGGGATTATGTTGCGAATTAAAGTCACCTTAGAGCTTTTACTGGTCTAGGCGTTGAATCTATCACAGTTCAGTTACTTATCTGGTTTTGTATGCATCCTGCAGACAAACAGCTTATGTCTTTAACCCTAGACTGGGACACAGCTTGAATACGAACTTCTTGCCAGCTGCCTTCATTCGTATCTCTTCCATCTCAACTCGGTGCTAATGGTGTTTTAATTTCAACATTCAAGAGAGTGGTGAGAGCACTCTGGTGGTTGGGAAAATCAGTTGCCATGAGATTAACGTGTGTGTGTGTGTGTGTGTGTGCTTAGCAACAGCAGCATATTTTATGATAAAGGAATATTTGCAATGGAAATATCCCAAACGAAATAATTAAGACAAGAAAAGTGTAAAATGTATAATTAAACAGTGTAGCTTATTTAAATTAAGCTACAGCTGAAAAGAGTGCAACAGTAATGTTGGCATTTTTATGCAAGTTGGCAATGTCTGTAACAAAATACAGTCAAGAACTACAAAGCGTAATTCAAGACATTTGAAGCCAACTTTGTTTTGGTTCTTGCAACTGACGATTTTTTTTTGGTCATTACCTTGCTGCAAACTTGCCATCTAATAGGGCTTTACTGCAGAAAGTTAAAAGTTTAGAGCCGTCAACGCAGACCAACTTTCCCGAGGGCCCTTTAATTAGTCAAGCTGAAATTTTCTTCTTGTTTCCGGAGCATGTAATTTCTTTGCAAAATCCAAAGTCAGTCGCTTTTAAAGTGTGATATAATTAGAGCACTGTGAAATGCCAGACATAAATGCAAATATTTAAAACTTAAAGTTCGAATGATAATGGAAATGAAACTTAATGGTGACTATAAAATGTAAAAATCTCAAGAGCCAAAATGAATTTGTAGACGATTTATTCGACAAAGCAACTCTATGACTAACCCTCTTTCATAAGAAATCTGCTTGCATTTTGATTTTGACAATTTGGCTGTTTTCGGAGCTTGCCAAGTTTTTGTGCAGCAGACTACATTTAGGCGTCGTATCTAAAAAGCCGGCTTTTATGTTAATGCTATCCAGTTACACACACACACACACACACACACACACATATATTTTCTCTCTCTCGCTCTCTTTATCTGTGTATTACCACCTTTTCCGAGCTAAAGCACACAATTTGTAAACTAAAATGGCCACTTGTCTATGTTACTTCTTGCCATTCCCAGTTTCGTTGCTTGCCACGACTTAAAGGAGCCGAGGAGAGTCAGCAGCAGCAGCAGCTAAAGAGGCACGGAACGAGGAGCATATCATCCCGAAAATGCCGGGGGTTGTCTTCCTAATCGTCGTGCCAACGGCGAATTTTGAACGGGAGTTGATTTACGGTAAGTGAGCAAAGCGCGAGAAATTGAATAAGCGCTGAGAGCTAATTAAATAGAAAGTTACAAATTTGTTTACCGCTCTCGTCCAACAAGCTGCACAATATTCCATGCCTACTAGTGCAGATTATGTCCAACACCCAGTCCCCTTTACCCTCCGACCATGTACCTTTGCCTCTTCATGTGGTGGTGCTTAGGCGCGTAATTATGTTGTTTAGTGGCGTTATTAATTATTTTATGACATCGTAAAAGTGTAAAACTGCTCTAACAGCGCCTAAAAGCATGCCTCGAATGTTGCCCACAACACACAACACACACACACCTATGTACACCAACACACACACACAGATACACACATACGTGATATTTCCTTTTTTTGGTCGTCCCTTTAAAGAGGTTTACACGCCAACATTTTGCTGTCTAAAAATTGAATATTAAATTTTAATTAGCCAGAATGAGTGGGGTTAAATGTTAGCATGTGGAATGGAGGCGCCACATGAAGCTGCGGCATGTTTATTTACTCACAGCCAGGATGTGTAAACATCAAGTTCCCAGGCAAATGAGCAGCTAAAGTTTAGCTGGCGAGGAAGTGCCCCTCCTCGGTTTGAGTCTGAGAATGAGTGTGGCAAAGCGGTCATGTTCAAAGCAAACGCTGTGAAACTTAATCAAATTTGTTGGCTGTATATAAGCACATCAAGTTCATATTCTTTTCTTTTTTTTTTATTGCCAGGCTATTAGGGAATGGGATTGCGTTACTTTGAGTTTAATTTGCACCGTAACAACACCTACAAAATGCGCAATTTGAAGAAGTTGCTCAACACAATTCCCTTTGATACATGAAACGTACGAAATTTAATTGAGTTGAAGAAAATGCACTTGAGTTGAGAATTGATTAAGTCAATTAAAGGAAAATAAATATTTAAGAGCCAAAGAGCCAGTTGATAGATTATTTATATCCTTCGATTTTTATTTTTCATTTTGCCCATCTATCTATTTATTTATTCGTCTTGTCACAGCAATTAAAATTCCATACGAAACACGCTCAAAACAATAAATTCTCTGTCATAACAACTTTAACAATCAAGTGTCATTAGGGCAGCTGGCACATCATGTTAATTTATCATAATCAAACACAAAAATGCCAACAATAAAAACCTATCAAGAACCATTATTTATGAAACAGAAAAATCAACAAAAATATGTCAGTTTATCTGGTTCGATTTGGTGATATGTGGAGCATTTGTTGGCCTGTTTCTTTCGATTATTAATCAAATATTTATTTAAATACGAAAGTCTCATATAAAAGTAGGACAGAGCCAGAGCCATCAATGAGTATCATCATTAATTTTGTTTGTCACCATGGTGAGGTTTTCGCTGATAATGACAATGAAGCTTATGAGTGGCTCGGCTGAACGGGAGAGGGGAAGAGGTGGGAGCGGTGTTGGCAACTGCTGATGGGCGTGAACAAAGTTGTGTAGAGTCAAAGTAATATAAATGACTTTTTCTAATGCAAAAGTAGGCAATGAACATGCGTTGGCAGCAGCTCAAAAACTGCAAACCAACATTCAGGCAGAAAAACCAGAAAGAAGAAAAACAAAAACGCAAAAAAGTACTATCAAACATAAAAATAGAAAAGGAAACAAGAACTTGACATGTACATATTTGATACTTGTGTCAAGTCATTGAGCAGTGGGCTGAGGTGTCTGGCATAAATCACGGAGCTCAATGCCATGCCAAAGCGTTTTCCGAAATTTGCAAAGTCTTCAAGTTCAGCACGGAGAAAGAGGCATAGAGAGAAAGTGGGAGAGAGGGGGAGAGAGGCGGTCTGAGTGGCGGGCCAGTTGGCCTAGAAGTTACTATGTGAAACAAAGTCTTGGCAACTCATAGCAAAAATTGATGCTGTGCCCTGACCTAAGCTCATTTGAGCTTTATTTTGGCATTTGTCAATGCTTGGGGATTTATACAAGATTTCGATATCTGTCCCTCACTCTCTCCCTCTCCCTCTCTCTTCCACTCTCTCTCTCTCTCTTTCTTCGTGTGTTGGCATAATAAATTGTGATGCTTGGTGTGGTTTTTATGTAGGCTTTGATTTGATTTTATTTGTTTAGCTCAAGTGGAGTTTAGGCCCAACGTGCCAATCTGAAGTTGCTTAATTAATTGCAGCTCGCAAAAAAGTAATGGAAATAAAAACAATATTTAATTATTAAACTGGAAAATGTTGCGGCAATAACGGTTGCATAAATTATATAATTAACGGCTGCTGTTTGAGAATTCAAGCCATCAATTTAATTAGCGCTATTTATAGAGCTATGTTCTGCGGTCAAATGCAATTTAAATACCGTTTACCTTTTCGCACTCAGACAGAAAGTAAATATTTATAAAACGCTTAGTTGAATGGCATACCAAATTTCGCTAATTAGAAAATAAATCGTACAATTATGTGGAATTGCATAAATTATGCCTAATTTAAATTATTACTGAGCAAAAAAATAAAAAATGAGAAAACATTTAAAAATGTATTAGTAGAAACTTTAACAGCCTTGACGTTACCAATCCAAATATACACACTTATGGGTTTCGTCATTGTTAGTACAAAGTGGTTTGTAACCACAAACTATCAACCTCATTTATAATTATAATTAGGAAATGTCCTTGTTACGACAGATATTAGACACATTGCGGTTGTAAAATAATCATATTAGACAGTTTATCATTTCAACTTTATGAAGTTTCACTGTTTCCCTTGGGCCTAATTTAATTGACTGTGATAAGTGCTCACATTTAAGTTGCACTTCATAATAATACCTATTTAAATAGTTGTATGACAGCGAGTACAGTACAGGAGCTGTATACACAAAACGATTTGATTTAGGAAATAAACTTTTATTTAGTAAATTTTGTGTGCTTTTGAAGACCAAGTTTCTAGTTGCTATAACAAATTACATGTGTTATAATATAACTATTATTTGTATGGTATTTTTGCCATTTAACTCAGTTGTAAACAAGAGAAAAATGCATGTGAAAAATTGTACTGTAAAAGTTACTTTTAACATTGATTGAACAAAACTACATAAATAGTTTATTTCTTTCTGTATAGCATTTACTGAACAACAACCAACTTACAACTGATCCATAATCACAAGCTGTATATTTTTGTATACAATAGAAGTACGTCTATCACTTTATTATTTACTCGCAGGCACTTCAAATCAAGCTATATCTGAGTCGGCGAGTGGGCCTGTGGGTGTTGGCCATGGCCAGCACCCGATGGCCAGTGGTAATAATAATCTGAACATCAATCTTCCGGAAAATAACAACGCAATACTACGACTTGAAGTTGAGTTACGTGACAAGAATTTGCCCAAGTATCGACGCGGTCGCGGGGGAACTGCGGCTGGTCGTGGAACTGCCCCTGGACGTGGTGCAGCGGCACCTGCCAAGAGGGCACTGTCAGGAGAAGGAACACCCGGAATAGGTGGAGGGACAACAACTGTTCCACTGGACAGACGTAATTTAGTGGTGCCGCTCGAAAAGGTGAGGCCACTGGGCAGCTACTAGCTGAGAAGCGACTCCACTGAGAAAAGTGTCCCTCGTAACACTTAAAGTTGACTGTTGTTGTGTTTCTGTATTGTGGATGCACTTAACCAGAATGAACGTGACTGTAGCACAGTGCATGCTTAAGGGGTGTGCGGAGAGGGAAAAGGGAGGGACTATGGGGGCTTAACAATGTAAAATGCCAACTGGATTGTCTTTGTGTGCGGTTGAATGGATGAGTGGTTGACCAATCGCAAAGCTCAACTCATGCGTTGATTTTGATGAATGAAGGTCAGTAGCTAGCAGTTGGGAGTGATAACTGAGTCCCAAGCAAATAATCAGCAAGATAAAGTAGGGCGACTAAAGATTGATGATTGTCGGTTTAAAGTCGGCATTAAGCCACCGATGGGGAGTACAACTGTAACTGGGACTCAACTGGAGGCAATCCAATCAGATGCATAGATTAAGTCCAAGCTATTGTTTATTGAGATCCATTCGCCTGGTTGTTATTGTTATTTCATTTTGTTTGCCAGGTACTTGAGGAGTTACTTGTTAAGCTTGAAATTGAGCACGTTACTTGGACAACAAGCAAAAAAGGTTATTTCCATCATGTCGTTTTCCCGCTGCAAGCCGGCGATGCCTGCGAGACAACACTCCACTGTCTAACGGAGCTGGGTATTGGCACTAAATTGAATTCCAGTGTCAGGTAAGTTGAGACATTGAAAGGCACCGCCAAACGGCAAACGGCAGACGTGCCGGGCAAGTAAACAAGTCGCCACTTTATGCAACAGCTGCTCCGGCTCTCTCTCTCTCTCTCTCTCTCTCTCTCTCTCTCTCTCTCTCTTGGCTACTACTCGCTTAGTTTTTAATAAAAAATTCAGCGTTGCTTCGGTTCAACATTTGTAGTTGTTAAGGTCTTAAGGGCTTGGCTAACTCGCCCAGGCAAGTTCATATTTTGATTGCCTCCAGGCCAGAATGGCTGGAGCGAGTAGCTACAAATAAAGCTGTATCTATGGTTAAAGGCTGGGTTCAAATCGGATTGTTTTGCAATAGCTCGACAGACACGAGATGGAAAATGTTAAGGTTTTATCAAGTGTAATTGGAGTGGGCGGCGATATAGTAATAATAAAAACGTGTGCAAATAATACCCACTAAGCAAAGTGTAATCAATGATGAAGTGGAAATTAAAATAGAGTGGGAATAAGAGTTGCATAGCTAAGTACTTAAAAGCTGTGAAACGTTAAGTCAATCTAGATGAAAGTGGAAAGTATTGACAGTAATTTATATGCAGCCAAAGTGTCGAGAATAAATTAAGTATACGTAAATTTCAGCATTAATTTCTTAAATGGTAAAGTTCATAACTTCATTTACTGAATCATATTTAAATTCATAATAAAATGAAGAGAGAATTTGTATTTTTAAACATAGATAAACAGTTGGAAGTACAAAAGATACAAATTCATTCCATGCTTTAAGAGGTGTAGTATATAGCTGTGCTGAAAAGCTTTCTTTCCGTATATGAAAATATCAGGCAAATTTCAACACCCCACAATATATCCTTGGACTGAATTAAGCAACAATGCCGCCTAGGTGTTAAGCAAAAACAATCAAGTGTCTTAAATAGCCCTGCGAAATAAATGAAAGATGAACAGGCAAAAAACAGAAGATGCCAGCAAGCAAGTTGGGAGCAGCAGCGACAGAGGGACAGATGGACGGTCGGACAGAAGGGCAAGTGTGATAATCATTTAATAGCATTAAACAGGTGCATTAAAATGCAGTTAAAGGTGTGACCAGCTGTTAAGGGGCGGGCAGAAGCCAAATGAGCTTGAGCAGCAAGGGTAGCTCAGCTCTGAAGTGCATCTGTTTACCCTGGAATGAATGGGAGTTCACAGGGCGGAGCGGTTTCGATGAGTAAAGTAATATTTAAGCTCTTGAATGTGCACAGAATGCAATTAAGTTTCGACACTGCGAGTAGAGCCAACCGAAAGATGCACCGAGTCCTTTAAGAGCAGCTGTGGCCTGTAGCCAGCAACTTGCAGCCTGAACTAGCTTGAGGATTAAGCAGAAGCTGCAGCTTGCATTTCACAGCTGTCAGATTGATATGCAAAGTGCAGGGAGACAGGGAGACAGGGAGCCAAGACATTTGAGTCGAGCGAGTGGAGTAAGTGAACAATGCAACCAGCAATTCTTGTGTACATGACTTGTTTCAACTGCTAAAAGTATTTCCATATTCAAATGCATGTGCTGTTTTTTATTATCGTCTCTTGGTTTTGTCTTACAGCGTTTTACCTTGCAGCGTTAGCTATGATGCCATTACAGATGCGTCCAACAAGCAAGATGACTACAGGTACATAAATATGAGCATGAGTATGAGTATGAGTACGGGTTTGAGTACGAGTATGAGTATGAGCATGAATTTGAATATGAGAGTGGGTGGGTGTTGTGAGGCTGTGTGTTTTTAATTTGAGCACCTTTGTCAGACTGCGACACGTGTGTTTTGCTTGTCTTTTAAGTTGACTGCTCCATTGTCAAACAACTAATTTGAGCACCTGCCTTTGTGGTTGCCACTTAAATTTATCTGACATTTCATTAATTTTCACTCGGCTATGCTTTCTCTCACACTTTTATTCTATTCACCTTACCCAGTGGCTCATCTTCTTCCATATAGACATAAATATTTATAAAAGTAATAATCAAAAATGTTGAAATTTATATATCTTAAACGCATTTGCCGAGTGCACATAATTTTATCATTTTCATTGGCTGTGAAGTGACATGAATTGGTATACTATGATAAACAACTAATTAAATGTTTATATTCAGTTAACCCCAGTTTAAATACTTTTCAAATAAGCAAAATAAGGAAAATATTTTTTATTTAAAAAAAAAACTAAAATTGAAAATAATACGGTTAATCTTCCAGCTTAAAATTGACTCTCTATTTGGGGTTTTTTTACATGTGCCACAGAAAGCAATAAATGGAATCAATAGAAGAAAAGAGCTGTGAATACATGTGGCAATTAGAGAAATGCACAGATGTGCATTGCTCCCACACTAGCCACATGCCACATGCCACCGCAGGCCACGTCCCAATGCATTTTATGATTGTGTAATTGTGTTTATTTATTTCACCAATAGCAGCGACGATGCGGATGAGGCCTCCAGGTGGAACAATTTTGTGGAATCAATTAAGTCCAAACTGACCGTTAAGCAGGTGGTGGACGGTGTGCGAGCGGGCGGTGCCTTATCCTTTGACTATCTGCTGCTAATTGTAACGGCCGAGTAAGTAAAGCGCCAGATTGGTATCATTTCTCGGATTGGTAATGGGTGTGTGGGTGTTTAATCTATGGATGTCTTGCAGCTCTCTGGCCGCTCTGGGTCTGGTCGAGAATAATTCACCGAATATTGTTGCGGCCATGTTGGTTTCACCGCTGATGGGGCCCGTTATGTCGATTACATTCGGCGCAATTATCTCGGACAGAGAGCTAATGGTAAGTGGTGCAGCAGCAGCTGCCATTGCAGCTGCTATATTACTGCAATTTCAGCTATTGGTGCTCTTGCTCCTGTGTCTGCGGTTGGCCAAAACAATTTCGATTCGCTTTTGTGTTATATTCCTGCCTCCACCCAGTGAATGTGGGTGTTTCGATATACATATGTGTGTGTATGGGGGGAATCATCAAATTGTGCAGCTCTCTAGCAGAGAGCAGCGTGCAAACATTGCAATCAACTGCACACAAAAAAGTAGCCCGAGTCAAAAACTGAATGCAGTTTTGGCTGTACAATCCCATTTGGCCACACACTCTGGCGCTTTGTGGCGTGATTTATGTATGGGAATGTGACAGATGAAAATAATAACAAAAGCCATTTCACTAAAAATTGTTGTGCGAGTCAGTCGCTTGTCCTCTGCCCGCTATCAGACTTTCTATGGAATTGAAAGCCTCGACTACGCAAAGAACTCCACTCAAATGCAGAACGGCAGTTTTTATGCGAATTTGTTAGATATTTTCAACACTTTTGTGTATGGAAATTGTTGGAGCTGTTTCAGTTCTTTGCTGACAGTTCGATGATGTGCGACTAAATATGTTTTCGCCACTTTGGCAAAATTGTCGTTGAGGTAATAGTTTTCACAAATGCTATACAAAGTCAGTGTAGGAGTATTTTGTTTGAGCAATAAGATTTCCTTGAACATTTGAATTCACTCATAATTGAATCGCTGGCTGGGTGACATACCCAAAAATTGAATAAACACAAATATTTAAATTAATTGTAAAGAATTTGAAATAAATGCAGAGAAAATTTAAGATTCATGAGAAGTCTTTTTTTGATTTATAAAATATATTTATATAAAAACAGTAAAATTCTTGGAGTATTATTTGCATTATGAATTTTGCAAATATGTTTTTTTTTTTGGTAAAAAGGTATTTTTTTCTACTGTTGTGCTGCCCCCAAGGCTTTCCTCTTAAAAGAGCTCTCGTAAATTATAACTAAACTTCCAGTTTGCTGTCTATAAATATCAGCTGTCTACGAGTTCGTCTTCATCTGTCGACCAGTAGAACAAAACCAAACAGAAAGCGTGGGCGAAAACAAACTTAAGCTTCTTATATTAAAAGAAAGAACCACTCAACGAATTATCCAAACTTGACGCAAATAAAACTTAACGTCAACTGCAGCAGTTGCTTTTACTGCTGTTGCTATTCCTCTTCCTGTTGCCGCATCTGTTTCTCTGATTCGCAGTTTCTCAGTCTCTATTGCTATTAAGATAGCCATGATTTTCAACGGCAGGTAGGCCAAATGCTGAATTCAATGGTGGAGATAAGACTTTGTGTTGTTTCGCCAAGTACTTTAAAGGCGAGTTGCACTTAGTAACTTTCGCAGGTGCGCTTTATGATAAACACATTCACAACGTGTCAGACAGCAGAATTGAAAGTAAATAGAAGCTGACCAAAAACAAAAATAAATCTACACAAATAAATACTATAAGCAAACTATTTTTGCTACCAGTTTTAATGAGTGCGAGCGTGAGTCAAAACAACCAGTTCAGTGTCTGAGGTAGCTCTGGGGTGCTGACACAATTTTTCAGATTGTGCGCACACAAACACACATACTCCCACACACACACACACACATACACACACACACATACTTCCACACACACACACACACAGAGCGAGAGTAGATGTCTTGTTATGTGCGGTGTACTTCAATTAAATTTTAATTGAAATGAATATACGAGACTGTTTTGGTCGCCTTTTTTGTGAAGTAGCAGCATAATCTATGCCACAGTAGCAGTGTTTTAGCCTGAGATAAATAAATGTGTCATATTTTCTTAGGTTAAAATGATGCTAGTCCAATATATGCAACATTTACTTAAGCAAATAATTGAATTGAAGCGCACAAATGCCAGTTTATTTTGATTTAAATGCCATTTTTTGGAATTTCATTTAATAAATACTATGAGTGCAGCAAGTTAGATCTTTTTCCATCTAACTTGCTGAGTGGGAAATATAGATTCAGTAAATATTTGAAAAAGTAATTTGGTGATTGTTGTGAAAATTGCTTAAACCATTTCACATAAAATGCCAATTATTCAAACAGATGCCGACAGCAGCAGTTGAAAATGTCAAAAAATTGCAAAAAGAAAAAGACTATGAAATAAACATAAAGTTGCAAAATGAAAACTAAATGCTTTGTCTATATACATAAATGTTCATGGCACCATTTGTGAAAAGTCGTTTAATGTTATTGAAATGCAATTTTTTCAACAGCTGCAGGCAACACAGCCAAACACACACACACATAAAGTAAACACTGCGAATGCGTTGAATGTCTGCTATAAAATATTTGCACACCATTTAAACTTGATGCAATTGGTTTCCACATTAATCATATGCTGGGCAGCCATCTTCCCTCATGTTTACACACGTACCTGCAACTAAAAAGTATAGGAACAAGCCAAACAAACCAAAACACAAACATTAGCTCGATGCATGTTATCTTTACACTTTACTTTAATGCCAGTTGGCAAATTGGTCTGTCAGACTCTTTAAACTGCATTTACCGCCGTTCATTTCAAAGTTTTTAGTGCATACAACTTAAACAATTGTGAAGTTGTTGGGGACAAGATGTCCTCTATGCGCTGCATTTCAATCGAGGATTGAGGTTGAACTCCAAGACGACGACGACATCAGCAGGCTGGCATGAGAACATTGTAGACTTGTGTGCAGCTGCCAAAAACAGTTTATGCTGCGTGGCTGCAAATTTAGGTTAACATGTCACTCGCTTCTTGTTCTATTCTTCTTCCATCTACACCCTCTACTCTGCTCCTCTCTCTCTCTCTCTCTCCTTCTCTCTTTCACTGTTTCACTCTCTCTCTATCTCGCTTATCTCCACGGTTTGACAGCTATGCACACTGGAAAGTATGCTACATTATCGCTTAAAGTGTCGCTGACTGCCGTCACTTGGCACCACTACATCTAGCCGTCCTTTTCTATAAATTTAATATATGTATGTATGTATATATTGCACTCTCTTTCTTTCCATCTTAGTCTTTAGCAACCACAATGCACAATGCCGCACAGAGCAGTAAATATTGTAGGAGTATGCAAAGGAACAGTTGAACTGACTTTGATCGATTACATATACTAAACACACATATTAACTGTAGGTATTATTATTGAAAATAAAATATGCTATCGTTTTCACTTAAAGAGAAAACACCTTACTTGCTATCAATAATAACATATAACAGCAAACATGTCTAAACATGTGTAAATCATTCTCTGCTGTTCATTTTATTTAAATAATATCTATATTTAATAAGAATATCGAATTAAAATCAATGCTGTGGATCTTTCCCTGCACGTCTTTATGCAACTTAATTATTCTGACTAGTTTAAGCAAATTAGAAAATTCATAGCATTTATCATTTAAAATGAATTACTCTAATGAGTAAGCTGAAACACAAATATCTCCAAAATTTATCTATTAGATTAAGTTTAGTGCTGTAGGTTTCAGCTCTGTACATTATTTATAAATATTTTTTGGTCTTCCCAAGTAAACTGTTTATTTTGTTAGTGGGGGAAATTCAAGGCATCTGGTCTATTTATCGTGTGCTTTAAACTGAAGCAGTAGACTAAGTAAAGAACTTTGCCAACTGTACAAATAATCAAATTCAAAGCATTCGGCTATTTTTTGTAAACACAAAGTATACCAGTAAAGAAGTGAAGTCAAATATAAATACAAATATTTTGATTGTGAGTCTTAGCTCAGTGTCGTATTTACATTCAAATTATATCTTATCTTACAGCTGGGCATAATTATATCTCAATGTGTCTTTGCAGCGCGTTGGCTTCTTAAGCTTGAGCCTGGGCATGTTGATCTCGTGCGCCTTCGGTTTTTTTTTCGGCCTAATCCTTGGCACCACTGAAATGCCTTGGGGTCAAAATTCAGATTGGCCCACGGAGGAGATGCGCGGCAGGTAAGCACCATTAAGTTAATTTAATTTGCATTGTTTGGCGTTAAGTTTGACACAAAAACCATGACAATTGCCAAACTCTAACATAACAATAGAGAACAAATTTACATTTTTTCTTATAAAAATGATGATATTAATATTTACTTGAATTCACATTTTGGAGTAGGTCAATTTAAAAATAAACCATCAAATGAAGTATCAGAAAAATTGTAGCGTTCTATCTGAAGGACGAGGACCGAGCTGTGTAAGCGATCTATTACAAAATCAAATTAAGCTAAGCGGATACAAATGGAAATTTGATGATATCTCTTTTAGTTATTTCCTGTTATACAAATATTTCAATTCTGTTACTTCGTATTTTGTAAGACAAATATGTAAATATTTAATACAGCGGTCGAAAAGTTCATAACTAATTGTTGAGATTATCAAATGATAATCTTAGACTTTAGGGTGGCTATCTAACTTAAAACTCTTTTAAAACTTTGGGCTTACATGCACTTTAAAGTGATGCTGAACGCTGAATGTAAAAATGATAAATAAAAAGTTAAGTTTTGTTTTTAGACAGGCTTTGCTATAGAGCTTCTGAGAATGGGAATATAGACTTTGTACAGTGTCGACTTTGAGACAAGGCAAATCCATTAAGAATGTTAATTACGCGTCAACTCATACAAATGCCAAAGTTAGCTGCTACTTTAAGTCAGCTGGGAATCTATGAGCGAAAACGTAATAAATTACTTGCAAATAATTCAACTAATCTGATCCGCTCGTCCGAAATGTGAGGCGTGTGCTCATTAGGCAAACACTCTTTGGGTTACCCGCACTCCTCAACACCCCGTCCTGCCCATCGACTCCGGCTTCTGCTGCTCCTGTTGAGACACTCAGACAGAGACTCATTGCCGTAGACTCTAGGCAAGTACATACTAGTATATGAGCCACACATTTATTATGCCATCGTTTTTTGCCAGCTTCCCAGGCAAAACAAAGAGCAAATCTTGAAGTTGCCACGCACCGACTGCGTAAATCTCTTGCACCAGTGGGCCAAATAGGCTTACGGCCTAAACAGTCTCGTCCCTCACACAATAAATAAAGCTCAAACGAATTTCGCCGGAAGCTGTGCGTAATGAATGTGTGTCGGCAATTGTGTTAATTGCGCAAAATAAATTGTTAAAATAATAATACAAAAGAACAGTCTAGGACCAACAATAGACACATAGACAGAGAGCCAGGAAGAACGAGAGACAGTCAGTGTTGGCAAACCTAACAGCAAAATGTACAACTCTATACAGGCCAACATGGCCAGCACACAATGGCCAATGAAATGTGCAAATACACATCATCATAATAATAATGTAAGCCGAAAGCTGGCTTTCGTCCTCTGATTGCGTGATTGCCCTAGCCAGGATTCACCACCTACTTATATACATACATACATATATATACTTGCACATATACATATGTACCGCATTCATCGCATGTATTAGTAATGGACAGCATTCTGCAGGATAACCAAAAACCGCTTCGATCGCTGCTGCTATGTGCGAGTAACTGTGGCACGTTGCGCGTGAAAATAGCTTTGTCACTGCCCACAGAATTAGGCCCATTTGTTTGGCAAATCATCAACTGGCGACAGCAGGCAAAAGAAAAATACAGTAAATTAAAATGGGCAAGATAAAAGCGAGCAATTGCTAGCTATTTGCTCTCTACTCATACTGTAAGCTTGTCAATGCTGTGAAAAATGCAAAAATGTACAAAAGTCCAAATAATCATTTTTCTTCAAAAATGTTATATTTCATTTGTGCCAAATTTCGTAGAATATTTTAATTCCGAATGTAGTCCTCCCCATCAATGTCTAGACAGTTGACAATTGAAATCCGGCTTTGCCAGATGCAAATTAACAAAATATAATTAGTGTTAATGTGCCCGGCTTGGGTTCAGCTGCTGTGTGTTAATGTCGTTTATAATTATTTTGCTACTCTTATAGTATTAAATACTAAATTCATTTGTGGCACATAAATTGCCATAAAAAGCTTGGGATTGCTAAGAGACTAATAGAAAAACTTGAGAGAAAAACATGCTTAAAATGATTACACTTCACCCCTCACAAATCTAGCAAAACATTTTGATAACGAATGTGTTTTGAGTTCCCTGGCATAGTTAACATTATGCATTCTTTAATTTATGGGTCTGGCTCCAAGTTCAACAATAATTGAGCGTAAATTGCAGCGAACAATAAAGTTGTTGCTTGATAAAAAATGAAATGTATAATTTTCTGTGAAAATCATAGGTACAAATTTCAGACACCGCGAGGTGTAACCAAAGTCAAGTGCCATTAATCAAGCAAAGTTGGGCAGGGGGGAAAAATAAAAAGAAAAAAAAGAAAATGTAGGCACGAGTTTTCATGTGAACGCCCAAATGAGGTGAATGAATCAAAAAGCAGCACAATGAAAAGTTTCCAAAACATTTTTTACAACGAAGTGATTCCAGGAGCGGCGACAAGGTCGCTTGCCGGAAATGATAACAAAAGCCGCTGACACTTGACAAAGTTGCGAGTTATAAAAACACAGCGAAAAGAGACGAAACCATAACCAACAAAGTGAAAAGCGGCGACACCTGGCGGCGTGTCCAGCTGACAGGGCAGCGAAGCAGCATCAAAGATAGCTAACTCCTATATATGTAGCTAAAGTTTCCCAGCTTTTTAGCGGCAAATGTAACTAAATTTTTCGGCACTCGTTTCGCTCCGGTCGCTCACAGTTGGCATTTGTCATTTCGCCGCTGTTTGGGATTTTAATTAATTTTTGTTCATTTTTATGTGTTACTGTGTGTTTCAATAATTTCAATTTGAAATTTACAGAGGCAATGTGCGTGCTCTGTGGATGGGCGTTCTCTGGGCCCTAACATCTGGCACTGGCGTTGCCGTAGCCCTGCTCCAAGGCTCGGCGGGACCGCTGATTGGCGTTGCCATATCAGCATCACTGCTGCCGCCCGTCGTAAATTGCGTGAGTATCTGTAAGCTACAGCTACGATAACACAACAAAAAAAATGAATAATTACTTATATATATAAATATACACATTATTATTATTTATGAGCAGATGTTGTTGCTAGAAATAGCATAGAATTTGAAGGCAAGTCTTCACATTAATTGCTTATAGCAACAATTATTATCGGCCATGTTGTCAAGCATTTGATTCATTTAAAAATGTTCGCTTAATTAAACTGCTGAATTTCAGCTTAATATTTGTATTATTAAAGAATCTAGGTGTATCCAAACTCTTTACATATTGCACATAAATAAATAAACAAATATTTTCGAATACTACTTTGCAGTATTAAATGCCAGGCAAATAGAAGAGGCCAGAATACAAATAGGAGCAAATATTTGACTGCTTAGATGTCGAAAAAATGCGAAGGCATTTTGACCGAAGCCAGGCACAAGCGTCTAGAGCGAAAGTTGTGTGGCTTGAACATAAATAAGGCCAAAATACAATTTGCTGATTAATCTGAAGTGTAAGGCACAAAAACTTTTGGTCATAAATCCATCCGTCCGATTGCGCCTAGCCTGGAACTTAGCTACGGCTTCAGCTTTAGTATTAGTTTGGGCTCTGACTCTGGCTGAGGCTGAGGACCAACTGTTTGTGCCTAGTTTTGTGACAGTTAACCGCAACGAGTGCATAAATTTTGACCCAATTTTCAAGTGCGAATTGCGCTCTGGGCCACGAGCAAGCGGATGTTGCGTAAAATGATTAAGCAAGCAGGCTCAAACAGAGAGAGAGAGAGAGAGAGAGAGAGGAGAGGGTAAAATACAGAGGAATGCATGCAAAAACTTGCACAGCGGAAAAAGCAGGCTGACAGGCCAAACAAACAAAACTCCCAACAACAGCAAGCACAACAGCAACATTCCCTGACATTTATCAATTCTGACAGAAAGACAATGCCAAACAGGCGGCAGACAGCAGCGGTCAGCGAGCAGTGGACAAATGCGGCAGGGCGGCAGTGGGTAAGTCAGAATGGCAACCACAAGCATGACCAAATGATGCAAGAGAGCAAATTATGGAAACGTCCACTGGACTCTGGGGCACCCTGCTCTCTGCTCTCTGTTGTGAGCTCCCTGCTGTATGTTCCTGCTTGAACCTGGCTCTCGGCCTGGCACTTGGGTAACTGCATGTGCTGAAACAATGGCGCTGAGATCGCTTAATCATGGTCGAGCGTGTGTACCAGCCAGCCACCCAAGTTTAGTCTCATACTCAGCTTTATAGTTGTGTTTGTTTTTTCTTTTGCTGTTTGGCTCATATAAAGCTGCATAAATCAGAGACACATACTAAAACTCTTCCACTGTTTTGCATGATTTTAACCTAAAATCTGCTAACTGCATCGGCGTGAACAGCGTACCACAATTAATTGCATGCAGGCGACTATGAGTAATTGCATTTATTTACTATTCCCATTGCTCATACGCACCGTTGTTTTAATTAATTGCAGCAACATCCGTGACAAAAACACACTAATTAATTAGATAAAACTTTATGCATTCTTATAATTTTCTGATGTATTTCACAGTTTTGTCTGTCTAAATGTTTTTATGGAAAGTTTTAAATGAATAATTGCAGTTTTATATACTCTCAACATTGACTTTTAATAGACTTTATTAACGCAACATTTTCTTTGAGTCCACATTATTTGTCGTCCTACGCTTTCAATTCGAACTAGCAATAACTCAGCGAAAATTGCCATAAATAAAAAAAAAAAAAATAGAAAATAAACCAACATAAGATGCCGAAATCACATACGACGGCAAAAAAACACACACAGACGCAAACATCCTTTTGCAGGCGGCACACATGCTTCCGGTCTGTGTTGTCATACGCTGAGTCATTATAATTTATAAGAGCAAAGCACATGGGGCAAGAAATTGAAAAAAAGGCGCAGAGCAGACAATGCGACAATGAAGTTTTATCTATGCCCCGAAAGTATTATTGTGTGTGTGTGTGACTGGTTGTGCCTGGCTGTGTGTGTGGGTGTATTGGATGAGATTTATAACAATTCAAGGCCGGGATCACTACTTGATATGCTAAGAGCAACGCCCGTGCCGGTTTCAATTTCAATTTGGCAATGCGCACGCGACGACCTTATGACCTCGAAAATCCACGCTTTTCCTTTGTCCTCTTCTTCTACTTTAATATACACAGTCATTGCGAGCTGGCCATCACAAATGGCCAGTAAGTATGTGGCACATACATTCCACTTAACACGCATGTGCTGATTTCATTTTACAGGGTCTATTTTGGGCACTGGCTTGCATATGGCTCATCTATCCGGAGAAGCGTATACCGCACTTGAGAAACGAGGCGATGAACTCGACTAGCGTCTATCCGTTTCTCTATACGGACTATTTGCCCACCGAGTTCCTGATCAACGGCATTGTCTCCGCCTGCCTAACAATTGTTAATGTGATTTGCATATTTATCACAGCCATTATAGTGCTGAAAATCAAGGAAGTATCGGCGCCATATACGGCCAGTCCAGATCTGAAGCGGTAAGTGAATAAAGTCGCCTCCAACCAAATAGAAAAAAGAAGAGATTTCACTGGCACATTCAGTGCATGCCACAACAACAACGATATGTGGCAGCAATAAAATCAGCTCGAGTCTGTGTTATGCACCGAAGTGTGCTTAATGGGAGAACACTTGCCTTTTAGCTTATCATTTCCGTTATGTGCGCCTGTTATATGACCAGTCGACCATTTGTAAACGTAATTAATAACAGCAGCCGCAGCAACAAAAATAGTCATTTATTCATCCCCGTCTCTGTCTCTGTCTCCGTCTCTGTCTCTGCTTAACCATGAGCATGATAAGTTGAATTATGTTTGAAGTACTTAACAGATTCCCAACATATAAAATCACATTCCATTAAAGTCAATGTTTTCAGTGGAACTTTAAAGCACTGTTCAAGCAAGCAATGCGGCTGCTTTTAACTCAAAATTAATGCAGAGTCAACAGTTCCTGTTAACAACAGAATATCAAATGGCATCTGCTTAGTAATTTAAACTTGAAACAATTTAATATTTTTGTCTTTGTATCTTTCAATAACATCTATTATATTAGATTAGCTGTAAGCCCACGATACATATTGAGGATGATAAATCCGATGATTAACCGGCTTATTTGCTGCATTCCAAATTAAACATTACTCATACGTCGAGTGGCACACATTGGCTAAATGAAAATAAATGAGTTTTATTGCGTGTCCTGCTCTAATAAATAGCCATCTAAGGCGCATAGACGCCACTGACATTAGCTGCCACCCAGTTATCGCCCCGGATCTGGGAGCCTGTGCTCATTAATGCCAACAGCCACTTGGTGGCTGGCACATGTCTGGCCGGCTATGTGGCCTTCAATCTCATAAAGTGACGCATTAAATTACTTGAAGCGCACACAAAACAATTTTTTCCTTCTAAAGCTTTGTCAACACTTGCCACATAAACTGCTCGCAGAATTTCTGTTACAGTCTGCACAATTTTCCGTATTAAGGCGAGCGCACGCTCGCCCACCCACCAAACCACCCCAGCTATACCCTGTTGCAGCCGAATAGATGATGAGCTCACATTAACATTACATAACATTAAGGGGCAGTAAAAACGTAAATATATAATTAAAAAAGTTCCTTGAGAGCAAAAATCGATAAGTCAACTGATTATTAAAGATTCAATTCGGTTATTGATAGATATAAACAGGGTATCGTTCAGCTGAGAGCTTCAACTGTAGCATTATTGTCCTGTTGTCTGAAAGCATTTAAGAGTTGTTTATGCAATATTTGTGTTTGCCTTGCTGCATTCAACTCGTATTCAACCACTTTTCACTTGAGTGCAATGAACGCACTGCTCAAATAAATGCCTCAGAATGGGCAGCGGATTCATATGGCTGCAGGGCATTATGCTACTATGTTTTCCCATCCGGCCTGCCGGATCCAGCAATATGCATTGAGCTCATGATTTATATTATGCTGGCGCTTTGTTTTGGCGACATGATGTGGTTGTTTCATGGCTTGTTATTGCTGAATACATTTTTTTAATGGTTTGGCTGCCAGAGATGAACGCTTTAATGGAACCTTCTCAGTGTCGCACAAGAAAACTGATCTCATTTCCAATATTGATATATGTATATATTAATCACATATCCAATATAATCACTTCATCACTTGATATTCCCCGTGCAAACAGAGATGATTTTAAGAATATTCATTTAAAAATCATCTTTGTTGTTTGGATTTCATTTGTATATCGTTTGGCAATTTGCTTGCAGCTTCTGGGAAACAGATCTTCGCACGGTGAGAAAAACGAATCGCTCCACAATGCGTCATCGACAAGGAACACTTCGAGGCGATGGCATTGACAAACTTATGAGGTAAGTGAAGTGGGGGGAGGAATGCGAAGCTCGAAATGCCAATGCCAATTGTCGAACTCGTTTATATTTACGATTTTCCAATTGTTGTTTATTGTTGTTGCGGTAATTGAGCGCATGTGTGACACCAGGCATGAATAAGATTGTGAGTGTGAGTGTGCGTGTGTGTGTGTGTGTGTGTGAAGGTGAGGGGTGTCTGCACATGACATTCCCCGGGGCCAACGCAATTTTCTCGGTTTGCTGAGTGGAACGGGGAACAGACGTTTCAAAACAATTTCGTGAGGTAAATAACAAAAGTATTTATACTTATGGAGCCCTATTCTACACGCCTCTTCTCCACGTTGTGTTGCGTCAAGGATATAAATAATTGTGATGTCGGCAATAAAAGTGGGCAGCATACAAAATATATTTATCGCATAATTGAAATCATTGTCAGAAATTTATGGCACTTTTCTGTAAAAGCGTAGCACAGCATTGAAAGATATTTCAGTTCATGAAATTTGCATATTTAGAAAAGAAGTTAAAAAAATCAGGTGTGTAAGGCGTTAAGTATACAATGAAACCCTATTAATATTTTATATAAACTCAGAGAACAGAAATCCAAACACCACAGGAGCATATTTTGTGAAAGGTTCTTTGTAAAAATTACCATAAAAACAATTAGAATATCACCCTTGAAATATATGTGGCTAATTAGTTAGCAGCTGCTAGCGTTTTTAATTTAACGCTCAGTAACCCAGCTGTTTACTCAAACTACAGAACAAAAAATGTTGAAAATGGACCACACAAAAGCGCATTGAGAATTTTTCACAAAAGTTTTTCATTTGCACACTAAATACATATTTACAGAAGACTATTCTAGATGCTCTTGCTAGCAGCTTATTAAGAAGTTCATCATTTTTCTTCGGTAATATTGTCTAAGAAAAATTTAAATATAAATCTTATAATTTGTTTTGAATCTCTCTTGGTTTCTTGGACAAGAAAATCAGACTTAAAACACTTACCAAATTTACCAATTCCTTCAAATTGTGAAAATAAACTAAACTGATTTGAAATTTATGCTGGTCTTAGTTACAGTTTGCAGCAGTTGTAATTCCAAGGGTCCATAGTGTAAATTAACTTCGGCGCTGTTCTTTTTTTTTAGCTGTTGCATGTATTTAACAAGTTTCTTATAACTTATGCTAACATTGCAGTGGGACAAACTACAAGGGACTGGATGAGACGCGTAGTGCCAAAATGGATACAGCACTGGAGCGGGCTCTCGCCCAGGCCGAGAATGATGCAACATTCCAGAAGGTCAAACGGATGAGCTACTCGAGCAATGCGGTCAGTGAGGTAAGTCCTGTAATATTAACTACCTGTATACAAGGATACTGGGAAGCAGTGGTTTTACCTCAAACATCCGTCGATTCTTCTTCCATTCAAATGTGAATGTAATTTTGGAACACTCAATGGTGCTCGAGGTAATCATAGACATGGAATAGAGTTTTCGGTTTTTTTTATAGCTCCTTTGAATGCATTGAAATATTTTAATACGTTTACTCAGCCGTTTATCTGTGTATTTGCAAAGTTAATATAAATTAAATTATTAGTCACTTGAGGGAAAAGTCGTCAGTAAGTTCGAATAACATGCACACTAACAAATTGTAACTTTCGTTATTCAATCAGTTGGAACTTTCGGATATGACAATATTAACCCAAGGCAAAAATTCATATATACAGGTGTAATTGAGTTTGCGTTTGTTATTTGCTTATAAGAAGTGCATTATGAATATGATTTGTTAAGCTTTTCATAGTTAAACAGTACCCATTTCTTTAGTGTACATTTACCTTCTTGGAAAAGCCAAGCAAACAAAATTTAATCAGTCGGAGGACAAGCTTCTGGGCAACTGGGATTCATTTATTCATCAAATGACTAAACGAGCGAATCCAACACATGAATAATGTTTTAATTTACCAATTTTGGGATAAGCTAAGGATATTCTGATGAGTGTATTGATCAATAAAAGTGCATTAGCCAAAGTTATTTTTTGCCAGTTTCTAAATAATGTTTATACCATAATTAACAAAATAACAACTGAAATAATGCACAATTGTTAGACTCTTAAAATAATAAATAAAGTTATGCTAAACATATTTCAGACTACAGATTATAAATATACGTCAAAAATAAGATGCTTAGGTGATTCCCAACAGACCCATAAGAACGAGAGCATTTAAAGAAAACAAGCATAACAATTAGAATGAATAACAATAAACGTCCGCTTATCGCATTTGTCAAGTGGCTATAAGCACACAAATGGGCCAAGACAGCATTTAAGCTAAATGAGCAGCAATTACGAGTATTAAGAGAAGGGAGCAGAGTACAATCCACATAAAGAACTGACCTCAATCATTAGTTGATAAGCGCGGCAGTGGTTGAAAAGTAAGAGCTTGTCGCGAGAAACAACGACAAGCAAAAGCTGCCAGCCCAGATACAGATACACATCCACAGTTACACACACATCCACATCCACAAACACATCCACAAACACATCCACAAACACACCCACACGTCGGATAATCAAGTAAGCGGTCATAAATCAATGGGTAGCACAGTGCAAATGGAAAAGGTCAGCAGCAGTTTCGCTCTTGTCGCGAGGGAAAAACTCGAGACTGCATGTTTATGGCTAAGCATCGTTTAAGATTTATGGTAGAACCAGATGAAGCCATCGCTGTTGGCAAAAACAAAGGCTTGGAAACAATTGCAGTATGTCCATCCATGAAGAAAGTCGGAATATTGAAAAAAAAAAAACAACAAAATGTGTTTTTCATTCTACTCTCACAACGATGCATTGCATTTTGTTGTTTTCTTTGCATCTTTTTTCACTTCATGTTATGTGAAGATTGAATTTTAGAGCAAGAGCTTGAAAATTGAGTGACAATTGATGAGAGACCAATTCGGGTGTATGTAACTTAGAAGGTTATACGAAGGTGAAGAAAACTGTTGTATTGTCTCTTTCATAGCACGTTCCACCTAATGAAGAATAAGTTTAAAATATTTTATATGAATAAGTTTTCTGATGCATAGCAAATATGAAATATATGAAAAGAATAAATAAACCCGAGTCTACTTAATTATCAGAAAGTCCATATGGAGTGCCATGTCCCCCACGAAATATGACGAAAAGAACTTTCGCAATTTCCTGTTAACCAAAAAGATAAATGCCTCAATTAAAAGTTACTGTGTAGCGGGAAGTCAGCGAAGCATGAATTGCCACAAATCAACTTTCACATTAATTCATTTTGGAATGATGAAAGCCGAGTTGTAGAATGAGATTGAGAATGAGAAGACACTTGAGTGAGTGACAGACAAGACATGCTCCAAATATTTAAGCCGTTGGCAGAGAGCAGAGTGCAAAACAAACTTGATAAGTTGTCAGAGAGGAGGGGGGCTGTGAGGCGGCTAGATGCTGAACGGCTTGTAATCCATTTAAAGTGAGTCGCGGCCACTAAAACTCAATTAACCCCGTTTGTCGAAGCACAAGGCAATTGAAAACGACAGAGACAGCAACAGCAGCAGCAGATACAGATACAGACCAGAGACAGAGACAGAGACCGAGACAGAGATAGAAAAATAAAAATAGAGAGAGAAACGAACGTTGAAATCAAGGCAAAAGATTAAAAACGGAAATGGCCGGCCATTGAGTGGGCCGAGCGGAAAGAGTCCTAAATAGAGAGGAGGATGTGTGTGAGTAGTGGTATGTGGTCTGGTTGTGTGTGTGTGTGTGAGTGTGTGTGGGAAGGCGTTTTTGCAGCATTTTTCACTTAAAACCGCATTGATACTCAATTACCAGTGAATGGGTTGCCAGGTTACCGGGTTTGCAGGCTTCTCGGGTTGATATTCGAGCTTGAGCGGCAGACCAGAGGCGTGGGCAGCGCACAGCACAAAACAAACGTCGGATGTTGAGCACAGGAAAGCGGAAGCACTTTGCAACGGAAATGAAACATCAATTAAAGTCGCACCCTGCTCTACGCGAGAAACACTACCAGCTTTGCCAACTGAGCCCCTCCAACCACAAAAAAAAAAAAAAATATAAAACATTGCTTTTCGTTCGCCATTGTTAATCCTTGCGGTAGTCGGCTACCACTGCGACCACCAGCGAAATGGGAATGGGTAGCCCGATTGTGTTATCCTTCGGGCCTCTCGCGTTGTAAGTTGTAAGTCTGTGCAAGTCTCGGCCTGCAAAAGGCGCATTTTTCGTTAGTTTACGATTTTATTGTATTGTAAAGCGGCATGTTTCACTTGGCCGCACTGCGGCAGGACGAACGCGGACAAGCAAGATATCTGCATTGAATATTTTGCTTCAATTAAAATACAAAATCTCGCTATAGTCAAAAGCCTTCAACTGGAATTCATGTGAGCATATATCGAATTAAATTAAATAAAACTATTTGCACTCTTTTAAATTAAATTAATTTTTCAGTTCTTAAACTGTTGCTTATCGACGTTATTTAACTTTTATATTTTGAAATTTGTGCTTTTATAAAACTGCACTTTGGTAGCTTCTATAACTACTTTAAAATACACAATTTTGTATCATACAATATCATTTAAAGTATACCCGGAACTCATTAAAATGAATGCCAAAATTATATAAAATTGGGTATGATATACCTCTAATGTTATTAAAATTATCGAGGCATATCCGCATCAAAAAATAAGTACAATTTCACGATTGTGCTTCTCTTTCGACTCTAAAAAAGAGTACAAATAAACCTGGTTTTGAAATGTGTACAATAGTAATAATATTAGCAAAATACTAATTTCTTGAAGTTGTAAAAAATGGTATGAAGAATCCAAGTCCATCAGTCTATGCAGGCAAAGTCTGCAATTGTTTTGCGACTATTATATTTGCTTGCAACATTATCAGTTCTTGTTTGTCTTATCTGCCGCATCTCTTCTAGGTAACGGAGCGCCTTGCCGAAATTGCTGGCCTCAATACGCGTCATGGGGAGGCAGCGATGCGCTCAAAGCCGAGCAGCTTGGCAGGCAGTCGCATGAACTCCATACCCGAGGCACAATCGAATGTCGATCTGAAGGTCTTGGATAAACTGGTGAGCAGCCTGTTGGAGCAGCATGCGGCAGGCGCTGGTAGCAAGAACAGCGCCACCTCTAATTTGGAGTCAGGCAATCGCACGTCGCTGAGTGGACAGCGCAAGGCGTCGAAGAAACTAAATCGCTGGGGTCGCCTTTCTAGGTCGGTGAACAGCTTCAAGCGGGGCGACGGTGGTGGCAGAGACTATGCGAGTGGCAACTTTACCCAGCTGCAAGATCGCAGCGAAGCGCAACCGTCGCTCGCTCAACACACGCCCAACATGCCCACCATCATGGAGAGCAGTGCTGGCAGCGCATCGCCCAACAATGCCCAACAGATACAACACAATCCTTGGACTGCCTCATTGGAGCGTACGCCCAGAGCGGTTCGAAATATGTTGCACAACATAGGTCAGGCAGTCAGGCAGGAGGATCAGCTTAACTTGAACCAAAACTATGTTGGCTAATATATCATTTAATTTACGTCTTATATTTATGAATATACTTGCACATTAATAATGCTATTAAATGTTGAAGAGTCACCAAGTCGTACACTAATCAAATATGTTTTCTAAGTATGAATATCAGTCTAAGCTTTTATTAGCTTGACTTCATTAATTTAACTTTAATTTGCTGTAAATTTTATTCAATTTAGCACCACAGAATTGAAGTTAATCTTGACCGCTCAAGAGGCAAGTGTCGGGCCAGGACAGCTTTGCAGCCCCTAAATGTCAACTGGCTGGCAGTTACAGTTAATAATTTTTTTGGTGGGGCAACAGGGGGATGGGGCGATCTGCACTCAACGTTGACAGATGATGATTTCAGTGTTGATGTTTGCAGCCTGTCATCATCTGAGATACGAGCTGAGTGGCCCGGACCGCAGGAGCTAACCACCCAGGAGGATGTAGCAATGAATGCTGATGCTGTTGTTGAAGGCAAATAGGGGAGACAATAATGAAGCAGTTTGAAGTTGTCTGCCAGTTGCGGTTGTCAGCCAGTAATGATGCCAGGCCTCCGAATTGTAATTCAGTGCGAAATAAATGGCAAAATAAAAAAGTGTCTGCCATTTAGTTGAAAGTTGGCGCTAATTAAAGTGCTCTCTCTCTGCTTGTATGTTGTGTTGGGCATTAAATGCAGGCTTGAGAAAGCAAGTTCATAAATTTAATCAGTACAAACGTATCATTGCCCTTTCGATGTTATAAGTAAGCATCAAGGCTGGACTGTAAGAAGCATTGAAGTGTTGCACGTTCATATAAGTATGTGCTCATGTGAGTCACGTAAACGGTAACAGCTATTTGGGAATGTGGAGAGCTGTGCAGGTCATCTAGACTGCTAAGTGCTGCATTCAGATACACACTTATTACGTATAGAGTAGCCTAATTCAATTCTTGGAGTGCTCTCCTTTATGTGTAAGTGTGTGTGTGTGTGTGTGTGTGTATGTGTTGTGCATTTGAATGTATGCTTTTGTAAGCCACTCACCTGTCGTTCCATGACGCCAGCCAACTGTTCACGCTCCGAATTGCGATAGTATCCGGTGAGATTGGCACCCAGTCGCATGGTCACCTCGTAGCGCGTCTTGCCACTACGTGCCGCATTTCGATTGCTTCTCACGTTGAAATAGCCGGAACTGCCGCTGAGAATGGAACTGGAACCAAAATTGCCGTTGTTGTTGTCGAATTCGCATGCACGATGGCAATTACTTGCACTGGCATTTCCAATGCATCCTGTATATTAAGGATAATAAAAAACGAATGGTATGTAAGTGTAACATACTTGAAAATAATAATGTTAAAGCATATGCAGATTCCTTTACAAGCATTCTCATTCTCTTCTATTTGATATGACAAAGTGGAGCAATTTAATATTGCTCAGCTATCGACATATATATATATATATATATATATGAGGAAGACCTGCTAAACTGCACTATCATAGTCAGAGACAAAGCGTTTGAAGACAATAAAGGACATTACAGCGCACAAAAAATTTGAGAAATGTTTACGTCAAATGCCAAACACACGCAACGAGGATAACCCATATTCACACGCAGCCAGGATAACCCAGTATCATCCTGCTTCGCTCAGTTTCATAACCATAACATTTACTATGCACTTTCCACCTGATCCCTGCTAAGCTTGAAAATCGAATGTCAAATTGACGATGACATTGTCATTTAAGCGACACGTTGCCAGGGGAGCATTCAAAGCATGTGATGGACATCTATTCTAATGTCAACCAATTTAAAAATAACTCGGTAAAATACTCATCTATTGCTTAGCCATGAATATGTCAGTATAAGTAAGTATATTAAGTGTATAACCGTCTCTGTGAGCGGCCTACAGAGCTAATCATATCATTTTTGTTACAATATATTAACTTCCATCGGATAAAGTATAAAATCTAAATCGCCAAAGCTTACTTAATCGTTCCTTGCCAACTGTTCTTTATCTTGTAATATTCTGGGCTTTTTGCCTGTTTGCAACAGTTGCAGTTGCAACAATGCATTCGCAACAACAAAGTCCAATATTGGCGTGGCATGCCATCCATCGACTACCTGCAGCTTGTATACAATTGTCCGTTAAATGGTGCGACAAAGTCTCCTCTCCTTCCTCCGGCGCACAGCCCCCATTCCCCAAAAAACACTTTCCTTTTGCTGCACCGTGGCACAGGGCAATTTAAATGCATTATTATTTGCTTAATTAAATATTTTCCCCGGCGTCTTTTTTGTTTGCTCACCTCAGTCTTTTACATTCTCTCTCTTTCTGCATGTTCTCTGTTTCTCTATCTCTCTCTCTGTCTCTCTCTCTCTCTCTCTCTCTCTCTCTCTCTCTCTCTCTCTCTCTCTCTCTCTCTCTCTCTCTCTCTCTCGTCACTTATGTGTTTTACAATTTTAAAAGAAACCTTTTGTTTTTCAGTTACTCATATGGAATTTAAAAGTGCTTGTTACTTTTGATTAAACCACAGTTGCTTTTTGGGAGTTTACTTACCCTGGGTTGACTCGATTATTTCGGGAATTTCACATTTGGTGCCTTTGTAGCCCGTTGTACAGTGGCAGGTTATTGCCGCATCGCCAATGTGCCTGGAATTGTAATATGGTGGTAATATAGTTACAAAAAATGTTGATCCATTTCTTTAATACTTATACGAACTTGTTTTGTTTACTATTGTTACACATATACGTATTTTAATCAACTTTTTAAATATTGCCTTTTGCGATTATCATTTTAAACACTTCATAAGAGTAAACATTTGCGCAGATGTTAAAAAGTATAAAGATGTGATACATTTGTGGAACACTTTTATAAGCAGCTGTGCAAAATGCTTCAATTTTCTTCTCTCTTCAAGAAATAAATAAATAAAAAAAAGGAACAAAAGCAATTTAAATTATAAAAAGTGATCGCCATAAGAAAAACTATTGTTTATTTTATTAAATAAAATGTCAGCAATTATTTCTAGCGAAATGAACTTTAAGTTTAACAAAATAAGAGCGTGAACATATTTTGCGTTGACTGTACTTACTTGCATGTGCCACCATTTTGGCAAATATTTGTGTGCGCATCCGTGCAGAGGGGACCATGCCCACAATCCGTGCCACTGAAGCCGGCGAAACAGGCGCAACCATAAGAGCTGCAATGAGATATGGTTGCAAGATGCGAATGTGTTGCATTATTGTTGGTTTTTCTTTGCATTGTTATGTAGCTTAAGCTTAGGCAAAAGTCGACTTTCGGGAAGTGGCACAGATAAGCTGTCAGAACATGCCTCGGAGATAGGCAGTGGCGCAGTTGTCAGCGCAGGGCTCACAGTTGCTTATCTCTCAGCTTGCGGCTCGGCACAAAATTGAGATTTGTCAGTTGCTAAGACACAGAAGTTTTACTATATATTTGTTTTTTTTTTTTTTCTTTATCATACTCAAGTATGTGAGTACGCAGAAGATTTAAGTTTTGTTCTTAATTTTTTGGTACGTGCTAAAGCGAATATTGTGAGAAAGCTCATTTAATGCTATCAGAGTTAGAGCATCAACATCATTAGAGCTAAATGCTAAGGTCACACACTTAACCCGAGGCAATAATTTGAAAAACTTGGCGCCAAGGATACGTCAGACGCATAAAGCGTATAAAAATACGGCTGCAAACAGTCAACGTCACCCGGGCAGCCTTGAAAGAGCTTTGTAACACTTGTTAGGTTCAATTACGAGTAATTACGCATACAGGCCGAGACGTCCTTAAGCTTCCTTCCGTTTGCTCATTAAAGTAGACAGTTTGAGAACCCAGGACCCCAGGACAGTTCTGAGCATAAGCCGAAGTATTTTGCCATTCAATGTTATTCTAATAAGCAAAAATAATTGTGCCCACTTGACTTTGAGCAGGCATGTTAAAAATTGTAAGTGTTTTCCATTGCGCAATTCAATTTAAAAGGCGTATGCATAATATCCACAGTTGAAACGTCGTTTAGCAAGCCCAAACATTTTGATTATTTAATTCTACCACATCAATTTCAATTTACAATTGAATTCGTTCCGAGCAACCCGGATAAACGGCAGCAAATTGCGTTTCAGCATTTTAAATCACAGATATTAATTTCCGCAAACAAAATATTCCCGTTGACAATTTAATTGGGGTTCGCAGTTTAGCTAAAGCTGAAAGCAAAAAAAAAAAAAAATGAAACATAAACAAAAAGGTCGCCATTTGTTAGTTAAATAATTGCACATCCCTTGCCATTTGTTTTACATTCTATGCGACCAGGAGTCGGACATTTGACCGTTCCTCGCTCGCTTTTCAGCGCTAACAATGGCGATTGTTGTTTTGTTTGTTGTTGTTGTTGCAGTTGCGTCGTTGACACATGTCAACACAAATTAATTTATAGAAACATTTTCAAATTATTTAGATGCAGCGGCATTATATATTGGGTCTATTTGAATATGCTAAATAAAAAAAAAACATAGGTTTCACATGGTTTTTTCAAAAAATATTTAAAAAAAAAATTAAATAAATACATTTAAAAAATATATAAATAATAGACCGATATTAAACTTTAAGGCACTTCTAGGATTTATTACGGATAAACTTTAAGCTTTCTATATATGTATAAACTGCACTTAATTCACTATCATACTGTTCACCTAAGTATTATGATGCTATTTGCAAACGAATAGTCAATATTTTGCTTGTCCCATGTCAAGCTTTGTGGCTATCAAAGCGCAATAAAAGCAAAATTAATTGATCGGCTTTTAGGGCTATGGGCCATACACATTAGCTCATAGCCGGGCACATATGGTGATATTCAATGCAGGTTAAGTATACGGCGAATTAGCCACAAGACATTAAAGAAGTAGAAGCGAAAAAGTTTCGCCTACGCCAATAACTTTAACGGAAAAAATCAAAACGTGCCCAGGGGTGCGACAAAAAAAAAACACATCTGAAGGCCGACAAGAAAACTTTTCCTCTCACATTCCTCTTCTGTTGTTAAACTTTCGCTTGTGTTCTTGAACTGCTTCCAGGACTTCTTGTGCTTTAATGGGAATTCTTGATGTGTGCTGGGGCATTGCGGACAGCCGATAAAATTTGGATTAGAGCTCGTTGCTCGCCGGGATAATCATTTTGAAGCGTTGCTTTTTCCTCGCTCGCTTGTTTTAGCCATAAATTAAAAGCACATTTCATTGCTTTTGACCACAAAGCCAAGCTTTGCCCAAATTCGAACTGCTTCAAGCAAATGCTTTTGTTGTCTCCAGCCATATATCATACATTTCTCTGGGTATGTATATGTTCGATATACATGTAGGGCATGGGAAACGCCCATTGTTAAAAACACACATTGACCTACTGGCAACACTGCTGTTGTTGTTGTTGTTGTTGTTCTTCGTCAACTTCTCCTCCCTGCTTGTGTATCTCAAGCATATAAGCAATTGTGCCTTTGTCTAGCGGAAATTAATTGCCTCTATGTCCGGGCATCTGCGTCGCTTACGAATATAAAACGCGTGCAAAAACCAAACGTCCTTGCTTGTCCCACCGACTGTGACGGAAACGTTTGCCCAAATAAATGACACATACAGACTGTTGTCTAAAAAAACAAAAACACGCATCAAAAGAGTTACTCAACAAATGCAGTTGCCATACATAAACTCGACTTTAAGTTACACTATACACATTTTCAGCTCGACATTTTATTTTTTCCAATCACGAAACTCATTTTATGGTATTGATGATGGTATTGATCAGATTAATATGCTTATTCAATTTATTATGCCTCTTTACTGCGTTTATAAATCTACCTTGACAACATGGCCAGCGAGAGTGTATACCAAAAGAGGTCATTGAATAAAGTCTATCTCTGCATTTTACTTCTTTTTTTTACGAATCGTTGAAAATCACCTGCAGCTGTTTTCCTGTGTGCAGTAGTTTGTCTGCATATTTCACGATTATTTTTGTCATTTTTTGAGGGCTTAAATCTTTTTTTCATCAAGCAGAAATGTTGGCGCACACAAATTTACATGTTCGTTTTATTTTTTTCATATTAGTATACCCCTTATTCATACAAAGCCAAAGTATGGTGCGAAACAAGTGTGCAAATAATTTATTGTGAGTAATGTGTGGCAAATTGAATGCATTGCAGCTTAAGGTGCACTCAATGAAAAAGGTAAACATGTAGAAATATACTGAAGGGTGCTGCATACCTCAGTCGAGGGAATATTTTTGACAAGCATTTTCGATTAGAGCATTCTTGTTGGAGTTATTTCAGTTTCAGTCGATTACGAAATCGGGCTTCGCAGAGCGTTTTTAAATTCATTTAAATTTCAAATGCTGCTTAACAATTAAAACTGTGTGCCAAAAGCTGCTACATTTTTATTTTATGGACTGCTACTCGAGAAATGGTGACAGTTCAGTGCAGAGTGCGGACTGCAAGACTGCTTGTAGAAAGGACTAATATTTTTCATTATATGTATACATATATAAGTGTGTGTGTCTGCCAATGGATGCCATGAATATGTCATACTCGCAACAGCAGCCAAGATTCCCCCAGCGAGTAGTGTACTTCCGAGTAAGCGACAGAAAGCAGATGAAAAGCGGAAAGCGAAATGTTTTTCTCTATCAGACACAATGAAGACAGGGTAAAATGAATTCAAGAAAATTTACTAAAGAATAACAATTTTTTTTTGTCCTTGTAAGGTTGAATTTTTCTAAAAAGTTCACCGTAGCATTATAAAGAATTCTCGACCATATTCAATTAAGTTAAAATAATAATTATTTGATTTATTTTTGGCATTTTTCACTACAGTGAAAACACACAAATAAATAAGCTCTTATGCCTTCTCATATTTCATACGTGCAATTCAATATTTATTGGTGCGTATTTTGTCGCAGTGCTCGTCGTTTGGATTAATTGAGAAACTGTCTAACATTTCTAGACGACTTTTTGACACAACGCCAAAAAGCATGGCGTTGCCAAGATATGCAAGAGGCAAATAATATCTCAAGTGGCTAGAAACGCAGAAAAACCCTATCTGAACTAATATATAAATGAATACAGAAATTATAATATGTTTATATATATTAGCTGAACTGCTGAATTCTATGCATATACTGCAATTGCAAATCTGAAATAAATCATAAAAATTCCATAAAACAGAATTGCGTATTTCCTTAACAATGATAACTGCGAATAGTCATTACAATTTCAATTTTCATACTTTCTAAAAATCAATAAGAGCATTAGCGCCTCCATACGAGTGGAGTACTGTCTGCCAAGGGTTTTTCTCGTAGAACACAATGGAGAGGAATCAGAATGGCAAATTACAACAAATTGGCTTTTTTCGCGTGTGTTTGTAAGTGGGTGTTCCTGAAGTGTGGGTTTGTGTATGTGCTATGAGTGCCGACCGACAAATAAAATTTTAGCAGCAAAAAATAGGAAAAAAACACCGTTGCTTTTTATTTTTTCCCTTACCTATTCAGCTAATGCAATCAAATTAAATGCCATTAAATTTGATGGGTGCGTCTAAGTGGACGTGTGTGTGTGAAGGGTTAGACCTGAGTACGGCGAGTGTATAAAATGTAGCTGATTGTAACAATTGCCCTACGGCTGTTTTTTTTATAGCCAGACTATCGTAAAAAAATGCTGTTAAAATAAATATATTACCATTTCCATTTTTATGGTTTTATCTTTTGTGTGTAGAAATTAATTTCCAAAACATAACGAATGCGAAAATTAAATTGCATAAGTAAAAACAAATTTGAAATGACTTTGACAGGTGAACAGCGAGATGGAGAGCCAGACAGAGAGAGATAGAGTGGGAGAGGGCGAAAGATAACAACAGCCAATTATATTTGCAAAGTTTCTTGCAGACAAGCGAGTGTTGACAACAATTTTTTGGGCAAAGGCAAGTTAAGCCACATATTGTACAGGAAAATTAAAGTTAAAACTGATATACAAGAGTTGCAAAAATGGCAAACTTTTAATTGAGCAGAGAGAGAGAGAGAGAGAATGACAGAGAGAGAGCGTGTGTGTGTTTGTGTGTCTGGAAAAGAGGATTGCAGGCTGGTATTCAGTCAGATGATGTGACAAAGACAGGTCAAAATTTTGGTCAAACAAAACTTAATTGCAATATGCAAGCACCCTTCCTGACCCTTGCCCCAATCCCAATCCCCAGTGGCTGCCTGCACAGACACACACTGAATGCGGCAACCTCCTCAACGACTTTGGATAGATGACAATGTTTGACATGGCAAACAATATACGCACTCACTCTCACTTATGGCTGGCCAAGCGATGCGAATGACACTGACACAGTTCACAGACACGAGGCAGTCCTGTGGCGTGGCTGGGAGGCGAGGGCGGTTGGCTGATGCCAACCAACTCATTGCACTTGCAACGCCCACAACATTGTGCTTTTACTATTATGTAGCTTGGATTTGTACCTCCACTTGCCGACTCTCGTACTGAACCTGTTCCCATTTAACGCTCTCGGTTTGTTTGCTTAACTTGCAGCAACAGCAGCTGCAGCGGCTGCGGTGCTTTTTCCGTGGCTGCGCTGCACATTGATTGCCGCAAGCGGACCGTACCGACCACCTGCTCGTCCGGATAAGAATCACCTATGGCTGGCCATGGAAGGTCGACTTGAACATTTTATTTGTTATTTCATGCAGTGCAACCAGTGAAACCACTCGTAACATCTGTACAATTATATAAAAACGGAACTGGTTGTGTTGTCTGTCCATTATAGTTATTAAGTGCTTGATGTGCCAATATCATCAGAGCTAACATTGCTGATAAATACCTATGTTAATTATCTATTCCCTTTTTTTTAACAGGGGTGTTTGATAAATATGCAATGATTTTATACTCTTTTTATTGGCAAATGTATATTGGAGTCTGCTGTATTTTATCAGAGTTTGATAACGTTTTACAATTAGATTGATACCTGAACACACTATTCAATCGACTAGTCTTGTCAATTTTGTCGAAAGTTCTTTCAGTCTTAGCTCGAAAAGAGCACCATCACTGCCATAATAACGCAGGCAGCAGCAACACAAGGCGACATTCGCTCTCCAATCCGCGCCAGCTTCCACAGGATGCATCTCAAACCGGACGTGTTGCGATATAAGATGTTGGGAAACAAAGGTCGCAAATAGGCGCAGGTGCAAGTCAGCAACAGGATTACCGAAAGCAAGCTTTGCAAATTGAATATTGCACTCATTTTCTTGTGTTGATTTGTTTCTGTTGAAAAATGTATCTGATTGGTCGAGCTATTGAAAGCCTACTAACTTTATTGAAAATTATTGTTAGCATTGCTAAGATTGTTGAAGATTTTATGTATTGGTATTCGAAATCAGAAAATCAATTAGCCAGATTCTTCTGTAGCTTCCCCACTCAGCACATATACACATATATACGGTATGTGTAACATTTAATTAAGTGAAAACAATTTTTTATTCACTCAACAAACACTGCCTTTGCCAATTAATGCCTCTTATGTAATTCAACTTTGAGCTAACGCAACCTCAAGAAAAAAAGAGAGGGAATATGCCCGCATAAGCTTAATAAAAACCCCCTTTGATGGGACTCAAAGCGAAAAACTTTTTCAATTAAACATTTATTCTTAAAAAACATTTGCACGGTCCAAAATTCGGGGTGTCATGCCAAATGAAGGATACAAAAAAATCATACGAAATATTCAAACATAAATTGTTTTCAGCTGCATTGAACTTTTTCGGGGAAGTGCAACAGATTTGTGCAAACTTAATACAGGTGCTGTGGATGTGTTCTCAATGGAGAATCCAATACATAAATGCGCTGAAAGGTTTATGAAACCAACTAACATTTTTTCGTTGCTATTATGTTGATTTTTTTTGTGCTTATTTGAATTTTTTATTTTCCAGAAGAAAAAGCAGCAACTGCTAAATTAAAACTCAGAACTAAAAAGCCATCCAGTTGCCTGGCCAATTGTTTATGGTTTATTGTTGATTATTCTTGTGGAAGTTTTTGTGGCGCTTTGGTGCCCAAACTCGACAGCACCAGATGACCATGCAAACCATGGACAAAAATTGGAATTCACAAACATTTTGAATATTTTATGCAAACTTTATTATCTATAAAATGAAGTTTGTTGCCGAGCACTTATAATGAGTTGGCAAAAAGGCAATGACCAACTGAAAAAGTCAGCATTAAACATTAAATACATTAAATACTATCAGCATATTAATTTACTATCAAGTATTGATAATATGGACCATATATAATAATATTGTGCATAATTATCGATGCTTCGCATAATATTTTTTATTGATAATCAAATCTGAATTTCGCTTTCAAATATTCAAATGACATGAGATCTGGAAAAATTGTTGAAATAAAAATACTATGGTAAGAAAATCTAGTTGTTTGTGTACATGAAATTAATGGTTGTTGGAATTATAAAAATTATAAAATCTGTTTCTCTGAATGATCAAATTTAAGCAGAGACAGACAAAGCTAGTTCTCCTTAATTTCATTCATTTTACTGAAATAAACTATTGTGCTTAAGTCTTAATCTACATGCTCTTATATTCTTGATAGTATAAAATTTAAAAGATTTAAAGGAATTGTAATAAATTATTAGTAATTTGCATCAGATCTCAGCCTAAGGGTAAAAGATTTAAATACAAACTACTGAAAGAGTATTTAGTATTTAAAAGTATTCTGGTGAAAGTATTTGGAAACTTTTTAATGTTTAGTTGGTTGTGCGTTATCGCTGCTAAGCTGTATAACTCATATAGGACTGTTATGGGGTACTCATTAACTTTAAAGACATCCAGTCATGAAAATTAAACATTTTCCTCTACGCTCCCTTCCCTTCCATCAGTCTTACACATATACTCGTATATTCCACATTTGACGCCGCTTATTAAAATTTTGCGCACAAAGTCAAACGAGGGCTCCGCGGCTTGTCTGCAAAAGTCAAATTAATAAACAAACAAGAAAGAAAAAAAAAATTATTGTCAAGTATACGCAATGTGTGACGCACCCCACGACGCCGAGCTCTTATCAGCCATTTGACATTTTAAAATGTTATGCATTTTTTCGCACATTTGCGCAACAAACGCGCTAAGAACGAGGTACATAAAAATGCAATGAGAAATTGTGCGGCAAGAATGATACGGCAGAGAGAATAAAAGAAGGAGAGAGAGAGAGAGAGAGAATGGAAATGTGAAATGGAATGAACATTGGGGGTTGAACAGCTTCGAATAGGGGTTGTCAGCTGACAACAAACATGATGCTCGCATTCAGCTGACAGACGGCGGCTGTGTGGCATAAACTATAAACTGTGAAGACGCCACCAGCTTCAACTACATGTCGACGCCTTCCAGCAGAAAGAGGCAGTCTGAGGCTGAGGCTACGACTTCTTTGCGACTTCTCTACGTCTTTTATGTTTGTGTTTGTGTTTGTGATTTATCTAACAACACGTACCCGAAAGCCAAGTTGGTGCCTCATTTGCCTCTAGTTGTTAATTAAGTTGGCGTCGACGTGCCACCTGGTCTTGATTGGGGGGAGAAGAGACGGTCAGTTGTTCCTCAGCCGAATATCGGATGCTGTGACTTTTATATTAAATTTCTAGACAACACATTTCGTTTTCGCTTTCGTTTTGACATTAATATTAATATTCAATTAGCCAGGCCAACACGCAGCCTTGGGCCGTCCAATTAATGTTAATTATGCTAAGTAGAAGACGCCACTTGGAAGTTTCCTTAAATTTGCTGACAAGTTTTTAATTTCGTTTTTTTTCTTTCTGTGTATCTTATGAAAATTGTGTCAGTCTTATATGTCCTGACACTTGACCCAGTCCCAAAAAATATAAAATTGATTTGTCTTCTCTTTTTGTTTTTGAACTCCTCTCAGAGTCCTCAATACCATTTGTTCTACTACATAAAATAGCAATGGTGTGGCGTGCTAATTGCCATTAAATTGTCAAATTCTTAAGCGTTCAAATTCAAATTAAAAAAGCTATTGAAAAAGTTCTTCGATTCGCCCGACCGCCCAGCTTCTGTTTATTATGCTAATTGAGTGTCGTGCCTCCGGCTACTGACATTTCGCTGGCCTACGTACGTCATTACGTAAATTTTGCTTACAGTACAGCCTGTACACCCTGATGGTGGTGCAAAGTTGGTGCTGGGACCTTGTAATTTAATAAGGGATCAAACACTCGATGCCGTTTAATAATAGAACATGATGAACATTCTTAAGTAATATACTGTCTGATTCCTTTTTTCTTTGGAAACAAATAATTATTTAATAATAGAACAGCATTCTATGTGACGATGCACATTCTGATATATTATATTGTGCCCTGGGGACATCAACAACTTTTCCAATTTGAAGCTAATTTTAAGCATTTCTTGAATTCGCAATATGACGCAATGAGTCAAATAACATTCAAAGTTCAACGTACAGAATATTAACCTTTGCTACATGCTTCTAAAAAGGCGGATCCGGCTTATTGTGAACGGGGCCGAATGTCCTTGCCAAGTTGAAATGTAAGCTACATGTCTGCCTCCCGCAGCGTACGCCCTTGAGCTAGTCTCTTGATTCAGTAGACAAAAACAATAAGTTAATTTAAATTTAATACTTTTTATACATATTATGTACATTATTATTTATAATATTTCTACTCTAACTAACTTTAAATGTACATTTTCTATGGAATACATTGAAAAGAAAATTTGAGAAAAATGTAATTCTACTGATATTACATATGCAAGTTTAGTTCTTTCTTTTCTTTTCATAATGCTGCCTAGTGTTGCTTATTTTTGTTTTGATGAAGGTTTCAATAGTTTTAAGACACGGTTGACTGTGCACTCATTTTGGATTACACTTGTCATTCGTCTAACCTTCAGAAATGCTCAGCATTGGCAAACAAATGTTATTGCTTTTAGCCAACTAGGCGCCCGCCCATTAGCACTGCTGCCGCTCGCATGTGCCACCATTTATAAGTCATGCCAGAGAGCTCTAAACGTTTCAGACGGTAAGGCAATGGGTGCGCAGTGGAGCTGGGAACTGGGAGCTGGAACTGCTGCACCTGCGTCCGGTTGCCACGCATATTTAAGAGGCATGCCAAACTTTTGCGCCACTCTCACTCTCTCTCTCTCTCTCTCTCTCTCTCTCTGTCTACATCTCTCGACTTCTCAAAAAGGAACGCAACTCAGCTGCTGCCCCAGTGTGTCGACTGCTGATGATTCAAAATTGCGCTTCCCTTTCGCTTCAGTTCCGGTCAATGCATATAAACTTGGCCAATGGCAACCAACAGGCTGCGGCCGGCAACCGGCATGGGCAATTGGTAGGTGCCGACAATCGCGCACAGAATCACGGGTAGCAAACGGATATGCAAACTGTTAAATGTTTGCATATCAATCTTAACCCGTCTTTTGACGGGGCTGCTGTTTCAGTAGCTGGCTCAGATGCTGCTGCTGTTGGCAAATACGTAGCATTACTGATTTGGGACTTTCAGCGCTTAGCTCTCAGCCAAAACCAAGTGGGAGCCATACATTTTGTAATGTTCCAGTGGCTGGTTCTGTTGCCAAATAACTTTCATTTCGTTGTGCTCCGCTTGTCGTTCCCCAGAGTAACACCGAAACCCCAAACAATAAAAGGCAAAGGCATTGCCAACACAACAAAATAAAAAATAAATATGTATATATAAAAAGTTTGCATACGCCAAAAGTCAATTGGAAGGCAACAGCAGCCACAGTAGCAACAACATCACATGATGCACTGTACTGTTTCCCTTACCCCTTAGCACTCCACCTGTGCACACCAAACTAGGGTCGGTCCTTATGAATAACCTCTGCAATTGAGTTTGACATACATGCGAATTTGTGTAGAACGGCGAGAGAAGTGTGCCTTTGCTTGGAGTGGGTTCAGTGCAGGCACTGCCTGCTTGGCTTGATTGATTGATGAAATATTTGGGGCCATGTGCAGAGCTGGAAACAACGACAAAAGGTTGAAGTCGTTACCATTGTTAACACATAGTTTGTCAAATGCCCATAGTTTGTCAGCTTAAAAATAAAGCATAAAAGTTTGAATTTTTGCAATTGTTTTACGAAACTATTGAATTGCTGGCATCAAAATTGTATTATTTTTTAAAGAGGGTTGCCGTTAAACTGCGTTCAACCAAAGACTATAGAGATACCTTGAGATATTTCTCCTTTCAAGCCTTTGGTTCGACTCTCCACAACTTAACATGCCCTTCGCTAGGAATAAATAGAAAATTGGACGTAGGCACTTAAATATACCCGAATGATTCCATATAGCTTGTATTTTAATATGTATATAGATACTTATGTGATGTCCACTCACCTATAATCCGCACTGGCATAGCAATCGCCAAGGAAGCGACATTGCAGAGTATTGCACTGTGTGGTCTTCACCTCGTGCGTCACCTCGTATGTGATATTGAAGCCGTAGACGTCGAGCAGACGGTCGAGAGCCCGCAGATGTGTGCCATCCAGCGTGGACATGGTGAAGCGTATCTCCAGATACTGGCTGTTGAACTGCAACCAGGTGACCTGCGTCACGTCGTCCTCGTTGAGGGCGAAGACGCGATGGGCGGGCACCTTGAAGTCATCCGAGTAGTACATGTACTCGGTGAACTTGAGCCCGCCCAGCACATAGAGCTGCGTCAGGTAGACCACAATCGAGATATTTCCCTGAGCAGCTGGTAGCTCGGAGGCGTCGATTATCCAAACGCATTCGATGGGCGTGGCGAAACGATGTGGGAAATTTGGTGTTTGAATTAGGCCATAGCGTGAATTAAATAGACCACCACAGCCCGATGAGGAGGAACTGGAACTGGAACCAGGACTGGAGATGGAGCTGTAGCTGGAGCTGGAGCCGACTGCATGCTCGCCAATGGCAAATGCATTAAGGGCAAAGTTATGCTTTGCCGCCGGGAAGGGCGGCGGAGGTGGCAGCGGCACCGCTGGCAGCGAGAATTTCTGATCCGCATGGTTCTCGCGCCTATGGCGAGCATATGGTTGTTGTTGCTGTTCTTGTTGTTGACTTCTTAACAATGTTGCCACTGGCAACAGCAGCATAAACAGCAGCAATGTCGTTGAAAACAATCTGACGGTTGTCAGCAGCGACATTTGAGACTTGTTTCTTTTGTTTTCAATTCTCTCGCGCTTTTACTGTGATTCCTTCAGCTGGCTGCTGTCTGGTTGCCTTATCATTTGGCCACTGACGATCTGCGTTGAGCACGTTCACTAATCGCACTTGCTCCTTCACAGTCACTCATTGGCTTTAGGCACACTGCAAGACAAAGGCATAGAGAGAGAGAGAGAGTTTTAGGTATATATATATACATATATATAGGTATAGCGATAACAAACGGAAAGATAGCGCCAAATAACAAAAAAGTGTGAGATAGAGTGAAGTTTTTAGCAAAAACCTTTTTGACAGCTGTCGTTTGCATTTGAATAACTGCCACTGTCGTTTTATCTGATTTCACTAACTGACCCATCCCCACTCTTCCCCGGGATACCTCACACACACACATACAAAAACACACGCACACACATGTCGCCTTGCATTTGGCCACTAGAAAATCGTAAACTGTCAACGTGAAAAAGCAATTTGAAAATCCACTAAAAATGGAGAGCAACGTCACGCATCAATCATGGCTGCCGTGAAGCGTGCCATGCTCATAAAACAAAGGCCTGAAATGCAAAGGCCCGACTCTCGAGCGACGTTCTTTATCAACATTCAAATTGTTTTCCCATATTTTGTCTCATTTTTTTTTATCCATTTTGCAGAAGTCGTTCCCTGCTCAAGTCTCACTGTCGCTTCCCTCGTTACGCCTGCATTTGCCTGGGGTCCATTCTAAGCGTCAAATTGCGAAAGCTCTTCAACTTTTTGACTTTTGTAGTTTTTGTGGGGTTTTAGCGTCGGATTTGCCTATAAACAACAAAAGCTTCTGCTGAAATCCTGTTGAGAGCCACACTCAAAAAGCAAGCCATCTGAATGAATGGGTTTATATGTATATGGCTATAATACTTGGGAAGCCAAATAAAACTACAAATATTCTCATTATGTTTTGGTCTTTATCAATATTCTCTTATTTAACAGAAAGTGCTTCTACCACATTATTAAATATAGAAACTTAAGACACTTAATACATTATAAGACCCACATATACGCACCACAAAACAGGATTTATGAATATATCAAGCCAATCTCATTCTTTAAAATGGCCGCAGGCAGAGAGTGTAGTGCCAATCATTTCATTACATAACAAATTACCATGACAATGCTACTCAATTCTGGAGTAGAAGGCAGATAAAGTAAGTTCTGGAGTACTGCCAATAATTTTGTGTAGTTTAATTCAATAACATAATTAAAGCAAACATTCTAATTGTGTTCAACGCCAAATTTAAAAGCTCAACGTTTTTCCACCTTATGTCAAATATCATTTAAGCAGTAGTATCAAATATTAAAATCATGTTTTTTATACAGTGACTATATACAACTCATAAAACGCCAGACAATTTAATCATATTCAAACAAATTTACATAAAATTGATACGAAATTGTATTCAACATATTGTAAACAAAACAAAGGTAACTCCAGCAATAATTTGAACAACAAAATACGCAAAATTAAATAAAAGTGTAAATAACCAAAATACCAGCCACAAATAATGTGTAGCTTGAATGTCATATGAAAGTGATATGATATATGATCCATAATTTGTTATTGACAGACTTAAGCTGTGACATTGAGCAGTCAGCAGAAGGTTTGGCAGTGATGTGGATTGCAGCGAATCCAAATGAATCGCAGACCTTTTGCAATTTACATATCTTCGTTTATCACAATATTTATGTTATCTTCACCTATTTTGATTACAGTACCATCTGTTCAAGCCGTATCTGCTTTAAATATATTTATAATAATTTACCAATTTACTAAGTGCATATGTTCGATCTTAAAGTAATGTTAAGTTGCTAACGACAATACTTTTATATCGATTTTTCTGAAGGCCTTGCAAACTTATCTGCATATAAGATACATAACATAAATAACAAACAGGAAAATCAAAAGTATTTTTGTAAGTATTTCAGCAATCACGAATTTTTCCAAAAGCTAGATTTGGCAGTAGCAGCGAGGTATATATGTACCTATTTGTGTATAAATTTAGATTCTCGATGAAAATACCTTTTTCTTTTTGCAATTTGTGCGTAAGTTTCACTTGTCGCCTTAAATCGGGGCTAAATGTATTACGCATACGTCGCATTTAGCTTTAAGGCAATGTGAGAGAGTTGGCGAAAAAAGGTGTCTAAACTTTGTTGCTGCTGCTGCTGCTGCTGATGTTGATGCTGATGCTGATGCTGCGTGCGCTAACAAGTTTAATCAAATGACAATGTCGTAACACGTGCATACTTTTGAGCGCCCCAGAGTCATAGACGTCGCTTGGCTTAGACAAGATTTTTTGGCTGAGACAACAGCCTGGCACCGTGGCACATGTGAGCATGCAAAGCCGTAGGCCTTCAACCCCCAACTGCTCCCATCCCCAGCCTATTTAAACTGCTGTCCCCTCTTTTGTGTGCGTGAGAGTGCGCGCTTTGTACTTGAAAATTACTTCAGTTACGCATTTTAAGCATAATGAATAATTTTTCGGGGTTTGACATGCGTATATCGTGCCAGCACAAAGTTAATTTACTTGCCCAGTCATATGTAAAGTCTCAGGAGAGTTTTATAAAGATATTGCCCTACACTATGACTTAGATATAGACAAGTAAGCCGCTCGGCTTCCAGCTGGCACTCGTATTCGAGCTCTAAATTAAGTGCAAAATTATAACAAAATTTTGTTACACTTTGAACTCTAAATTATGACTGTTCATATATCAGTCTCATTATATAAGTATGCAAAGCAGTTTATAGTTCATTAAAATGCAGTTAATTTTTTTTAAATATAAAGCGTTGCATACTTTTGGGCAGCCCAATACAAAATACTGCATAAAAATAACACGTCTTAACGAATCTTATTATATGAGTATGCAAAGCAATTTATAGTTCATTAAACTGCAGTTAATTGTAAAAAGCTTTGCATACTTCTGGGCAGCCTCAAACAAAATACTGCATACAAATAGCGCGCCTTGACGAATCTTGATTATTTTTGCTTCAGATACTTCCAATTAGCCAGCTGATTAAACAAATAAACAAGTCTATGAAATATTTCTGCCAATTTCTTACATGTTTATTATGAACAGTAAATTAACACAATTAACTCAATTAACACTAAGTGATACATAATTTCAAATTTCATAGCTCATCGGAGACAGCACGAAGATTTGCACAAATTTATTGACACTTCTTTATATATGAGACTACCCTGCACAAATATAAACAGAATAAGAGAGATAAGGGCTAGCAAAGGGTGACATCTCATGCAGAAAGATTATTCGAACGTAGTTTAATAGTATTATTCATAGGAATAATAATACGTATGCATTTTGATATATCTAATCAAGAGATCAGTTGTTTTTTCATCTTAAAGTAAACAATTATATTCATTTTTATTATTACTTTTTTTTTGTTTTAATTTAAATTCAATTACTCCATTTTAATTGTATATAATTTGGCTTATGATTTAAATATAATTTTTAATTTTTACTTCTGAAAGCCTTTTTAAAAATGGAAGAGTGTTTTCAGACTACATTAAATAAATTACTTCTTTATTTCTCTACAGTAAAATTTAAAAATAAACAGCCATTGCACTATGAGAATTGTTTTAAACAATAAATAAGATTTATATGCTGATATTTCGTGAAGGCATTAAAAAAATATAAATATTGACAGCAACTCATTTGTATCGGCTAAGACTGATCTCACTAGAGCCCATTTTGGAGCAGCAAAAAACTTAGTTTAAAAAAACAAAAAATCATAAAGAAAAAGAATTTACGTCAAAACGGTGACGCGTTCCCTTGCACCACCTGTACGCTGATAATGGGGCGGACGTTTAGCGGCGCTTTGCCGGGCGGGAAGGGAACACTTCAACCTCAACTCAGATACCGATAAAGAACCCCGGGTTCTAGTTCCAGCCCATTGCTCAGCTGGCGTTGGCAGCGACCGACGGCAGAGTTGTGTTTGCCGTCGACGCGTCGAGCAAATTGCCAATTTAAATTGGCCGCGTTAAATTAGTCGAGTTATCAGCCTCCACGGCGGCAGGTGTACGGCGTACGGTGTACGGGCACTGAGTGTGAGTTCGAATCGAATCGAAATGGAACGGGCCATAAAAATGGCAATTGTTGCTCTTTTGTAAATGTTATTATTGCTGTTGCAGCTGCATTCTTAAAGAAATGAAGCGACAATTGTAACGTGCTGAACTGTGCAAAATACGTAAATGATTAATCCATGCAAAGGTCCGCACGGAAATGTTTGCATAATATCCATATTAATATTAGTGCGACTTGCTGCCTGTCACTTGGGTTGTGTGCGGTTGCATGACCATGAGCAATTGCCGTGTTCGTTTCGAGTGGTTTACTCAAAACTGGATGGAATAAATTCGCCAAGTGTGAACCGAGAAATAAAGTATATATATATATATATATGTAAAAGTGTGACAATATGTGTGTTACGAGTGCCTGACTTATCGGTGTCCATGAAATTATAGAGTAAATTCGATAAGACGTTGTTTCTTTTGGCCATGGCGCACAGTCGTTGCCAGAACTCTGATCTTGCGCTGTCAAATGTTGTAGTTGTTATTTTTGTTGTTGTATTCCATGTATTTTACTAATAAATAGAGCAACGTGCAAATCAATCACATTGCCCCGATATGGATATCTAATCAAAAGAAATAAACTTTATATTTGTTGTTATTTTACTTTCAAACGAAATTCAAGTGTTTTATTTTAAATTCGATCCAAAAATCAAATCAAATCAGCTTTCAAAGCTTACATATATATGTTTACCAGCTTATCGAAAACAATAACGCTTCTGCCAATCGTTCAAGTCCATAAAAATGGTGGTATCGACTTTTCAATTTATTCCATTTAAGCCACAATTAATGAGGTCAAGTAAAAAACTAACAACTACTACTAATGATAATATTGTGAGGTACTCGCCAAATTTGTGGAAATGCAAGGGAAAACCAGTGAAAATCAAACAAAACAAAACCAACAACATAGAGCACAGCAATAACAAAAACAAAAACAAAAGTAAAAAGCATTCCGCTGATAACTGCAAAACGAAATGTCAATAAAATAATATAAATGACGGACTCGTGACTTTTGTGGATCGCTTGTCGATGTTGTTATGGTTGGCAAGAAAAGTGAAATACAAGTTCTTGTTAAAACAAGAGAAACGAAAAGAAAGACAAAAATAAAAACAAATGCTTTAGTTTTGCTCTTTTCGATTTGCAATATACACTTGTTGTGTTCTCCCGCTGTTATCGCTAGATGTCGTGTAATATGAAACTGATAAAACCGATATCATACATACATAAGTAGCAAGTAGCAAGATGTATGCATAACATTATTGTTCAAGAAATATGTACTTGCAACAAGAGACAGCCAACTGGTCCAATCAGACAAAACTTGGCCGTGTGCCATGCAGTTGGCCACAACGTCTGCTGAGCTGATAAGATACTACAACGAATAAGCCACTTTGGAAAAGGCCAAGCGGTCTTTATGCTCGAGTCCCAAAGCTATTGGCCAAACAATGAAATCCCCCCGCATAAATAGAAAACAATTAAGCTTTTCGAACGATAAGAGATAAAAAAAAAATTAAAACTCGCTTGCACAGTGACTCATCAGCGCCAGGAGGGGAATTGCTGAGTCGTTGGATGGCAAGTGGGTAAAGTAGGTTCCCGGCTGGGGAGTGCCGGCTAATTAGCCAAACCATTTGACGATGCGTGAAATTTGTGAACTTGACAACTTTTGTCTATAGCCAAGCATATATATCTGATGAAAAGCAAATTCTCGGCTAACTTTTGTGCATGCCCCGAATGAGCTTGATAAGCGTTTGTGTGCTCGACATAACAGCTCGAAACTTGTCAGCGGCGATTGAAGGATTACCCTTATTTCCCCTATTCGTCATTTTGGTTTCGTGGAACTTAAAAATAGTTTTGCATAAGGGCAAGGATTCAACAAAGCTTAACATTGAAATAGAACCATTTTCAGTTCAGTCTATGAGAAATGAATAAATTAATGGAAAATAGATATGCATCCCTTAGCAAATATAAAACTCTGTGATTTTATTTCAAGTGAGCACAAATATATAGTACAGATTATATAAATACGTCAGGATAGGTAACATGGCAACAGATCTAATTTCATTTTGTACTCTGTGCATAAATATGACCAATAATGAAATACAAACCAAATACGAGAACAGCAGCACTAAAACAAATCAACCCGCAATTGAATCAATATTTATTTACATGTTTCAGCCGTAAAAGCGCAACAAATCAAATAGGCCGCCATAAATTTAATCAATTTAAAAAGAAATTTATCTGTGGCAGCACTTAAGCATACATAGAAATACACATACACTCATATATATTTATATATATATGCATATATATATATATATATATATATACGAACATAGGTTGTATAAATGACCAAGGCACTGGCCCTGCAGATAACGCGCAAAGTACTAGATGACTAAAATGTGAAAATTGCATACGTATTCAAATTGTGACAATTCGGAATTGAATTGGGTGCTAAAAATAAACGATAACCAGCGATTTACAACAATTGCAGTCGAATAAACAAATTTACAGCGGCAATTAAATGCGCGACCATAAATCACGATTTGGGCAATAGTTATTAAAAGCGATTTAGATTCCGTTAAGAGCTCAGCTGCATGGCTCCCCCTTTATTTGCAGGGAACAATCATTATTGCAATAATAATTAAACAAAAGTAACAATAACAATAACAACACTAACAGAAGCAGCATAAAATGAGTGATAAAATTGCTAAAATAGTAGCTGGCAACTAATCACAGCAACCAGCAGACAGTAAACGGTGCCTCAACTCAACTTTTGAACTATCCAACGAACTTAGCTCCCCAACGTGTGAGCTTTAACCCACCAGCACCACCAATTGCGCCACCCCTGCCCCTAACTGCAAACATGGCCTGCTTTCCGCGCCTCTTTCATCATCGGAGTAAAAACAAATTTACGCCTGCCCAAGATGAGAACACAGACACGATACTCAACACACAAGATAGCCCCGTGGTGAGTTACAGAGCACACACACACAACACACACACATCATACTTATACATCATGTTGTTGTTGCACTTATGTGCCCCGATAAGCAGCACTGATAAGTTGATCAAGTGCTTAATTAAGTTAGGCGCGGGAGCGGCGTGCAAATGTCACAACTAATGGTTCCCACTAAGCACGACTAGCTAAAGTTAAAAAAAAAACAAATAAAAAACACGTGTGCAACAAAAACCTTATCAATTTTATCAACGTTGATGCCGCTTGTGACGTTCACTTTTCACAAGCTTGTCATAGAAATAAAGTGGAAATTTTATTTAACCACTGCAAATAAGATACACTCATATAATTTATTTATTAACTAAAAATTTTCTTACAACATTTTTAGTAATTAAGTTGAGTGCTCTATTATATGTAAATATTTATATGTTTTATAAATGACAACTGCATTCAACTAAACAAATTCGTCAGGGGATTAAATGTAAAATTAAACAAAAATGTATAACAAAAGGAATTCAATGATGTATAGTTAAATTGGCTTAAACTGTTTGTATATTCTAGGTCCTAAGAGTATACAAATAATGCATATAAATAAATAAATAGGCATAACTATCAAAACTTGGCAATAAATATAATCACAATACATTATGTTCTGTTATCTATATAAGCCATTAAAAACTCAATAGCTGGTGGCAATGTTTATCAACGGCTCACACCGGCCCATATCTCTAATAATCATAAGTATATAGTATGATTTTACAGTTGAGAGCTTAGTGCTTGGCATATATGATATTAGAACGCGTTAGGGTTTCTATGTCACCATATGCTGGGAGTTGAATACAAGTGCCTGTGAAATTGTTGTTTAGATACAGTTTCTGATTACCATGTTTTATTTTGAAGAAATTTTGATTAACATGCACTTTCAATTCGATTCGCTTGGAAATTGGATTTATCAAATTATCAGAGGCAATGACAAGGTCTCGACTGAAATGTCGTTTGAGTATCTGCAATCTGCGCACTTCATCGGGTTGGCATCCAAGCAGACATTAAATATTCAAAAATATGATAAGCATGCATATGAATATGGCTGAAGGAATGAATCTCATGCATATATCGTAAGCAAAGCCAAGCAGATTACACATAAATATGCACAATCCGTAGATGAGCAGCTATCTATATGGCCAGCTATCTAGCTGTCTGCACAACATAGAGAGAGATGCTTGCTAGGATGCCTGCCTGCCACGAGATGACAACGTGATAGAGAACCGAGCAACCATCACGGAGGGGGCACATCCTTTCCCGTTCCCAAACAACTATGCGTAAAGTTCAAAGTCAATGTTGTCACACAAACAAAGCCCCAGGGGGCAATAAATGCAATACGTTTGACATTTTCAAGGATACGCTCACATATACATATATACAGTAAAAACATGCTGAGTATGCAGGACACATTTCCTTTTGCTTTTTGATGTACTCCTTCAAGTTTTCACATACCTACCTACATGCATACACATATACATACATATATACATTAGCATACCGAAACATTTGGTTGGCAACGATTAATACATTGGAAATTCCGAATTCGACGCATTGGTATCTGAGCAGAGCCGAGCAGACCGATTGCTTTGGGCGAATGCGTCTTGCCTCGATCAACATTAACATCTACCTCGACTTTTGGCTGTTCCGTTGGGAAACGGAAAACCTGTCAAAATGTCATCGTTTAAGGCTGATTAGCATATCAAAGCGGCGAAGACAACCACGCGACCTGCATATTGACATGTGTTTACTTGTGCGGATTCTCGGCAAACGTACGATAACATCGCCAAAAATTCAAACAACAACAACCAGGACAAAGTTGCCACATTTTTTACTCTTACCCAAAAGGTTTGAATATTTTATTGGCCACACGCCTGTCTGCCAATTGAGCGATAAGACCACCTGTTATTCTGCGGGTGGCGACAGAAAGGGGCGTCTGGAAGTACCAGAAAATCGTTTAATGTCAATTCTAAGCCAATGTATATGCCACTAATCGCTTACTCAGCTCATCAAAGTAGCCATGAGCCAAGAGCCAACAGCCAAGAGCCAACAGCCAAGAGCCTGAATTTAAATATGGAGGAGTAATTGACTTAAAAAGAGAATTAAAGTCAATATAAAACCTATTTGCATGAGAATTAATTTATTTATTTTGTTTTATTGAGTCATATCATTCTTCAGGTTTTTTTTTACCTTGTATATAATTTCTTCTTAGCAAAAATAATAAGATAAACTTTCGACTTATTGATGATTTCAAGGGATTAAAACATATTTTTAATAACTAATTATTATTTATTTCGCTTGCCATTCATAAAACCAACCTTTTGATATTATTCTTGCGATTTCAAATAAAAGCAATAATCATTATTCGAATTTATTTTAAGTGTGCACAAGTGCGTCAACGGCAGCTTGTTGACAACTTTATGAGCAAGTCTACTCTATATATATATTTATATGCATACATGTAGCTTATTTATAGAAATGTCATCCAAGGGCTTACCGAGCTTTTTGCAAAGGGGGCTGAACTGTATTTTTTGTTCATATTTTTTGACTCTAAGCCACGTTGCTAATTAAAAACTTCCCAAGCGTTTTTAAAAAAGTTATCTAAAATTGTCTTATTTGTCCGATTTGCTTCCGGTAACCATGTAAAGTAACAATGTAATCCTACCTCTCCCCCTAGCGATCGGCCGTACCCCGTCTATATACGAACTATATTCATTATTTGTTTTCAACAACGCGCAAGTAAATAAAAGCTGAAAAGCAAAGAAACCAGAGCAGATAAAATTGTGGGCCAAGTTGGGAATAGATATCTAGATGTGGCTGGCAAAGTCAATATAAGGAAATTAAATACCTATTTAAAACTTTGTGACTCATTCGAACAGAAACAGCAATGGTGCAAATAAGTCAATACATTTGGTGTAGTCAAAACTCAGAAGAAATTAAAAATTTTAAAGCATTTTTCGTGATACTATTTAGCAATATGCATACATAAATTTGTCATGCAGGGAGCTCAACTTTGATTAATCCCATCATCAAGCCAAAAATCCACAGCTGTCATATTATCAAAAGTGAGGGAAGCCCTCGCTCAGTCGGTTCGCGACACTTTGCGAGCCGGATTCAAATAAGTGACAGCATTGTGTGTGCAATGTGAAGAGCAAAGCTCGAAAGTATGAAAAATCTTTTTGCCACAAACACAAACATATTTATGAGATACAAAGATACAATGCCAGCGCACAATGGCCATTTGTTGTTGTTTATTGAGGCTCACTGGCGGGATAAACTGGCAACTGTATCATACATTAAACTGCACGGCTCTAAGCATTTATCAGCAGTGTCAGCAGCAGATTGATTTCAATGCTAACGGACACTCACACACATCCACAGACAGCAGACACCAGCAGACAGACAGACAAGAAAAGCAACGGGCATTATTTGCTTACTTTCACAGATTGTTTGGTATTTATTTATGTTTTCTTTTGTGTGTCATTTTTGCTGTTGCTTCTTTTTTTGGTAATAGCAGCAGGAATTGTTGTTCTTTTCGCTGTCATATTTTTTATATTCCGTTTGTGAGCAAACCTGTTGATACTTGACTCGATTTACCTTTCCATTCTGACCGAAGTTAAATTATGTTCGACATTAATTTCAGCAGCTGTCGTCTTCGAGTCTTGTGTACATTTGGGCGGTTATCTGCTGACACTTAAAAATATTTTATCTACAAAATTATAAATATACTTTTTGCGGTAATAAATCATAAGCTAAGACATATAACTTGTACATAGTCATAAGACACGCAACAAACATATTCAATATTTAGAATTGATCTGCATAAATAACAATTTGACAATCCCAACTTTATTCATTTATATAATGCAAATTTTAAAATAATATTATTGTGAAGATTGTGCTTAAGCTTCATACTAACCAATGTTAATTTCAGAAAAGTGTACTCTATATACGACGCGAGGAGAAGCAACTTTACTCACCCATGATTACGCCCAGTGCCAGTGAGGTAAGTCTTTAATTTAAAATTTTTTTTAAACTTGTTGTAAAGCACAGTCCTAGCACAAAATTCACGGGTCCGGCGGCCATACAACATTCAATCTATCCAATCGTATCTTTATTTCTCTTTGCTTGTCTTTGTCAAACTCAATTAATATTTGTACACCTGTTTCTTATACTTTCAAACGAAATGATGCAAACAACCAAACAAAACACTTGTAAATATGTACACAATACAACAACAATAACAACACAAACAATGCCCACGGACCCACACATGCACCCCGCACTCTTGTTTGTCTTTGTAAATGTTTGGGCGTACGTCCACATCTGCCTCCCTCCCCCGGGGCCCATTAGATTCAACTGCAGCGCCTAAAACAACAGCCCTCCAGCTCCTCTGCCCAAGAACTCCAGGCAGTGGCCGAAAATGGGTTCAGTTCTAGACGAGCTGATGGTAGTCCTGACAATAGCCAGCAGGAGGAACAAATACCTCAACCTCAACAGCAGCGGCCAAAGAAGTTTCGCTCACATAAAAGCCGGCTACAGGCCGAGGAAAAGGAGAGAGACAAGGATGGGATGGGGAAGGACAAGACGGCACCAGTCAGTGGTAGTGCAATTAATGTCACACGTACCAATTCCAAATTAAAGCCCGTCAAAGAGCGACGACCGACGGCCCTGCCTACTGAGGCGCCCAACGTGAATGGCGCCCAATGTGATGAGGTTGACGATAAGGAAACGCTGGAGCAGGAGTTGGAGGTCGATGTTGTGGATGGCAAGTCAAAACTCAATGTGAATGTGAATGGCATAATTGATGATAGTGCTGACAATGAGACAGGCAGCACTCCATCCATAGAAACGCCGTCGATATTCACACCAACATCAAAAGCCTCAGCAACAGGGGCAGGAACTCCGACAACAGCATCAGCAGCAGCAGAGTCAAATGTAAAATTCTTTATTGGTCATACACAGGAACTAAATACCGAGCAGCACTCTGATGACACTTTGTCCTGGCCCAGCAGCGATGCCAACAACAATAAAAAGCACAACAACAACTTGACAAATGGAACATTGCCACTGAACCAACAAGGACACGAATTTGGACAACATCTGACGGACTCAACAGCAACCACAACGACAATGCCACAGGCACCCGCAAAGAGCTGCAGCAATGTGTCACTCAATTATCTAAGGAGATCTAAGAGCACCATTGCCACCGAGTCGACTACCACTGCACAGCGACGGCGTGTGTCAACCATGCCCGATATTAACATACCAACGCCTCCACCCCTACCCCTAGAGCTCCTGAAACCCGTTACACCGCTGCACTTACGAAAGAAACGCAGTGCCGAGCCTCAAGCAGCCCCAGAGCTGCCTTTAAACAAGTCAAACAGTCAAGTATGTACTGAAACAGTGAAGTATTACAAAAAAACAAATGGTCATCTGAATTTTTGTTGGCTTGCTGTGGACAAGTACTGTAGGCATGTTTGGGAAAAGGCTAAGATCATTTATCGATTCTCATAGACCACTCAGTATATTAATACATCAACATTATGAACTTTAAACATCTAAATTACTAATTCACCTTTTTGCATCGCAAAGCATTTTATCGTTGGCTAATTAAATAATTCGTTCTCAGCAACAAAACTAATACAAAAATGTACAATATAAAAGCAACAGCTGAGCAAAAGTCTGCACAATATTCATATATATATATATATATATTGTGTGTACCGAAAAGTTGCTGTGGGGCATTGAGGGACCGGGAAACTTCTCGACATGCTACTAATTACTAATGAAATGTTAATTGTTTGGTAACCGAAATGAACTCTAACTTTTTAGCCAACAACAGCAGAACCAGGTCACAGATAAAACTGTTGCTTACCTTTGCCATCTACCTGCTACATGTTTAGCTGTAGCTACTTTCATTTTTCGCTCTTTTACTACCCAGTCCGACAAGATGGCTGAAAGCCCTTGATATTTACCTCTATCGTAGTCTCTCGTCTTCACTTCTCCCAACTGCTGAGCCAGCGCATTTTGCTAGCCCACAACTGAACAAGTTTTGGCTGATGTAGCGACTTCGAAGATGGCAGGCATATATATTATACGACCTTATCCTTCGAGCCGCCTACGTGCGCCGACTGCGGCGACGATAGTTTGTCCTCCGGAAATGCTTATAATGGCTGCGATTCCACTGTGTAAATGGAGGTAAATATTTAATGGCTAGCGTCCGTTAAACCTCGCGGGTAAACAATCCCTTTCAAGTCCATGGTCGATTGCATTATTGTCGCTCGTAAAATCTTTAAGTCGCAGTCATGTCAGTGTGCAAAGCTCAAGTAGGTAAAATTGTCTGGGCTACGGGCTATGATATCAATATAGTTATTTATTTAATGTAGACAATTAAAAGAAAATGGAAAAAATGAATATACAAATATTGAGATTTACAAAGAATAGATTAGCATTTATAATAAAAAATAGAAATCCCTAAATGGAAAATAATAAAATATTTGTTGCTCACTTTGCTTTGAGCATTGCAACCAAAACAACCAGTTCCAAAAACTATAGAAAAGAGATAGGCTGAGAGAGATAGGAGCAAGAATGTAAGATACGCTTGCCGCACGAAGAGAGTATCAGTGCTAAAGCGTAACTTCAAATGTCAAAGATCAACATATAAGCCAGAAAACAAAGTTGACCATTGAGAAACACAGAGTTGGGAGTCGAGAATAAATAAACATCTAAATCACATGCTTTTTATTTGTTTAATTTTGTGTGGTATTGTCCGAAATCAACCGCATCAATTAGGATGAAATGGCCAACCCGGAGGATAGCGATAGAGGTAGTAGAAGTCTGCGGAGAAGTAGCAGCGGCAGCTCTGCAGCAAAAACACATCGCGTGGAAGGTGGCCTCATCTATATGCGACCAAATTTGCCCGTGCAGCAGAACATTGAAATCGAATTTAATGCAAAGGACGAAGCGTAAGTCGAGTAAACATCTATTTGGCTGATTGGCTACAATTCGAAATGCGACTGATTCTTCTGTTGCCCAACCAACCCATAGTACACGCAATCTCATACTCAATGCCATTGAACACAATGATTTCCTCAATAATCTAATGGACAAGGAGCGCAAGGATATGGTCATCAATGCAATGGCGCCTGCCAGCTACAAGAAGAACAGTTACATCATCAATGAGCACGATGAGGGCTCCGAGTTCTTTGTCTCTGCCGAGGGCTACTATGACGTCATACAGGCGGGCAAGCATGTGGGCAACTTTGGGCCAGGCACAGTCTTTGGCGAACTGGCAATACTCTACAATGCCCCACGAAAAGCCACAATTAAAGGTAGGTAATAGCCAATACTCCTGTTTCCTACAGAGTATGACGATATTTTACTATTTGATTTTTAGCTGCCACGGATGCGCGTGTTTGGAAGATTGCCCGCGAAACATTTCGGGCCATCATGCAAATCTCTGGCTCCCGGGAACGAGAGGAGAACTTGCAGTTCCTTCGCTCGGCTCCATTTCTACAGGAGCTGGAAGAGAGTCTGCTGACCAAAGTTGTCGATCTACTACAGCGGGTAAATTACAAACTCATATACCAGAATTTTATTGCAAGTGTTAAGAAAGGAACAAAGATTAAAGTCCTAAGGTCACCAGGTAAAATAAATGCTGCTAAGATATGTACATATATGAAATTTAACGACGATGATATTTCGGTTGCCGCAAAGTAAGATTCTTGGACAATGACTGCCAAATAAAAATCCACTTTTGGCCATCTGTCAAGTCTCATAGTCTTTAAATTTAGAATTGGCTAACACGAATGAGCTGCATAATAACTTGGACACTAAGCCAGCTTTCATTTGAATGAAGTATTTTTATATTTTCCTGCAGAAATTCTACGAGACTGGCAGCTGCATTGTGCGCGAGGGGGAGCTGGGCAATGAGTTCTTCATAATACGCGGCGGTACAGTAACCATCAAAAAGAAGGACGAAGCAAAACATGAACAAATAGTGGCGAAGCGAAAGCGTGGCGACTATTTCGGAGAGCAGGCCCTAATGAATGCCGATGTGCGACAGGCGAGCGTCTATGCGGATGCCCCTGGCACCGAGGTGCTCAAGCTGGAGAGAGAGTGAGTGAGAAGCACAGCCAAATAAGAAGAAGAAGATATTGTTATACATCCAAATCTCTTGCAGAGCCTTCATCAGCTATCTGGGTACCATTAGGCAGCTGCGCGAGAAACCCAAGGAGCAGGCCACTGAGAATGGGCGATCGAGCAATAAGAGTGCCGAGTTCGATAATGAGCACGCACACATTGCCATTTCAGATTTGAAGAAGGTGGCAACACTGGGCGCTGGCGCCTTCGGTCGCGTCGATCTGGTCACACACAACAATCAGACATTCGCGCTGAAGATCATCAAGAAGATCGAGGTTATCAAACAGGATCAAATCGAGCATGTCTACAATGAGAAAAATGTGATGATCAAATGTCGAGCTTCACCGTTTATAGTGCAGTGAGTAGAATTGAATGAAATCGCTGAAAATGAATAACTGCATTGCTAATTCTGATTATGGCCAGGCTCTATCGGACATATCGCAATGAGAAGTACGTGTACTTTCTGATGGAGGCGTGTATGGGCGGCGATGTGTGGACTGTGATGTCGAAGCGTCAGTATTTCGATGATAAGACTGCCAAGTTTATAGCTGGCTGTGTTGTGGAAGCTTTTGATTTTCTGCATTCGCACAGCTTCATCTACAGGGACCTCAAGCCTGAAAATCTAATGCTAACCAGCGATGGCTACTGCAAGCTGGTAAGCAATTAAATAGAAAGAAAGTAAGAGTTCTCTAATCGTGGGATGCACGTCTAGCAGCCAACTCTTGGCTTTTAAGGGAATTAAGTTATAAAAAAATATATGAAAAATATTTCAATGCCAATTCCATTTCGCCAGGTGGACTTTGGATTTGCCAAGTATGTGCGTCCCAATGAGAAGACAAATACATTTGCCGGCACACCCGAATATGTTGCGCCCGAGATAATTTTGGATCGCGGTCATGATCGATCCGTGGACTATTGGGCACTGGGGATACTGGTGTACGAGCTGCTGGTGGGCAAAACACCGTTTCGGGGCGTCAATCAAATCAAGATCTATCAGAACATCCTCAGTGGCATCGATGTGATACACATGCCATCACGTATACCCAAATCCGCCCAGCATCTGATCCGACATCTGTGCAAGCAGCTGCCCGCCGAGCGGCTGGGATACCAGCGCAAGGGCATTGCGGACATCAAGCGGCACAGCTGGTTCGACAATCTGGATTGGATGCGACTCAGACAGAAGCAGTTACCGTCGCCCATCAAGCGTTGCCTGAAGAGCTGGACAGACCTGCAATACTTTATGCCACTCGGCGTTAACGATGACTATGAGCCGCCCGAGGAGCTCAGCGGCTGGGATAAGGACTTTTAGTTGTCAGCCGAATAAATGCCTACTATTATTATTGTTATTATTATTCTAATTTTACTGCAGATATTTTGTATATAATTGACTAGTGTTTAATTAGTTAGCTACTGGATAGTTTAGAGGCACATGCATAAGTTGTAAATAAATTGATATTTCAATCGTTTAAAGTCAACGTTCTAATGTGAAACCCATCTATGCACTGCAGTTATTTCCTTCTCACTCTCTCACTATCTCTGTCTCTTTCTGTGCATATTTGTTTACGCTACTTCAATTAGAAGCGCAAACTTGTTGTTGCTGCCATTGTTGTCAATTCACAGCTACACTCACTAGACACACTTAACAAACACACACACACACACTTACTGAGAGTTGACCGTGTAACAAGAATAAATAAACATTTTCAATTAAGCGCTTTCAACGAATATTTCACTTGGCTCGTGGTGAATGTTCGCAAAGATTGCACACAAAATACGCTGTCCAAAGTCTCACAAAATATATGTATATATGTGTGAGGCAGCTCTAAAGCACAACTAGTGCCACAGTTTGTAACTGTTGCATAAAGCACTGTGTCTGTTGACAGATGCAACCATGCCCCATGTCCAATTGTGTGGCAACTCGAGTTTGTGCTGCTGTCATCATTATCTGACTGAAGTCTTTATTATGTCCACATGCAGTTGACATTCATTTGCATCTTACAAATGCACATCCAGCATAATTGCACTATGTGGCAGCCAGCATATGCTGCATATGAAAATGACACAAACTACTTTATTGTTTTTGAATACTACATGATTGTAAATTGCATCTTCCTTACGGCTGCCAGCGAACAAAAGGACTGCTTTCCCCGGGTAGCTGCTTGCTCCTGCTCTACAGAGCTTTTCGTCTTGGTCGTTGTGCAAAATGTGAAATGGAGTCAAGTGCAATTATGTCTTTATATCAAGCCACAGACTGTATTCATGCTGCCGACTACTAACCATTTCTTCAACGAGCTCAACTCGAACTTACACGGCAAGTTGGAGTAGGCATAAATTTCGAAAGTTTTGAAAAGTCTGCAACAAATGAATGAAATATGTACAAATAAATGTAAATATACAAATGTATACAAATGTCGAGTTTGCTGAAGAAGTTTATAAATATGCATACACGTGTATATTTACATTTTAATTTGTATGCATAATTAAAACTAAAATTCTGCATGTGTTTCACTGAAGTCGCAAGCATCGGTGGTTCAGTGGTAGAATGCTCGCCTGCCACGCGGGCGGCCCGGGTTCGATTCCCGGCCGATGCATAATCCGACGATTGTTGGATTTATTTTTTTATTGATAATAATATCAAAGTAATAAACTTTTCATTTTTGAAATGAAAAGACATATTGCGAACTAGATCGAACGGAAATAAAAACAGTTCTCGTTCAATCAACATGAATAAAATAAAATAGCTTAACGTCACTTCTTCGAACCCGCAGCAAAATGGCACAAAAGCACAAAACAGAAATACTACAAAAGACAAATAGAAATCGCTAAAGGAAATAAAAGCAGAACGCCAAGAGAAACAACATGAACCGTCAACGCACTGAACAAGAAAAAAGAGCCACACCAATAATAAATGATAATTGATAATAACGTTTTGCTACCTTCCTTCCGCTGTGAGTCACCGTAAAAGAATAAGCCAAATAAAAGAAAGTATGTAAAGGAAATCAATAAAAATGATGGCGACAACATTTGCCCACAATTTCAATTTTGTGGCAGCAAAACGACGCAGTACCAGCAGCAGCAACATTTCCACAATTTCCGCCGACAGTGGTGGCAAGTGAAAATGTTCATTTTCGCAACTGTCGCAAATGTTTTCTATACATTTTCTTAGACACCTACACAGACAAACGCCTTTCAGCATTTCTATTCGGCTGCACACACACCGCAGCGACAAAGTTGGACGAAATGTCATCATTTCCGTTGGGGAAACACTGTGCTCGCTCAACCGTCAACGAAGAGAAGGACGAGCGCAAGGACGTGGGCGAGGACGAGGAAGAGGTTGAGGACTGGGACAACGAGCATGTCGACGGGTTATCAGTAAAACTGAGCGCACACCGGGTGAAAAGGGTTAACTAAGAGAAACCATGCAAATCCCCATTTTTATTTGCACAAAAAAACTTTTGATGCAAAAAGCCTCAAAAATATACAGACATACACACATTCATATACAACCATCGGAATCAAAAACGCAGCACGGAAAGCAGCGGCCCGATTCGGTTCCCGGATCCGCTCACGGTGCCTAAACGAAGCGTGAAATTGTTAAATGAGTGCAAACGTCTACAAAGTAACAGGATGTGCACAATGGAGGGAGTAAAGTGAGGTTATCTTTCTTTCCATTTGTGCCAAATTATTGATTAAAAAACTTTTGGACATGCACGTTTGGTCAGCAGAATACAAAATAAATATCCCTCAATTCTCAATGCAATTGAATTGAATTGAATTTATGTGTTCGCCTTGATTTTAATCAAATTGAATGTGAATTGAGTCACTAAAAGTCCACTTGGAATTATAATTTAATGATGACCCAAGAACATTTACATTTTCTTAAATGAATTGCAGCCAACATTGAAGCTATTTGCATACATTTGTTACTAGTTTAATGTGTTTCATTCATATTGCGTATACACAATATTGTTCAATTTCCATGCACATCTTTTAGCAATTAAAACATTTACATCTAGTCCGAGAAAAACTTTAGCAATGTTCAAGTTTTAAATTTCCCAATGCCAAAATAAAAGCCAGCATCATTCAGGCTACATATGAAATATATAAATATATGCATGCTTTGAGTCCAGAAAATCTTTTACCACAAGACTATTAAAACAGGACTGAAAAGCAATTTATAACTTCTTGCGAGTGCCAAGGAACACGGCCAAAAAACGAGAGCAATAGTAAATTTTTTTAAGACTGGGACTTTTGGCCAATTTAGTAGGAAGGTTACGAGCATTGACCTAATATATGCAGACGCAGACGCAATCTAAAAGCTGCTTAGCAACAACAAACTACCAATGCAAATTTGAAGTTAAAGTTAAAGGACTTGGTCACATAGCAGCTGTTAGCATTACTTGGTCACAATCTGATTGGGGCTATAAACAAAATTTCGACCCCAATCAAAGCGACTATTGTTTACATTTCAACTTTTTACAACGTCTGCTGACGGCCAAAAACTATGCATAAATATGTTTCGAATTTCGGTTTAAGCCAGTTATGTTCATTGACTTAACTTGTATCCTGATAACCGAATATGGTTACTGCAGATGGACATCATATTAGCTATCAAAAGCGACAGGAAAATAAACTACTAACGGTTTAGAAAAATAGTTGTGTTGTAAGGCTGGCAGTCATAAAAACATTTATATTGTAGACATGGAAAAAAACATTATTTTTCAGCTGTGCATTTTAAGTAGTTTAATATAAATATATTAAAAATAATAAGACAAAATAAATATTTGGGAATAATAGTAGCGATAAAAGTAATATGTGTGGCTATTCGGCGCAATAAATCAATGTTAGAATTCTTTTGATTATTTGCTCAGAAACATTAATAAAATGGATTTCACTAAATGACGATTTTCTGTATCGCCAGATGAAATAGATAGATGGATAGAAATGCCCACAAGAAAACCTCATTTAGATCATCTTATATCGTCTAAGCTGCAATGTGATGAGCACTTCATTTGTCAGCATCAGTTTCATCATCTCAACAAATGGTCGTAATTTAGAGTGGGGGCCAGGCCCAGTTCGCCGCAATAAAGATTACTCCCCAATTGGCATTTACATGCACTCCTGTGCTGAACATCAACTAAAATCCTTTTGCTGCATTCAAATCACAAGCACTCACACAAATCATCGCCGGTCACGCCCCCAACGGCAAACCCGAAAGGAACCGCTGCGACGTTGACCATTTACATTTACTGGCAAAACACATACACAAACTGCCGCCCAGGGTGCAATTGCAAATTTCGGGCATTCAATAACGATTTACACAAAAGGCACACACACACACAAACACACACACACAGACACACACACACACACACACACACACACACACATAACATACATAACATCGTACGTGCGGTCCAAAATAAGCTTTAAAATTTTACCATTAACAGTCGACCAATGTTTACAAATGGCCATCGACAGGCAAAACCAATGCAAAAGTTTTTGTTGTTTATTGTTTGTTGTTGTTGCTGCTGTTGTCCTATTTTCAAATGTGCGTTTAACACGTATGGATTTGTTGTGTATCACAGTAGCAGCAGGAGCAGAAGCAGGAGCAGGAGCAACGGCAAGGACAACAAACGTTTCCCCTTTTGTAGGCCTTTGCAGGGCGGGGTTGCCTGCTCGATTTCGATCTAATCAGCTTCGTTCTAAAAGAAGCTGTTAACAATATTGTCAATTTTGTGTCCACTCGCAGTTGGGCCGAGGGTGGGGACGGGCACAGCTATTTTATTTTTATGCTGAGAAAAAGTTAGATTTGCATATATTGTGTTTCCCTCGTCTCCTTCTTGTTTTTGTTTTTTGCTGTTGTGTTTCGTGCCAGGTTGTTGAGTCCCTTTTATGTCCTTGCTGTTGGCGCATTGGATGCTTGCTGTTCATTTTGTGGGCGATGTCTGAGCGGCGTTTGCCACATAAACACTTTGGTGCTGAACACTATGAATAATTAATGAGTTTTGTGTTGTCGTTGCCGGTCAAGTTGTTGTCGTCGTCGCTGTTGTTACTGAGAACTTTTAAACACACAGGCAACAATTGTTGTTTGCCTACCTTTGTGTTGCACGCTCTGAGGCGGGTACCACACAATAGGCTGAATGCCAATGGCTCAAATGAAACACATGATCTTTGTCAAAATGCAAGGCGACAGTTTTCTATTGGCCATTTTCTATTTGTTTTGCTGAAAGTCAAAGACAGTTCATAGTTTGAAGAGTTTTTTAGCCTTGTCCATCAAAATGAATACTATACTTTGCTATATTATGCTAAAGATGTAATTTTACTACAGCTTTATTAATTTACATCTTGTTGATCAAGCCAACTGCCTTTATCTTTCCATTTTAAGAAAAGTTAAATTTTAAATGCAATTGTTGTAATGCGCTTGTCCCAGTTATTTATTAATAATTAAGTATTATGCCTGAGGCTCCGTGAGTTAAAGTATCAGAAAGTTGCTTATTTGTTTGTTCTTATCGTCTATTCGATACTGATTCTGTGTTAAAAAAAAGTCGGAAATCTAATAGAAATATAACAAGACATAAATAAGAGCTCATAAGCAACCACAAATGGGAGCATATCAAAGCGTATGCACAATATCCCATTACCACATTCTCGACTCACGTCGGAATCAAATTATGTTATTTCCATAAGCAACCCACAAGTGGGCAAATATTTGCTATGCACAAATATATGATTCGCCTGGTTGGAGCGAAACGTTTGCAGCCACTGTAATAATAACAACACTGACAGAGAAGATAGAGGAACACAGGCAGTCTAGCATAAAAAGTCGTTAAATTGTTTACAAGTTCATAAAAAGTCGCTTTAATATAAAGATATATATACACACACACACATCTGCAAGTCACAATTATAGAAGTCTCAGGATCTACTCTATAGCTTTGGTTGTATAGGGGTACTTGCGTCCCTCTAAATACTACACGACGCGACTGGTTGCGTATTTACAGAGCACTTTTACCATTCAGTTTCTGCTGCTGCTTCTGCTTCTGCTTCTGGTTCTGCATCAGCTGCGATGAGCAACAAAATGCAAACAATACAAAAGTATGCCACAAAATAATAAAGGCCAGACCAATGTGAGCTGGAAGCAAGAAAGGGCTGCGGCTGCTGCTGCTGTTTATATGTGCCAACTGAAGTTTTATTATTCAAAGTATAAATAATATTAAGTGCATGTGTGTGTGCGAGTGTGTGTGTGTGTGTGTGCGTGGGGCGTATCTGTATGCCTATTTATGCAAGAGCTGACTGTAGGTTGTCTTTGGAATGCATTTTCAATGCTAAATGTAAGCATAAACAAATACAATCAGGGCAACCAGACTAAATCCGCTTAAATGCAATACAAATTGTTTCGTGCCTGGTTGTAGCAACAAAATACAGCGGGCATTTAATGCAATTTTTAACCGCAATTGAAATAGTTTTAATTTTATTGTCATCGCGCCACATGTACGTGTGTATCTATCTGTGTATGTGCTTAAGCCGTTTAAAATATTAAGCAATGTTACGTATTTCAAATATGTTTGGCAAAATTAATTAATTCTCAACAGGGCTGACATAATTAATTACGTGCAATTTCGAATCGATATCCATTGATTTTGTATGTATATTTAATTCAAATATTTTAATAAATATATACTCAATTTTATAGTTTAATCAAATTTCCCGAAATTTAAGAGGCACAGTTACCAAGGCTGATTACTCTTACTATCTCTTTAAAGAATTTGAAAGAAAAATTTCTTGGGTATGCCCACCTTGTTCTTTCCTAACTTTTGTCAACTGATATTATATTATTGCTATGTACCTACTTGGTTTTAATTTATTTCAATAACTGAAAGTGCTAGCTTAGAGATATTTACAAACGCAGCTTCGCTACGATACTTTGTTAAACATTAAATCAACGTGATTTGATATTAAATATAAAACATATATTAACTTTTATTGATCCCGTAAATATCCTCTTATGAACATTTCAAAATGTGTGTCATTTAGTTTTCTTTCTCTTGCATTTTCAACGCATGTAAATGTTTTTAATTCTCTTTAACTCTCGCCATAAATTATTTATGCGGACTCTTAAGGTACCACTGAATATTAAGTTTTCAACAGGGCACAAATTACATGATTTTGACCAAAACATGCTTACACACACGCACTTTAGCTCAATTTATAAGTTATTTGTTTAGAGTGCAACTCACCGTCAATCATGTTGGCATTCAGCGGGAGTATTTTCTGTGGCTTCCTGTTGGACTCTGCAATTAGAAAATTCAAAGTTTTAATTAAATAGAAAATATTTATGGGGCACTTATGCAAATAAAATGAAACAACAAATAGCTGTAACATTTTTAACATTTAAGTGGCAAGCAGAAATGTTGCCGCACAAGTGTTAATAATTGAAATACACGTTGCTGCAAAAGCAACTTGCTGAACAAATAGGCGAACCAAACTTTTCGCCTGCGGCCAATTAATAATAAATCGTAGGTGGCAAGCAGGCCGAGGCACGGAAGTCGCGGCATTGAAGCTGGAAATCAAAACCTGAGCTAGAGAGGCAGCCGGCTGCTAATGACCCGTTCCATTTGGGACCGAGTTCCACGTGCAACAACAAATTACCGACACACAAATGGAGCCCAAAACTTTATTTAGATGCGGCGCAAAAGTCAAAAGGTAGCCAAGACAAAAAAGATAAAGGTGCAAAAGAGAATGTGTCCGACACTTTGCCAAAGGGTCGTTCCTTCAATTGTTGCGGGCTTAGCGCTTGATTAAGCGCGTCCAAATTTAAGGACCATCCACAGCCACTTTCACTTTCAGTTTGCAACAACCACTTTGCACCTCGCACCCCACGTTGTGTTTTTGTTCGCGTCACGGACTGATTGATAAGGTAAATTTGACCGGGTCTGGGGAAACAAGGTCAGCACAAAAAGTGTTTCAAGCAATTTGTTGAGGCATTTTCGTGGTTGAAAATATGAATGTGCTACGGCATTTAGGCTCTTTGCTTTGTTCTATGGGCTTATTTAAAAATTAAATCAAGTTGCCTTGCTGGCCAATGAATTAAGGCTGCTTGAGCCTAATTGCGTTACTTAATTATCCGAGCGGACGTGCCGGGGTCAAAAGCAAAAGTTGCGCAAGAACTGAACTTAAAATAAAATGAACGTAGCTTAATATTGTGCCAAATGGTGGCGACCTTAGGTCAAATAATATGCAAAACACAATTGAAATTTAAATTGCAAAATAAATGTTTGTGAAAAGCAGAGCCATAAAAAATCCTCTTCAATCATATCATTTCAATTGGAAAACCTTTTCGTGAATGCTATTCGGAATTTCCAGCATTGTTCAATCTATTTCACAATCAATTTTCAGCAACCTTGCATCACTTATTAAGCCCGAATCGAAAAGCACAGAATGAAGCTAATCAATCAAAATGCGCAGCCTGCCTGGCAATAAGTAAGGAATCCAGCGCCCAGGATTCGAGAGGGGTCAGGCTCGAGCGAGGCAAACAATTTACGCACTGGCCGAAATACAAATATATACATAAATAAATAAGCATAAAACTGCGAATTTATATCAAGCGAAAGTCAAGCCAAAGTCAAAATGCCGAAAATTGTGTTTGGCTTAAGATTAGGCATGCCTCACCCCACCCACGCCCTGGTCCTATTTCAAATATCAAAACGCACTCTGACACACATCAGTGAGTGAAAACTGACAGCGTGAAGAATTGTTTACGAGAATTGGATTCGTACCTGGAGGCATTGAGTGGGTAACTCATATTGTTCAGATGCCTTTGATTTCAAATAATGCTGATGATGATGGCGGATGACGGCAGCTGCTTAAACAGCATTTGTAGCACTAGCCACAAGCTCAATTAAATTACTTAATCAATTGTGAATGTTGCATGGCATGCCGAGCTATCTGTTTTATATCGTAATTACATTTTCTAATTGACTGGCCGCCAACTAAATACTGTAATATTGCAATATTGTGTGGCAACTTATCGCAGTTGTTGCCACAGAAGTTAACTCTGCCTGATTTATAAACGTGGCATGTCTGTCGACTTTGCGGCAATGTGGCTAGCAGTCTCTTTTGGCCATGGCCTTCACAGTCCTTGGCCTTCGCTAATAAATTATTTGCGATAGTAAAAAACTTGCAACGCATAAAAAACAAAAAATACTCGTTACTCGTTTCAGGCCTAAAGGCGGGCCATGCTTTATGTTGTTTATGTGCAAATTGTTTTCGCTTTTCTTGTTGCCGTGACGTTATGATTTATACACCAGAATCTGCCACGCCCCAGCCATAATTTATGCCTGTACACAAGTCTAAGGACCAAGTAAAAAACGAGAAACCAAAATATTCTGAAATGAGCTTGGAAATAGCATTTGAAACACATTTGCGTAATTGGTGAAGTAAATACTCACTTCAACTGAGATTTGAAGAGATTTCCAATTACCTAATGACATTATATATGACCATATGTGCATATTGTAATGCAATATTGTATTATCGAGTACACAAATATATAAGTCAACATATAAACACTGGGAAAAAAAGTCATGAGCCCAGGTTCCAAGGATACTAGGAACCAAACACTTACAGCAAAATTTAGTTACTTTTGTGTGGCTAGAAGATATAAAATTTTTATTAACACTTTATTAAGCTTCTCATTCTGCTAAAATTGAAAAGAAATTTTGATTGTAAAAATAAACACGAAGATTGGTTAAATTACAATCAATCAGATATTTCAAATTCGGTGAAAAGTATCTGGCTGAGTCATTAATTTTCATATAACACAGAAAGAGTGCCCACATAATTGTTAATGTTCTTACTTTATAGAACCAGAGATGCCTACTTCTAATCCATATACTCGCACAACTTTATGACAGGCCCTATTTTAAGCAATTTAATGAGCACAGGAAATGAGGAAAAACAAGTAAGAGTGCTGTAGTCGAGCGAGCTCGACGACGACGATACCCTGAACCCAGTTGTCAAATATATTACAGTTTTATTGGAAAATTTCCCTCTAAAAAGTTTTGCACCAAAATGTCTGCCGACAAGCACGTGAATATTCATACATACATACATATATACGTACACGGAATCGTAACGGGGCTCTGCAGCATACACACAAAACATATTGGCGCTTATCAATAAAATAGAAGAAACTTCATCTGCACCTGGTATACGAGAACCTATATTCCAAATTTGAAGTCTATAACTCTCATGGTCTCTGAGATTTACGTGTTCATACAGATGGACGGGTGGACGGACGGACGGACAGACGGACATGGCTATATCGACTCGGCTGTAGAACCTGATCAAGAATATATATAGTTTATGGTGTCGGAGACTCCTTTTACCTTTGCACAAAACCATTATACCCTTTTTACCCATTTTTAATGAGTTCAGGGTATAAAAAGATGATGCCGTCTAGGCCGTCGAGGCCGACTGCAAGGATGCAGATCTGCCTTGCATAATTAGAGCAACCTGTCTGCTGAAATGAATAAATTTGCGCCCTGAATGCGACTCACATGTGTACACTTGAACATGAATGCACAGATGAAGCAAACTCTCATGTGAACATATGTGTTTATATATATGTATGTAATATGTAATTGTATGCGTGCGGACATTTGCAAGTGGGAAACTGCAGAGATAAATGTAAAGAAATACATTTGGCGCCAGCTGCCTGAAAGTGCTGGCAACATAAGACCACAATTTGAAAATAAAATAAAGCAAATTCGCCTTTAAGTTTAACACTTGTACTCAACTACTGAATATATGGTTAAAGTAAACTTCAACTTCAGCTTAAAAGTAATATGAATAATTGAGTATACATATTAATTCTGATGAACATAAAAATATGCTTACAAGAAATTTTGAAAATAATTCAATCAACTTATTTTTGGAAACACTTTTATTTGCAAGCCAATTCTACTAAATTGCAGTTCAAAATTATTCAGGATAGTATGCCTATTATTTTACAATGATTTAATACTAGCGATACGCATATGTTAATATCAGATCAATCTATATAATTTCAGCAAGTGAAGCATTCCTTAATTATTGAAGGGTTAACTAAAATAATCAAATATTATATATTAACACAATATCTCTTTCAAGTAGAGTTGTCCCAAATCCTCGAAAAATTATTAAAATAGAAAGCCCCTTAAGCGAGCTGCTGTCAGTGTGCCACTAAAACTGTTACACATAATTATGCATAATTATTTTTTGAAGCACGCCATAAGCCATGAAAATTACGGTCTTTAGCCATAAGCTGAAACCGCTGTTGACCGTGTTGCAGTTGGTCCACAACAAAAGTGAAAGAAAAAACAAAAAAAAACCCTAATTCACAATGGCAACGATGATTTAAACTACTAATGCATACACATTGTTGCTAAAAGCAATGTCCTGCCCGGGTCCAGAGTTATGTTTTGGCAGGACATGCGTTTGCTTTATTGAATGATTATTGAAATTTATGTCTAACAGTGCTGATCTTAGTTGGCCACTAAACATGTTCAGCAGCGTTTTGAATTTATGGCCTAGACTCATTTTCACTTTGGTCCATGCTGGTGTGTCTACTGTAGACTGAATGACAATAAAGATTAAAGTGAATTAAATTGAATTTTGGAATGCATCTGATTTCTTATTTAATTTTTCTCTAATTTCAGTTTGGCTCCGAATAAGACTCAATTATTTATTTAATTTAATTAAACTACGCTACGTAAGCAAATTAATTTGAATTATTCAATATATATTCGGATTATATTATAATTCAATTGAAGTCTATTCGGTAATACTATAGTTTTCTGTCGATGACAGACATTTACAATTAATTTTGCTGCTGCCACATTAATATAATTCATTAAATTACCAACAACGTGAATTTGTTGAATATAAATATGTAGCTATTGTGAATAATTTCGCTAACCTATTCGGATAATTTTGTATAACTAGAAGCTGTTTAAAAAAATTTAAATGTAAAATAATTTCGTAAAAGTATTTCAACCTGTGCTCAACATCAAACATAAAAGAAATAAATTAATAAGAAATGTCAAACATTTTAAGCCAACAAATTATATGTACAAATAGAGAAAAGATAGTTAGCAACATAGAGTTGAGTAAATAACTAACATACGCACTATCTAACAAATAAGAGGAATATGGTTAAAAGGAACGGGATAAAAGAGAGACAAATCTGAAGAAGAAAATGAAGACCTGAGTGTTGGTAACACAGAAGTTTATTCACGCCTCAATGCAATTG